GGGTCCCACAAATGTTGACCTGTTTACGAAAATGCCATGATGATTGGGATTTTTTGTTAATTTATTTACGAAAATGTCATTTAATAAACAAAATTTATTTATTATTGAGATAAACTTGTATTTTCTCCGTCAAATATCATAGGCACACAGAATAATTATTTCAATTCAAATATCCAATGCTTACAATAGTCAATAGTTGTAGTAATACAAAAGATAATGATGTAGTCTTTAATTTCTATTTTCTAACAACTTTAATTCCATGCAAAAGACACGACTACTTTAAAAAGAAAGATATAAATCAAACATACATTACGGCTAGAGAACCCCAACAAGCATGCATTGATGCATACACAACTTTATTTAGCCTAGAGATGAAACCCCTAACACGAAGCAAAGCAAACGCAAGCGTACAACAAACGAACGGGACGACATACTCGAAATAATTCATTTGCGGGTACGTACTAATAGCATGTACCACTGAACGTTCCATCGCAATTGTAGCCGGGGCAACACTTGTGCAATAAGCCACAAGGATCCCCAGCTGATGGGCACCATTGACACACACAAATCCTGGGGTCGAGTTCAGTTTGCGAGCAAACGGTTCCTTCACAACACTCTTTACTCTTGCGCCAGCAATTAACATTAGGTCCTAAACAATTTAGAGCCCCCCCTACATCTCGGGATGTAACAACATCCTGTAGCATAATATTTGAAATTGGGAGCGAATGCTGCTGACCGCGAATTTCATCAAATTTGCGGTCAGCTGCATTCGTAACCACCATCATCAGGATAAACACCAAACTACAACTTCTAACCCAATTCTTCATTTTCATCATTTTTGTCCTACTTTATTTTGAGTTAATTTATTAGTTTGTAGATTTTTTATTGATGATTTAAAAAGAAAGTGTGTGTGTCCCTTTTTATAGCCATATTCACATAGTTATACGTATGAAATATGAATGCACCACCTAAAAGTGTATGCAATTATGAATGCCTTTTCAGAGACTAAGGACAATAATTTAATTTGCATTCACGTGCATTATTTAGAAACCACAAATTTATCTGTCACAATTTGTACATTTGTGTTTCAGGTAGAGCTCTCAGTTTCTGACCCGAACCGTTAAACCCGACTGTTTCAAATTGATCCGAAAAGGAACTGAACTGTTTAAAACCCGTTTTTTGGAAATCGAAAACTGACCCGACCCAATTTTTTCCAAACCGAAACTGAACTAAACCGAATTTGTGCAAACCGTTACTAACCCGACCCGTTATCAAGCCAAACCGTTACAACCCGAACCTGAAAGCAACCCAAACCGATTACGTTTAAACCCGATAGTAACCCGACCTGTTTTAAACCGAAAACCGTTAAAACCCGATAAAAATCCGATAAACCTAAATCGTTCCAACCCGTAACCCGTTGTGACCGAACCGGTTATAATCCGTAACCCGTTGTGACCAAACCGTTTACGACACGTAGCCCGTTATAACCAAATCGTTTAAAACCCGTAACCCGTTATGACTGAGTCATTTACAACCTGTTACCCAATATGTTTATGATATAATCTGTTTCAACCCACTACTCGATAAACCCAACTTATTTATGACTTGACTTGATTATAACATGACTCGTTCCTACCCATTATCTGACTAATTCGACTCGATAATCATCCGACTCAATTTTAACCCGATATGATTTTGATTAGAAACCCGTTTCAAATTGGGTAAACTCGTTTTCAAACCAACCAAGTTCAATCTAAACCGATTATAACCGAAACAATAATGGTTGGACCCGATTTCACCCGATCTATTTTGAACCGAAACCCATTTTCAAACCGACCCAGTTAAACCCAAACTGATTATGACCCGAACCAATTACGACCCGTCCTGATTAAGACCCGAACTGTTTTTAACCGAAACCCACATTAAATGGGCTAAACTCGTTTTCAAACCGACCCAGTTCAACCCAAATTGATTATGACCCGAACCGACTAGAACCCGACCCGATAAGGACCCGATCCGAATAGAAACTGCAATTAAAATAACCAAACCGAACTGACCCGATAATTTTCAAAACCGACCCAAACCGACCCGCTTATTATTTTAATCCGTTATAAACCGACCCGTTATAACCCGAAACTGATAAACCCAACCCAAATCCGAACTATTTAATCGAATTGACACCCCTAGTTTCACGTGTTTTGGTTTGAGTAACTAGTAACAGTGAGAACAATAATTTTATGAAAATTTTACTGATATACTCCGTACTGCACTAGCTGTAATCTAATTATGCTTTGGTTAATCGAACTTCACTAAATTAATTAATTATTAACACCTTTTACTTGACACTAATTGTAAGTCCATTTGGAGAACGAAGATGTTGATTAATCTTGTCTATTTAAGTTAAATTATATTTTTTAAAAGGGTTTTATAAGTTAAATTATTTTTTATTTTGGCTCCTAAAGTTAAATTATATAATAGTACATATTCTAGTAATTATTATTTATTTATTAATATTATACATCTATTTGCCTTTTTTGGTTTCAAAAAAAATCTGTTTGCTTTTTCATATTGTTCAATGCACAAATTTAATTATCACTATCTTTAATTTCATATTATGTGAATACGATTTTCTCATTAATTTGTGTTAACTGATAATCAAAGTTTAATTTGCTGTTGTCAACCGAACAAGATATTTCAATTCAATTTACACTTTAATCTATTACAATATATAGATAAGAAAAAGAAAAAAAAAAGTAGAGGCTAGAATTATCACAAATTCACAAGATCAATAATATGCTTATAAGGTACAGTAATTTTTTTCACTGTTGGTTTAATTTATAGTTTATTCTATATATAGACATATAGTACTTGAGTTTCATAATTGATGCATAAGGCGAGCGTAATGTATTAATGCTTGCTTTGTCGTATGACTCAGTATCTATTTGAAGAAAGAACTGCACATGCAATAAATCAATTATGTCTAGGAGTGTCAATTCGGTTAAACAATTCAGGTTTGAGTTGGGTTTATCAGTTTCGGGTTATAACGGGTCGGTTTATAACGGGTTGAAATAATAAGCAGGTCGGTTTGGGTTGGTTTTGAAAATTATCGGGTCAGTTCGGTTTGGTTTTTTAAATTGCAGTTTCTATTCGGATCGGGTCCTTAACGGGTCGGGTTCTAGTCGGTTCGGGTCATAATCAATTTGGGTTGAAGCGGGTCGGTTTGAAAACGGGTTTAGCAAGTTTAATGTGGGTTTCGGTTAAAAACAGTTCAGGTCTTAATCAAGACGGGTTGTAATTGGTTCGGTTCATAATTGGTTCGGGTCATAATCAGTTTGGGTTTAACTACGTCGGTTCGAAAATGGGTTTCGGTTCAAAACAGATCGAGTGAAATTGGGTCCAATCATTATCGTTTTAGTTTATAATCGGTTTAAATTGAACTTGGTTGGTTTGAAAACGAGTTTACCCAATTTGAAGCGGGTTTCTAATCAAATCATATCGGGTTCAAATTGGGTCGGATGATTATCGAGTCGAATTAGTCAGATAACGGGTAGGAACGAGTCATGTTATAATCAAGTCAAGTCATAAATAAGTTGGGTTTATCTAGTAGTGGGTTGAAACAAATTAGATCATAAAGATATTGGGTAACAGGTTGTAAATGACTCAGTCATAACGGGTTACGGGTTTTAAACGGTTTGGTCACAACGGGTTACGGGTCATAAACGGTTCGGTCACAACAGGTTACGGATTATAACCGGTTTGGTCACAATAGGTTACAAATTAGAACGATTTAGGTTTATTGGATTTTTAGCGGTTTTCGGTTTAAAACGGGTCGGGTTACTATCGGGTTTAAACGTAATCGGTTTGGGTTGCTTTCAGTTTTGGGTTGTAACGGTTTGGCTTGATAACGGGTCGGGTTAGTAACGACTTGCACAAATTCGGTTCAGTTCAGTTTCGGGTTGGAAAAAATTGGGTCGGGTCAGTTTTCGGTTTCCAAAAAATGGATTTTAAACAGTTCAGTTCCTTTTCGGATCGGTTCGAAACAATCGGGTTTAACGGTTCGGGTCAAAAACTAACAACTCTAATTATGTCCCATCTGCTGCTTAATATGATACGGAGTAAAATTACCATACGTTTAAATTAATGACTTTTTTGTACTTAAACTTAATTTGATGGTCGTATATATTGATATTCTTATAGAAAATTAATAACTATCGAACTAAATCAAACACATTTTCACCTAATGTAATCCCAGGTGATTGTTTTAAAAAGATTTGATGTGCGATTTTTATCAACAACATGAACTTTATTTTGTACAAGCAATCGTACATACTAAGTGAAGTAAATTTCTTGTAGATGGTAATTATTTCGAAATGTAACTATTCTTACTACATGTGTTCATAAATTTTTTGATAACCTATTAGTATGAAGAAATAGAGAAACTATTGTTCATGCTTGAAAGACATTCATTTCTTTCTCAACCACTTTTACTCCCTTCGATCTCTTTTATTATTTTCACTTTAACTTTTCTTGTCTTACAAAAAGATTTTTAAATTATATGAAAAAATAATAGGATCGATGGGAGTCGTATGGTACTATGATGTGTGTACCACAATGTTGTTTTGTGTTTGATCTAATTTTAGCAAAATACTGCGTGCATGGCCTCTTGCGTTGTTACATGCTAAAAATAGCATTATACGTATATCATGATATCTTATTTAGAATTTTGATCTCAATTCACTAGTTCAACTCTTCAACGTTACAACTATTTGCCAACCTAAAATATGCTTAACATTATCTAATCCTTTCATATTTCATACTCATCTAACCAACTCAGTGCTATGAATCAACTATACATCATCTATTACTTTAAAATCATCTATAAGTAATATTGTAATAACTCCATTATTTTTCAAGTTTTCAACATCAAAACAATTAAATTGTTTGTGTTACTTAGGCTTATTTTATTGAATCAACCTTTGTCCAAGTTAAATTATTGCAAAATGGCCTCTAGAAGAACAACCTCAATCGCTATCTTTCTTGTATTGAACCTTGTTTTGTTTAATTTTGCTTTCGCTACAAACTCGGCCCAATCTCTTGACTCTTGCCCCTCAGATGCCCTTGAGTTGAATGTGTGCGCAGATGTACTTGATTTTGTTCACCTTCGCATTGGATCTTCTAAGAGGGATTCATGTTGTGGCATTGTGGGTAACCTAATTAGCCTTAATGCTTCTACTTGCCTTTGCACCGCGGTTCATGCCAACATCTTAGGTCTTGTTAACCTCGACCTCAGTGTTGCTCTTAATGCTCTTATCAACTTTTGTGGTAGTGAGCTCCCTAATGGCTTCCATTGTCCTCCACTTCAGACTTAGATTACTCGTTCTTCTTAGATACTACCTCCGCTAACTATTATGTGCAACAAAGGGGTATTATGATACTATCTGTAAGACATAAAATATTTCTTTGTTGCACATAATAATTAACAGATATAGTAGAACATTAATAGTTCGAATTTGTATTGTTGTCCTTATTTTTTCTTGGAGGATCAAGTATCCTTTTACATGTTTTCTTAAAAACTATGGAACCATTTCCATACATGTTAACATGTATAGTCGTACACTCATACTTTCAATTGAGCTTTATAGGTCTTTTTGTTTTTGTCGTAAAATAACATCATATAGCTAAATTTTACGAGCATATTTGTTGGATCTACGACGTAGTGATTTAGTGATCACTTTTAATTAATAAATTACACCCTCATTTTCACACATTATTGATCATTTATTATGACTTACACATCTGGAAAAAAAAAATTCAAGTTTAACCTCGTTATATTATATTTTTATTTATAAATATCTAAAGATGTTAAGTGGTAAAGTTTTGAGTTAAGAAGGATGAGACTAGTTATGTAATCATGTAGCAAACAGCAATACATACGTTGTAGTTATAAAATAGAGGAAACATTATCAGAAAATAATTTATAGAAAATAGCAATTATATATTCGTGGACAATGAAAAACAACTGAGCTTGTTTTTTGGGCTTTATGAATGGATTTTACTTTTTGAAATGCGTTGCATCTGAAAAGACCAATATGGCCCAACATAAATTTGAGCAAAATTTTAACCGAATGTTTGGCCCGTCCTCTCCTTATTGGCTCATCATAGACCACATTTTCGACCATATCACTGCTAAACTCCTAAGAGGTTAAGGCTATGTTTAATTCATCTTATTTCGTTTTAATATACTAGTATACTACTAGTTGCTTAACTTTATGTTAAGTAATAGAGCTATTTTGTCTTGAATTATCTTATGTGTATGAATTTATGTGGTAAAAAATTGCTTATTTGAACCTTTTATAAAATATATTTTGTTGGAAATAAGTGAAAATAAGTTAAATTAAACAAGGCTAGTAATAAACCAATTCCGTACCTTAGGTGCTTCTCTTTTTCTTGTTTATTATGAGTATATAAGATTCATATGTTAGCCCATAGAATCATATATGAAGCCTAATAGTTTTATGAATTGATTTAGGCTTTAATCTCTTTTACAAGTATCCTATAAAATAACTATGGGCCTGTTCTGTTCTGTTGAAATTCAGTTCAGTTCAGTTCAGTTCAGCTCAGCTCTTAATTTATGTCTAGTGATATTACTAATGATATAAAGTCAAATTTCATTCTTTTAAGCTCTTATTACAACGACAACAACAACAAAAACAACAATAATAATAATAATAATAATAATAATACCAATAATAATAATAATAATGATAATAATAATAATAATAATAATGATAATAATAATATTATTATTATTAACAATAATAATAATAATAACAATAATAATTGAAATAATAATACTAATAATAATAATCAATAAATAATAATAATAATCATCAATAAATAATAATAAATAGTATATGTGTTTAAAATGTTTAGAGGTTTCAAGTTTTTAATATATTTTCCATACATTTTATAATATATTTTCCATACATTTTATAATTATAATTATATAGTATATTTTTCGTAAATATTTTAATATGTACATTTGTATATACACATATGTATAGTAATAAATAATCAATAAATAATCAAAGATCACTAATCCGTAGTTAAAAATCACTAATTAATAAGTTCAGTTCAGTTCAGTTCAGTTCAGTCAATCGAAACAGGCCCTATGTCTAGATAAGATAAGTTCAACACCATCTCACTAGTGTGCATCTAAAGATAGGCATTCATTTCATAAATTTAGGCATATTAATAAGTATTTTAGAATTATGTGAAGAAAATAACAAGGCATTTTTTAAATGATCAACAAACCATATTATAAGAGTGTTTGGTACTCCCTCCGTCCTACAATATCTGGGACGGTGAACTTTTTTTTACCATAGTTTGTTTTTTTATTTTATTTTTTATTATTATTTTTTTACTAACATAATAAAAACATATTTTATCATAAATTATGTCATTATATACATATTAAATATAGTTTTATAATATAATTTTTAAAATAATTTTCATTAAATCTTAATTATATAAATAAAGTCAAAATAGTGCATTGACATATGTGCAATGTTGATTGTGTCAGATATTTTGAGACGGAGGGAATACTATTTTTTTTTTTGGTATGGAGAGTATCGGTTAGTAAAAAAAACACTATTCCGTAAAAATTTGCTCGAAATATTATTACTAACACTAATTGTTAAGCACCCACTCAAACATCAGTTATCTATTTTCACCACTAATAGTTAATTACTAACATTTAGGGCCTGTTCTGATACGATTATTTTCATTTCAGCTCTAATAAGTTCAGTTTAGTTCAGCTATAATAAGTTCAGCTATAATAAGTTCAGCTATAATAAGTTCAGTTTAGTTCAGTTCAGCTCCTAATTTCATTATCTTATAAAATATTCATTTCAATTCATTTTAACTCTAATAAGTTCAGTTCAATTCAGCTCTAATAAGTTCAGTTTATCTTTACTCTAATAAGTTCAGTTCAGTTCAATTAATGAGAACATGCCCTTAATCTCATAGTTAACAACCACCACATCTAACAAGTACTATCATAACTACGTTTTTTTTGTTCAAAGAGGCCCAATATGCACTAGTGACCAAAATAAATTTGGCCGACATCAAGGATTATTAATTCATAGGAGGCTTCCAAACAATTTGGTCCTACATGCTTTGTAGGAGATCACGTTTGAGTGAGTAGTGAGTCATTCATATTTCCTTCTTGGGAAGAAGATCGACATAAATATAGATCTTTTTTACAATAATTAATTTAAAGTCATTTTATAGTCTACAAATTGCACTACTAGATATTTTTATTAGGAAGAAGACACATAAAAATGTATGACATGGTCCCTAAAAATGAACCTTTACCCTTAAAATGTGAATGAATGAAATAATTTATTTGAAACTTGTGCATTTTTATCAAACACACAATTACATTTTAGCTATATATATTTCCTACAAAAATATATATATTTTCAATATTTTTCGGTTCTTTTAAGTTGTCGGATTTTCAGTTTTAGCTGTATTCGATCACTGACTCCATTTATTATTTACATTACTGGTAAAACATAATCACATCTCGTAAGTTTTCATAGGCAAAAGCTAATAAGTGCACTAAGGTGTTAGATTATAGAGAACTAAATGTAAAATATAAAAGTAAAATAGTAAACTTAATTATACCAATCAACGTGTAATTTTGATATGCATTCTAAATTTCGAGTAATATTTTTTTAAAAGAATTTTAATATCTACCTTTTTTTTTCGTTGACACGTATTCCTTTTTAGAAAATTTATTTTTAGTTGACACGAATCCTTTTTTAATAAGTTTTTTCTCTTAAATTTATTAGTGTACCTCACTTATTTTATCATTTTCTCTATCTTTTTTACGTAGTAATATATGTGACTAAATTAAACGTGTCAACTAATTAAAAACAGTGAAAATACTATTTTAAATAACATAATTATTAATTATCTAACACTTAATAACCAAATTTATTTTTACTAGGGCAGCTAACGCGCGCGTCATAGCTAGCCATATCTTGAAGGTTTTTTTGGTTTGGCTTTTAAATCACAAAATTAGTTAAATTAACAATAAGAGAAATTTTTCCTAAAAAATAACAATAAGAGAAAATATGTAATCAACTATATTTAGGTGGTATAAATGTTCAAGACAACTAACATTTATGAAAGCATAAAAGTACATAAATATTTTAGAGGGTATAGTTGTCTAAACACTATTCATTAAAATAGCATCTACATATTAATGAGGGTATGTATGTAAATACACATTTTGAAGGGTATAATTGACATTACACTATTCATAAGAGTATGTTTCTACTTTTTATAAGGTAGGGATAATATCAACTTTTTAAAATTAGAAACACGAATATTAATTTTTCAACTTTCGCATTAGCACGTGTGTACATGTAAGTGTCAACTAAAATGGAACGAGAAACCGGGGATAAATCATACAAGTATTATATGATCTTGAGATTTGCTCTTCTCCGTCTTCCTTACGTCGTCTTCTTCTTCATCTTCATCATCATTTTGTTGATAATAATAATAATTCAATGATTTAAACTTTTCATTTCTTCTTCTCACTCACTCACTCTCTCACTCACTCGGTCACTCACTCACTCACTCGGTCAGTGACTCAGCAATGGAGGTTGTAGGAGTGACAAAATGTCTTCGTCATAGTAATTGTTTCCAAATTAATCAGCAAATTCAACGCCAATTTGCTACTTTTAATAACCCTAATTTCAGGTTTTTGAGGCCATTACACTTCAAGTTTCCTTCTTCATCAATTTCTCGTTCTCGAATTTGTTGCGGAGTTTCCTCTGTTCAAACTCGGTATGATTTTTTAGCTCAATTTTTGGTATAATTGATTAAAATTCGTTCAATTAATCATGTTTTCTTGTAAATTTGATTGATTAAGGTTGATAAAATTAGATAATTTGATTGATGAAGGTGATTATGTAAAATTTTCATGGACGAACATGGAAGATTGATTCTTGGTTCATGTAGCCGACCCCGTCTTTTTGGGATAGAGCATTGTTGAGTACAATATATATGAAAATTTTATTGTGATGATAAAAAAATTGTTGAAAAAAATTAGATGTAAGAATTACAATGATGTCGATTTGGGTTTTTGAATAAAGCTTAATACTATATGTTAATCTTTTGATGAAAAGTTGTTTTATGTTGCTAATTTTGGTTTTGTTGCTGAAAAAAAAAATGTTTTTTGCAATTTACGAGTAAAGACATATTTTTCTGTTTAAACTGTAGACTTTTGCTTATAAAAATGAAAAGAGATTCTTGTCATTTTGCTTTGCATAATTTGTATGTGTGAAGAATTTGGAGATACTTTGTACAAAGACTGTTCTCTCATGCTAATGTCGTGATTCCATATACACATTTTTCAATCCCAAATATACCGGAGCTGTTCGTTAATCCTGATCCCTTGAAAGCTTGTACATTGGCGTTACCTAATTATCTATGGAAGTAATGCATTTGTTCCTTGTTGAGGAGATACAAGTATATATTTATTGGAATTATTTCGATGTGAGACTAGTATTCTGATAGTATCTTGCATTCCTATTGTGTTGACTGACTGTTGAGTAACTGAGTTTGTTTAGGTATTGTGACTCTTAGCCTTTGGAAATGTGCATGTTGAAGTATCATGAATGTACATTAGTCTCAATATGAACATGAACCTTGTAGGCCATGGGGTGATAAAGGTACATTTAAAAATATCACATATATTCTGGTGGCTATCCTGCATTTGATGAAAGATTGAGAAAGGATTAGAGTTTCAGGCTGCCCATCATCTAAAATAGAAACTGAACTAGATCGAGTTAAAAGCATTTTTCACTGTAGTATACTAGTATTAATTGGCTGACAGTTTTTGTGCTTTGAAACTCTAATCTCAAATTCTCAAGGACTAAAGTAAAGTTGTAATTCAATGTCAGAGTTGGGTACTGGGTAGTATGCTTTACTTATCATCATTGCTCTTCCCCAACTCCTTTTTTTTTTTTTTTTTTTTTTTTGAATAAAAAATGTGATGTTAAGTTGACTGTAAACTGCCTGTGGTGGCAGAGAGGAGGAAGAGATGGAAAGCAAAACAAAGTCTAGACATGGAAAGGTACTGTTAAGGATCCTGCTTGAGCATCAAGTGCAGTTTGGAGAGAGTGTTGTGATGTTGGGGTCAGCAAAAGAACTGGGATCATGGAAGAAACCAGTTACAATGGGTTGGACGGAGAATGGATGGGTTTCAGATTTTGAAATGAGAGGAGGGGACTCTGTGGAGTTCAAATTTGTTATAATGGGCAAGGATAAAAGTTTAACCTGGGAGTCTGGAGAAAATCGTATACTTCAGATTCCCGAGAAAGGGAATTTCACATTAATTTGTCACTGGAACATGACATCAGAGATGCTGGAGCTCTTAACTGCTGAATCTGGGGACAGCCAAGACGTGATTGAGGATTTAGTTGATAATGGATCTGTTGTTAGTGATGTTGCTGCTACAGATTCAGAAGTTCAGACAAGTCCTTTTGTAGATCAGTGGCAAGGGAAGGCTGCCACGTTCATGCGGTCCAATGAGCATCACAATAATGAGAAAGATCGGAAGTGGGACACTTCTGGTCTTGAAGGTTTAGCTCTAAAATTGGTTCAAGATGACCAGAATGCGAGAAATTGGTGGCGGAAGGTACTATAACTCAATGCTTCCAATTTCTATTCTACATAATCTGGTATTCACTTGAAAAACTTTATTTCATCAAAAACTTACCCTGTAGTGTATAATGTCTTTTTGAGATGCACAAGGTCCGTGTGATGTATAATTACATTATATAAGGCTTACAGCAATATTCTTTGGTCTCATAGGACTTGCTTTGGAAAAGCAATGCTGTATTCAATACAAACTTTCAAAATTACCCTATATTAACAGTTTATGCAATATTTTAAAGAAGCTGATTTTATTCAATTGACCTTCTCATTTTGGTTCATGTAGCCGACCCCACTTATGGGATTAAGGTTTTGATTGATTGATTGATTGACCTTCTCATTTTCTATATCTATGGGCTACAACCTAAAAAGCCTTTATTTTGTAATGGAGGAATTATTGCCTTTAGATATATAGGAGGCTTCATAATGGGTTATGTAGTGAAGTGTAGGGTTATTCCTATTCCTCCCTTTTACATAAATGGCCCTTGATCTGTCTTCCCAGCAGAATTGGAACCTGTGATAATCTGAGTGCCTGGTAAATGAGTGTGCCTAAAGGGATTGATGGCATAGGCCTACAGCTGCATAGTCCTGTGTTACCCGTCTGCTGTCTGCAGGATAAGTTTTTGTCTTGGCTACCTAAGGATTTTGTCTTGCTCATATGAACTATAAAAATCTTATATACAATTCCTTTTGTGAGCAAACTTAAATGTAAAAAATCTCCAGAAACCCAATCTGTCACATCAGAGCAATATTGATGTAGGAAACTGATGCAACTAATTTGGTTTGCAGCAATGAAATTTACTAATATTGCATTGTTTGTGTATGCAAGCTTGAAGTAGTTCGTGAGCTTATAGCTGAAAATTTGGATAACAATGATCGCTTGGAGGCTCTTACTCTTTCTGCTATCTATCTTAAGGTCCGTCACATTATTGCTTTGGCTAGTATCATATTGTTCAATTCCACCCTATAGAACTTAAAATCAAATTTAATCTGTCTCATGCAGTGGATAAACATTGGACAAATCCCTTGCTTTGAAGATGGAGGTCATCATCGACCAAATAGGCATGCCGAGATTTCAAGGCTCATTTTTCGTGAGCTGGAAAGAATTTACTGCATGAAAGATACCACCCCTGAGGTAGTAACGTATTCTTATGTTCAAGTGTTGAAAGACTTTCTTTTCTCTCACCTTTATTTCATCCTATTATGTTTTAATCTTCTTTTTTGTGATATTTATCATATCTTTAAGCATCAACAGATAGCTTCCAACTAATTATGTACCTACCTTGTTCAGAAATCCAAATGCAGCACATTTTCAAATTGTGAATGTAGAAAGCTAGTTTGCTTCTGTCAATTCTTAATAAAATGAATTTTCTAACAAATTTATAGGTTTCAAACTTTCAATCGTTTATAGCCATTTCTTTCCTAAAAGAAAATTTTATTCTTTTATTTTCATTAAATTAGTTTTGGGTGTTATTTAGTGCACACTAGGTAATATTGCTTCCGTTGTTTTTTTATTCGTCCCACCTTCCATCTTCATCCATTCTCTTAAGCTCTATCCACTTTCACTTTATTCCCCTTAAGAAACGTTCTTTTTGCCCTCCCTTGGCCCATTACGTGGGACCTATGCAAACTCATTATGTACACCTTAGTACTTCTGGTCAAACATTTTGAAAGTAAGGGTGAGAAGAACAATCCGATGCTTTTTCATTCATTTTTCCATTTTTAGCTCCTCTAGCATTGTTATCTGTTTAGCTTGTTCCCCATGTGTTAGGTGAGCTGATGAGAATTGCAATTTAGTGCAATGCAGCAAGACACTATTAGACTTTGGTTTTGTAGGGAATTAAGTGGTAGTAGCTTGATGCCCAATCTTACTGCGTGGAGCCTTGATTCTGGTGACCTAATTTACCTAGGAGTCAGACCTGATGCATTTATCATAAAAGGGAGTTTCTGGGTGTCTGAGATGCTATACTCGTCTCACATCGACTATGTGAGTGTGTTTCGTCATAAGACTCATACTATGATAACCAAGTCACCTGGACTTTCCTTTTGGGCATTAATGAGCTAAAATCCTTAGGACTTAATTTGAGTTGAGTTAACGTGTATTTTTCCTTAACAGTGTCAGCAATATTATCACAGAACTCTGCTATAGAAGCAATGCTTCAGGTCATCGTGGTTGTCACCAACTGGGAAAAAGGGATAGAAGATACCCATCTGATCTCTGCATCTTCAACATGTGGTTTACTGCTACATAGAAAGACCTTTGAACATAAATGTTTTTCCAAGGAAGCTACAAGGGTTATATCTGTGTGGCTTTATACATGAATCCCCGACTAATTAAAGTAACTGAGTTGTTGGAAAGCCAAAAGCGTTAAAATAAAATAAAATTAATACATCGGTTGTTTTATCTGTTGGTCATGATTGTCTCATCCCTTCTGAATTTTGATAACCTTATGTTTTCTTAACTATGTGCCGGGCCTTGATGACAAGTGTTCTTTAGCCTTTCTAAATGCGTCACTGATGTATTTTTCATTGCCTTGTGTTATTGTGCAGGAGATGCTTGTTATTCGCAAGATTCACCCCTCCTTGCCATCTTTTAAAGCTGAATTCACTGCATCTGTTCCTCTGACTCGAATTAGAGATATTGCTCATCGTAATGATATCCCTCATGATCTTAAGGTTCTACTTTGTTCTATAAGATAATGATCTTGCTTGTGGTTGTTCATTGGGTCCTTATCTAATTATCATCTTTTTAATTTACTATCAGCAAGAAATCAAGCATACTATACAAAACAAGCTCCACAGATGTGCTGGCCCTGAGGATTTGGTGGCTACAGAAGCTATGATGGCAAGAATTACCAAAAACCCTGGGGAGTATAATGATGCATTTGTGGAGCAATTTAAAATTTTTCTACATGAATTGAAGGATTTTTTCAATGCTGGAAGGTGCTAGACCCTACCTTTTTTTGTATATCATAATTATTAATGTCTAATCTGGCATCAGAATTTTGTATTTGCATGCATTTACTTACTCTTATACGATATTTATTTACTCAACCATCTAGCTCCGTCACTGTGCTGATTTCATTATGTTTGGGGGAAGCCCTAAATATCAAGAGTGGTCTGTCATCACTTCACATGACCATAAATCTATAAATTAAACCTCTCACACACACACACATAACTGTCCAAAATGGAGCAGTAACTTTGGTTTATCAAGCCCATTTGGCAGGAGAGATTCGTAGTCCTGCTGTATCCTTTCCTAAGTTTCCTTGTATTGAAGTTAACAGAAACTAAGTGGTAGAACCCCACAAGTTAGTTGCTATTTGCTAGTGACTAAAGTTAGGAATAACTATTAGGGTTTATCTCTATTTTTTTTGTTGATCCTTCTTCCAAAAAAAATAATTATAAAGATATCCTGTTTCTGATGAGAAGAAATCCAATTTTTATTAGCTGCTTCTTTACATTTCCTTAAGGAATGCATGTTTTTGTGAATGTGAACCTGCTATATGACTACCATATGTAAACTGATAACTATTTGAAATCGATTGTGCTCAGATGTGTGCATTCACTGCTCAAAACTTGCATCCTTCAAATTTCTAAAGTTTCCTAACACATCCTTCCCTGTTTTTCCAGCCTTGTTGAACAGCTGGAATCAATCAAGGATTCCTTGGATGAAAAAGGATTGTCTGCTCTTACTGTATTTTTGCAGCAGAAGAAGGTACAGATTTTCTTCAAAAATCTTTATTTATGTACTATGAAATTAGGGTATTATTAAATTCTCTAATTCAGCATGCAATTGTAATTTTTCCTTGAATATTGCTTCCATCTTTATGAATGACTCCCCCTTCCTGTGGGAAGCTTGTGCACTTATGGTTTGTGCTTTTATTGGCATTAGCTCTATGAGTGAATAATTGTATTTTTTATATCTATTCTTTGTATGACCTTTTGGTTCTTCCTCAACTATTGATCATAAGTGATCTGAATGCTTGGTGTTTTAAGTTACCTGTCCTTTATACTTTACTGATAATAGTGAATTAGTGATAATAACTGTAGCTCTTGATTTTTTAGACTATGGTAATGATATGTGAATGAGTTATGAGGTCATACAATTTGTGTATATAATAAACTCCTAATTGTATGGGACATTTTGTCATTATATGTCATGTGCACAAATGTGTGTATGACTATGATTATTACTCTTGAAGTAGAAGACCATATTATCATGAATAACATCAGAAGTCTTTTACAAGGTAATTGTTGAGTGATACATGGAAGAATGAAATTTGGTGCATCTTTTCGTCCTACTTTTAGAAAGTTCAAAAAAAAAAAAACTTAATTTTTTATATTTGGAGGTGTTTTCAAAGCTGTTGATTAGGATATATTGTCAACCTTTGTGCAAACTTATCTAGAAATCTAGAATGACGAGTTCCAGAATTAAACACCTCAGTTTTTTGCTTTAAGTTTTTTTTTTTTTTTTTTTTTTTTTTTTTTTTTTTTTTCAAAATTCCTTAGATCTTATAAAAGAATGTGTTTCCCCTTTTCAGAGCTTGGATGATTTAAACGGGTCAAATGAAGCTGTAGATAAACTATTGAAGCCAATGCAGTCTCTAAATTCACTAAGGGAAGTACTGATGAAGGGTCTTCAAAGCGGCCTACGGAATGATGCATCTGATGCAGCTATTGCAATGCGTCAAAAGGTAAAATTTGAATTACAAAAAAAAAATCATCTTCACTTTTTAAGCCATAGATATGATCTCATGGTTCATCTTTTTATAATCATTACCCCTGCAGTGGCGTCTTTGCGAGATTGGTCTTGAGGATTATTCTTTTGTTCTTCTAAGCAGGTAGTTTCTTTTTCTAGTTTGGGTTTTTGTTAGTACTGTTTTTATTATAATTGCAATCCATAGATATGATCTCCTAAAACACTGTGCCCCACCCCCAAGAGATTGATGATACCAGCACAACAGATGAATATAATTCTTAAGTTTCAAAATTTTTTGTCGTCTTTTGGAACAAGTAGGTGGAAAGAGAGAGCATATTGAGGGATAAACATACAATTACTTTCTGATTGATGCATATTGCATACTACTACCATGCATTTGATTGTGACAGTGACATAATCTACCTTAATTGCTACTTTTCTTTTTCTGTTTTTGAAGGCTTTGACTTTCCTTTTTTGATAAAGAACAAAGATATTGATAAATGAGCAGTAAATTACCAAAAAAATCATTGATTATATGGCATTATCTATGAGAAAAATATTGGCAGTTTTCTAATCCTGGCAAAGGTCTGAGATTGTGAAGTAGTATGTTGGAGTCTTGGGGAAGAATGCTAGGCTGAAAGTCTCCGGAAATTTCAGAAGTAAAATTTGAGGAAGAAGAAGAGGAATTCGATGATTGGTTGTATCAGAAATATAATTAAATCATTATTCATTACTAAAGGGAATTACAACCCTAGTCCTCCAAGTGGCTCCACACTCCCAATTACTAGCTACAGTAAAATAAAATAATATTCACTCACTATTTTCTGCCTGTTTTCTTTCCAACAGAACTCCTCTATTTTTAACATATTCTGACTTCCTCACCTCTAACTAACTCTTTTTTCTTCCCCAAGATTTTTTCTAACAGCCTAAATTGCAATACCAAAAATGCTCCTTTCCCCTAGGCTAGTCTAATACATCGTATTTGTAGCTTAATTTGTTACAGTACCTCACTAAGTCCCATCTCTTCTTATAGATTTCTCAATGCACTAGATTCTTTGGGAGGTGCAAAATGGCTTGCTGAAAGTGTGGAGTCAAAAAATGTTACTTCATGGAATGAACCACTTGACGCCCTTGCTATTGGAATTCGTCAGCTGGGACTATCAGGCTGGAAGTCAGAGGAATGTATTGCAATTGGGAACGAACTCTTTGTTTGGAAGGATAAAGGTCTTCCTGAAAGTGAAGGTGTGGTTCTAAGTCTATTTTTCTGTTTTTTGTTAAGTGAATCATGAGATTCATGTTTATCATATTGGATTGACGTGTTTTTATGAACATCCTAAAGGAAAGGAAGAAAATAAGAGAATTTGGGCTCTAAGGCTTAAAGCTACTCTTGATAGATCACGAAGGCTGACTGAAGAATACTCCGATTCTCTACTTGAGATATTCCCGCAAAAAGTTCAGGTTGAGTGATTTTATTGCACCTTTTGGCATGGCTAGCCTTGGATTTTAGTTCTTTATCTTACAATTTATTTCCCCTCCTTTTCCTATTTTCTTTATTTGCTCTGTTTAGTTTGAAGTGGTCGATTGATGCATGCATTTGTTACTCTTGAGCATATATAATTTTATTTTATTTTGTTTTTTTAAAATAAAAAGACATGTTTGGAGTCTGGATTCTGGAACATCACTGTCATCATGTAAATATTGACAATAACACTTCAATATGAATCGTTATGTGTAGTTTGTTTGAATATTCTGATCTAACGTGACAATGTTTGGGTTTGACAGATGCTAGGAAAAGCTCTAGGAATTGCTGAGAATAGTGTTAGGACTTACACAGAGGCTGAGATTCGTGCAGGGTAAGAACTTATAACAAGCATTAGAAAAATAAAACCTTGGCAGATAGTACCAGTTTGTGACTTAGGTGTAAGTTTCAGTTATAAATATTTTTCTAACTTTCAGTTCAATGTTATCCCAGTGTGATTTTTCAGGTCTCTAAAATCTGTACCATTCTTCTGAAAGGTGTCAGACTTTTGCTAGCATCACAAGGTTGGGATGTTATTGTTCCAGGAACTGCTTATGGAACAATTGTTCAGGTGCTGTCAATTGAACTTCTTTAGCATTGGATAGTCTCTGTCACTAAAAATTGGGAGCATCTTACCCACTATTGATTTATTTGATTATGAACCATTCTTTCTTTTCCTTTCTTCTTGAGTTTGTTTCTGACAAATTGATATATGCTGTGGCTCTTTGATAATTTTCTTCCGTTGTACCTTTCCTATGGAGCTTCACCTCTATAGATTACTCTATACAATTAATGCTGTTTCCATGTCAAATCGAATAAGTATGATTGTCTATTGCCAGCTGTTATTTTGCTGTACAATTGACCTGGTTGATTGCAAGTTAAAACTGCTGACCAAATTAACCATGCCTGATTTGGTTATTGATGTCAGATAAAATTAATGTTGATGTTGTGTTTGAATTCAGCTTGTTGATCTTGTAGCATAAACTGCACTGGTAATTAGCTTTTTCTGCTATCTTATTTCATTGATTGACTAATTGTGGATCTTTTTGTGTTGGCTTTTGTTCAAATTAGGTTGATAGTATTACGCCTGGGTCACTACCTTCATCTGTAACAGGGCCTGTTATTCTTGTTGTTCGCAAAGCTGATGGAGATGAAGAGGTATGAAGTCCTAAAAATTTGTAGCACATATTGAAGGGCTAAATTGAATGTGTAACATGTGAGGTGTTTGGCAGGTGACAGCTGCAGGGACTAATATAGCTGGTGTCATACTCCTGCAAGAGCTTCCCCATTTATCCCATCTTGGTGTCCGAGCACGACAAGTGAGTTGCAATGTACTTCTGATCAAAATTTATTTCTCGTTTAAGGTCGAGAACTGGGAGTAACAACATAAATATTCCTGTACAGGAAAAGGTTGCCTTTGTCACCTGCGAAGATGATGATTCAGCTTCGTATTTCAAGAAGCTTAGTGGACAATATGTCAGGTAAATTTCTCTGAATCTTGCCACTGAACAAGTTATTTATTTCCTTTTTTTGAATGCAATATCAGAATATCCCCACTGTTCAAATTTTAATTTGCTTTGTGAAAACCTTGGGTTCTCTTTATCTTGTATTTCTCTGATCTGTATTCCTGAGGGCCCTTGTAATTCATTCCAGGCTGGAAGCATCCTCAGGAGGGGTTGATATACAACCATGTTCTCCTGGTGAAACAAATAATGATCCTATCATAGACATTCCTCCAAGTCATGATCCATCTACAGCAGGGCTTGTTGAGTCTGATGATTCTTCCTCCTCTCTGAGCATAGATCCACAGCTAAGCGAGGTCTAATCTAGTACCTTCTTTCTTTGTGTCTCCGTCCCTATTCCCTAAGCTTTGAGTGATGAAATTGCAGTTTTGTTTGTTACTAAGTTGATTAAATGCAGAAAATTTTGGTTCAGGTGATTCCAGACGCCATTCTGCTTTTTGTTGACAAGTGCAAAAAATTTTTGGTTCAGGTAATTCCCTCCGAAGTTGTTACTCTGCTTGCTGACGCAGAGCCACGTACTTGTGGGGCAAAAGCTGCTGCCTGTGGACGCTTGTCTTCTCTGTCGGAAGCCTCTATTAAAGGTGTATTTTGTTTCTTCTTTTGCCTTTTCCTCTTGTGTGCTGTCTTTGGATTGAAGAATAATTATCATTCATCCGGAAGACTGGAACAATAAATTTTACCCTTACTTGTCATAACATCTGCATTTTCTTCTCTTATTGTAGTTTACAATGAGCTTGGAGTTCCAGCCTCATTTAAGGTCCCTACAGGAGCAGTTATCCCATTTGGTTCTATGGAATTGGCATTAGAGGCTAACCAGTCTTTGGAAGCATTCAGGTCCTACATAGAACAGATAGAAACTGCAGAGGTTGCAGATGGAGCCCTTGACAATCTGTGTTCTAAACTTCAAGAACTGATATGTTCCATACAGCCCTCTAAGGACGTCATTCAAAATATAGCAGAAATCTTTCCGAGCACTGCTTGTTTAATTGTGCGGTCAAGTGCTAATGTAGAAGACTTGGCAGGAATGTCAGCGGCTGGGCTCTATGAATCTATTCCAAATGTCAGTCCATCAAACCCTACTGTCTTTGGCAGTGCTGTCAGTAGGGTTTGGGCTTCACTATACACTCGTCGAGCTGTTCTTAGTCGGAGGGCTGCACGGGTACCCCAAAAGAAGGCCCAAATGGCAGTTTTGGTGCAAGAAATGCTTTCTCCAGATTTGTCATTTGTACTTCACACCCTTTCTCCAACAGACAACGACAGAAATGTTGTCGAGGCTGAGATTGCTCCTGGTCTTGGTGAAACATTGGCATCAGGCACCAGAGGTACACCATGGCGTCTATCTTCTGGAAAATTTGACGGGTCTGTGAAGACATTGGCTTTTGCAAACTTCAGTGAAGAGATGCTAGTGGGCAGAGCAGGACCTGCTGACGGCGAAGTTATTCGTTTGACTGTAGATTACAGCAAGAAACCACTGACTGTTGATACTGTTTTCAGAAAGCAGCTTGGTCAGCGACTCTGTGCTGTTGGGTTTTTCCTGGAGAGGAAATTCGGGTGCCCTCAGGATGTCGAAGGATGCTTGGTTGGCAATGATGTTTACATCGTTCAAACACGCCCTCAACCTCTCTAAGCTGTTCATATCTACTCATGGTATTGGATTAATTATTATTATCATATTGTTACTTATTTTACATATATTAGCATGGGTACATCTTCATAAAGCCCCTTCCACTCAGCTAGTGAATCTTTAAACTTCAGAAACTCAAATAACAGAATAGAAGTTTTGTGTGATAATAAAAGTGTATTCTATTCCTTATTCTCTAACTTTCGGAGTAAACTGCTCTTTTCTTGTTTTTTTTTTTTTCAAATTATATTTTATTTATTCTTTAACCATTTTTTTGAACTTTAGGGTAGGGTGACTGCCAGTGGGTCCAGAGTCTACAGTCCAGGCTGTTGAATACCCAGAAACATGCTTATTGTCTGATTAATTTCCCAATTCTGAGGGTCTGGACCCTTGGTTATAATTCCTCCCGGAAACCTTGTCTAACTTGCTTAGTGATTCTTCCTGGCCACCATGGGTCTATGGTTGAACAACAAATAATTTCTAATGATGTACTGGTACTAAGACATGAATTTTGACGGAGTGATCAATTAGCAAAATTAAGCTGTGGCGAAAGTTGTGGTACTTAAGTTGAAGCATCATCCTATAGGGGATGTTGTAACTTGTAAGGCAGACCTCCTATGTTCTTACTGCTTTGGCTAATGGCTACAAGTGCTACACCATTTCTCGTATGGAGCTTAATCTTCCATGGAATCGATAATCACAATAAACTTTAGCGAGGAAAGGGATTAGATATACGCATTTTTTCTCCTGCGTTGCTAAAAAGAGAAGTTGTTTCCAATAAACCTTTCATTAAGAATGTGCAATTTGCCTTCAACTTGACAAAAAATATGTACATGGAATTCATTGAGTCATTATTGATTAAGTTCATAATAACAACCCAATTCAAGCTAAATTATAGTCAATGATGAAACAACCAGATTTAAATTAATACTTGCTTTTTTATTTGAACATCATAGTTTACAAGAAGAATGAGACAGACAATACTTATTGAGAGAAAATCTATGATATCATTCTGATAAAATTCCTCCCTAACAAATGCATATTTAATCCAATTAGCACAGTAATCATTGTCTAATTGCAGCTTAAGAAAAGCAAAATGCACTCAATTCAATGCATTTTAAAGTATACATAAAACCCTCAACCACTTGTGGAATATTTAGCCAAAAAAATGTAAGATTTCCTAATACATAAATCTGCAAGATAATTAGAGGTTACTGTATATAATAAGCTAATAAATATTCCTGAAGTGCTTTGCATTATATGAAAAAGTTAATGAGGAAATGGACCCCCTTTTAAATTTTATTTAATATGGGGTTTTTCATCATCATTAGGGTCACTTAGTCACTGGTAACATGTCATTAATCAATTACCATAATCACTAGGGAATATGTACTGGATTTAGTTCTTGGGATTGCTACCTAACTTTTCATTTTTCTGCAGCATTACTGTAATTTATTTGCATCCGTACTCTTAATTTGTTTGCTTTTTTTTTTTTTTTTCAATTTTGATAAACTCAAAATGGTTAACATGTTAATCACCTAAAGACACTAATCTATCGAATGGACTAAAGTATTACTTGAACATGAGAAGAACATCGTTATATTAGAGAAAACTTTTGACGTTTTAGTTATTTTATTGAGTGTTAGGTAACTAACAGTTAGCCATTTAGCCTTACTCTTTTAACGCTTCTTTTTTATGTATAAAATGTTCCGATACAATCCTTTGTTATTCAAGTAACAAAATGGTTGAAGTGACACAAACGCCCTTCATTAAATGGCCACAATATTCTTCATTATAAGGGCGAAAGTCAAGTTAGTCTTTAATTCTTTATATTGCGAAAAATGATGTGGTACCGTTGTTACTTGTCTAAGAGTTACACGAATAGAGAAAATTTATACACATATCGTATGTTGCTTTTGCTGCTTGCCTTTGTTCCAAAGCTACCATATTTCATAACTTTTGAACCCACATGCCATATGCTTTCATCATGATCATAACTTGCACAATTAAATAAATAATTCTTGAATGCCTTAAATACAGGACAATTTCAACCTCACAACACAACACAGAGCAAAAACCCTGTATTTCTGTTTAACTGTTAGTTTTCAAAAGTATAATGTCTGCTGTTGTAGGAACTATTTCACCCTCCCAAAATTCTGGGATTATTCTCTCTTCTAACATGAAGAAGGAAGTAGAGCAAAAACCTGATAAGATCATAGAGAGCTTAGGCTGCGAGTTGAATGAAAACACAGACATTTGCAAGGATTTGATCAAAGAAATCAGCAAAAAGACTGATCATACTGAAGAAAACTCTGAAGTCAAGCGCGATAATGATGCCTGTTTGAAGTCTGAAAATTGTCAGAACGACGAGCAGCTTGAGAAGGATGATAAGGTCTAGCTCCTTCTCCTTGTCTTTCCCGAATTAGTAATTTAGTAGTCACGTTTTTTAAAATAGTAATGGTTTATGATTCGATTTTCTAATATGTTACTTCTGTGCTGCTATACTGAAGGATGATGAAAGCTTAAGCAATCAGAAGCAACAACTTCTTGGGAACATTAATCTTACTGCAGTAGAAGAAGGTACTAAACAAATTTAGCTAATTTTTGTTCTTAACATCAGCAAAATTCCAAACTGTTCTGAAATTTTCGTAACCTGATATGCTGAACTTAACTCAATCACTAAACATATCTGATCTTTTCCGAACTTATCTAAATGTTGCAAAACCAGTAAAGTAATACAACGAACAATATGACTATATATAGTCCTGCATTAAAGCATGACAATTAACTTTTTCTGAACTTTATTTCATGAACTAGCAGGAAACAAAGCACCAGAAGTTCAGATACTGAGCCTATCAGTTCTTTCGCCCGGTCGAGCTGATGTAGTGTTGCCAACTCCATTTCCATCAACAACTTCTAAGGCAACCCTATTCACCCTCAAGGAAGGAAGCAAATACCGCATCAAATTTCTTTTTACCGTGACAAAAAATGTTGTTAAAAATCTTGCATACACTTACATGGTCTGGAAGTCTGGAATTAGAGGTAAACTAGAATAAGGAGTTTATGCATAATTTTTTTTAATATTGTGCTGTTATTTTTGGTTGTATGTGTTAAATTTTTTTTATGTGAATTTTGCAGTGCACCAAACAAAGAAATTGGTAGGCACATTTAGCCCAAGACAAGAGCAATATACCTTTGAATTAGAAGAAGGAACAACACCTTTTGGGTTCTTTGCAAGGGGTCCTTTTCTTGTTCGATCTAAGGTAAGTTTTTTTTCTAGACTTGACAAAACTGACGTGTACCTGATTTTATGTCTATACCCAAAACTAGGAACCAAATTAAAGTTTGATTAAAAGTAATTAACACTAATATTGGTTGGTTTTTCATTTATCTAGGCTTGACTATGATTTAACCTAAAATTTCCATTAATAAACCGAACTTTACTGATCCAAACGAATTATTTGTTACCTGTCGAAAAAATAATAGTGGGATCATTGATGAAACAATATTGTCATGATTTTGTTTATTCAAGGGGGTATATAATTTTTAATTTGATTTGTTTTACCTAATTTTGGTGTTTCTATTTGCAGTTTGTGGATGATGATGGCAATTGTTACTTGGATACCACATACTACTTTGACATCAGAAAGGACTGGGGAGCAAGAGAGAAGTGCTAGATTTAATCCTAATTTTCTTTGTAATTTTTATAACTTGCATTTTGCCTTAATGTTCAAGTAATAATAATTAAAAATTCTAGCTTTATTTGGTCCATTTAAATTCCATCTATTGTGTGTCATTGTGTGTAATATCATTTTATGTGTAGTTGTGTACACCCATTTGTAATTCCTCATATTTGGGGAGCCAAAGTGAGGTGCAAAAAAAAATAAACAAAGGGAAATTATTACTATTATTTTAAACTTTCCTCTAAATTTCCATTAATTAATTATTTTAAACTTTCCTCTAAATTTCCATTAATTATAATTTTAAACTTTCCCCTAAAGTCTATTTCATGGTCCAATTAAAACCTATGAATTTGGATTAATTTATGACAAAAAAAGATCAACATTTTGCCCATATAAATAGGAGTACATCTCATAATTAATTAACAGTAGTAATCATTTTTACATCCAAAAAAGTGGCTACTTTGGCTTTATAATCATGAAGAGAGCATGAGATTGGAACCCTTAGCAATAATTTAGAATACAACTAACTAGCTTTTTCAAGCCTGATATGGTCTACCAAAGAAAAATATGTTAAAAAATAATTATTAGCATATAGTAATTCAAACTCCTGCAACTTCTTTTTTAACTTTGTATATCATTATTTCAATAGTAATTATTAACAATTCAATATTTCAATAATTCATTTCATTGAATCCTTTTTGTTTGTTTTGGACGAGCTACATAAGTTTTTATTTAAGTGCCAACCAAGGTCAAACATACATAGCTTAAATATTACATCCTCTTTTTAAAAAAAAAAAATTGCAACATAGGAAAGTTGCACAAAGGTGACCTATATGGCTATACATAGTGAATCATTGTTTAAATAAAGTAATGTTGCAATTAATTTGTAACTTTAACTTTCTAAAAAGAATATGTTGCGATTAAAAGAGAACGGATAAAGTATATACAATATAACTTTAGAAGTATAATACTTAAAAAAAAAACAAAGTTATAAGTTAGCATAGTTAATTTGGTGATTTGGCAGAGGATACCAACAAAAGTTTGTTCGTACTTCTGTTATTTTCCTTTGTATCACATAATTACAAGCTCTCATGATAATTAATGAGTTAAATGAAACCAAAACCTAATTTTCCCACAACCAAAAAAAATTAATAATTGTGCTAATTCTGTCTTTATCACGTCATTAATCTGAGTTTGAGTATCTTATAAGAAATCTAATGATCTAAATTAAAGAATATTATTAAAAGTAAGGTGACAGTTTTTCCCGAGAAACATATCCATTACATCGATCTAAAATCAACGCAAAATAACATATCATTGTGGCTAACTCTACAACTCTAGCTAGTGTCCAAGTTCAAAATTTTAAGTAGATAGCTAGCTAAAGTAATCACAATGGCTTCTTCCTCTTGATCAAGACTATGCTATCAAATTGCAATGATGTTCATCCATAAGCATGCAAACAACAAATCACGCATCAATACATCATCATCATCATCATATTCATAAAGCATGCAAACATATATACATAACTCAAAAGTTTATAATTATGTTATGTATGTTTACTATTTGAGCATGCATTAGCATGCCAAAATATTTGTCAATATCACTTGAAATATATTCCATCTTTTTATACATGACTTAATATAAAAACAAATGTCAATATCACAAAATCTTTTACCTTTTTAGACCCCTGGATCTCTTTTTTCTTTTTTTGACCAAAACCCCACTTGAATTATTCTGATTTTAATTGTTTAAAATCACAATATTATATACAAGTATTTATTTTAAATTTTCAGATTTTCTTCAACTGTTAATATTTATAAAAGTTGAGGTTTAAAATTGTTATTAATCATTACTTGATTGATGTACAACTGGAAAATTAGTCATTCTCAAAAAGTGAGGTGTATTTAATCATCTGTATGAAAATCACAATGGACCTAGCATTGAGCATGCATACAACAATAAATCATACGGTATAATATTATGGACTTGACATAATAATAAAGAGGAAAAAAAAAAGAGAATTTGAACTATTGTTAATACGGAGTAAGAAATTGAACAAAAAGTTTCTTTTAAGGAAGAAAGAACTAATTCTACTTATTCAACGTGTAATATTAGATCTTGAAGAATTTAAGTAAAACACTTTTTTAAGGAAGTAATAGTATATAATTTTAGGTCAATTTTAAAATAAACACCATTCAAATTAGTTATTAAAGATGAATTTTAAGTCCGAAAAATCTTTTTCAAAACTTTAAAAAATCACACAAGTTATAATCCAATTCATAAAACTTAGTTGACTTTTTATAAAAACAATTCAATACATCTTACATAGCGTACTAGCACTAAAGATAACGTAGCGCGTGACAAATTTAATATGAATGACACACTTATTGTATTTTATATCTCCAGGAAGATTAGAGTAAGAAAAGTAGAAAACTGCATCAATTGCACCATGTCCCTATTTGTACGTCTTCATTTGGTAGGATGCACAAGTCACACGTTTCCATAAGGTTGCACTAAAGAAAGTGCTTCAAATCTAATTACATAAGAAAATTCTAATTTTTGCAAGAAAGTCACTTACTTCAAAGGACTCAATTTCTTGCCCTACAATTAGTTCTATTTTTGCACTTTCACCAAATTGTCACCCAAATTGAGCATATTGCATCTTTTCAAAGAGTACAATACATGTATTTTATCATGGCAACAACCTGTTATCTCATTGCTCCAACCAAAAAAAAAAAAAAGGGTGAAAGATAAACCTGAAATTTGTAGCAAAATAGAGGTCTACTCTTCTTGCTATAAAGGAAAATATAGAGGATAAAGAATGAATAACAAGGGCTTCTACGAAACAAAAAAATCATCACTTCTAAGTTTTATCTGTACAATGTATCTTAAACTCCGTAGTACTATTTCCCTCACAGTCACTTTCACAAAGAGACCTTCAGGTATCCAAAATAATCGACTCAATTGACATATATATACGGCAAAATTTACAGATCACTTGTATAATCAATTAACGCAAACTTTACATGCAAACCTATTTTACCTCCGTCTGTCACGAGCTTGGCAGCTGTGACCAACCAGTGTCCTGGAGCATCATGGGGACCGCGCAACACCTCAGAAGTATCGACAAACCTAAGCAGCTTCTCACAGTTGACTGGAACAGGAGGACCATTTGGGTAAACACCAGAGTTCAGTGCAGCAGGTAACTTTTTAGGCGGGCTGTTGTTTTGCTTCGGAGTAAAGGTGAAAGTTGTGCTCAAAGTCATGAGGATACTTGACTTGTGAGATGCTTGTGGGGCAGCAGCCCATTCAGTTCTTCTGATTGTGCAGTTAGGCAGGTGGCTGAAGAGCAACCGAAGGTGAAGAGCTGTTTTTGGCCACCTCCCTTTTGTAAGGAGCTGAGCCCCAGTAACAATGAAAACCCCTGTTGTTTTACCCTGCAGCCAGTTCGGGTCATGCTTCACTATGGATGTGCAGACTTTTGAGAATCTCTTCCATCTGACGCATTCTAAAAACTGGCCCTCAGGATCAAAATCATCAGAACCTCGCCACTGGCCATGATCATGAGTTGAAGCAAATGTCATAGAATTAGGCAGCGTTGTCAAATGTTGTGCATGGATGGCTAGTTGATTGCAGTGCTTCCCTTCCAAGTAAAGGCGTAGCCCAACTATTGGTTTCAAACTACTCGTGACCTAAAACCACAGAGCAAAAACAGAACAGGGATGAAACAACATAATTTCGAAAAACAAATGGCAAAAAATTCATGTCAGATGAAAATTGTGCCAAAGGAGGTAGGTGAATCAGTTGAAATCACCCCGGACCTCAAGACATTCTGCCAGGTGTGAAATCCTCACTACTTCATCCCTAAGGGTGGATTATACATGTAGGGAATTTCTTGAGAAGGGGACCCAATATGGAGCTAAGAACCCCATCCTCAACAAAATATGTAAACTATGCCAACAAAAAAGTGGAGAGTACCTTAGTGGAATTAACATGAATCTTTGGACCAAATAAGCTGAATTGAAGGAGAGATGAGGAAGGCGCTATTCTTTGATGCTGGAGAGGAAGCTCGTTGTACATAGGTGCCCATTGTCTAGGGACTTGGAATTCCAAAAAGTACTGCAGATCATCTGGAGAAGGTTTGTCTGAAGAGAGGAAAATTATAATTCAGATTAAAAAAAAAAGTAATCAACAGGTTAATAAATTCAGTAAATAACTAAATAGCACAAGAATGCAGAGCAGAGTTATGGTGTCCAAAAAAAATCTCCTAAAGAAGATTGTTGTTCAATTGTTCAGTAATAACTGAAGGATTGAACTAAATCACAGCTTGAATTGCACATTGAACATATGCTTTTTAGATGCAAAGTGAAAACTTACATCTTAAATACAAATTAATTGCATGGCTAAGATAACCGCTGCCTGGGATTCCGGTAAGGAGTGAAGTAATAGGTACAAACTTGAAGAGAATTGCATCAGGGTGGCTAGGCACTGTTTGGAGCCATTGGGAGTGACTATGCAGAAACACATTTCCACCTCTTCTTGATCGTATAACAGAGAGTCCCTGAACAAATTAACACAAAATATATAATTGCTATGTAAGAGTAATAACATGGGAGCTTAACGGTCAAGATTTTAATCACACACTTACATCCTTGTTTGATGTTTCTACAACACTAGTCAACTGTATTATATTTGACTGCAGGATCCGACTGAAGACCTCCGGAGCCTGTATGAAAAGGGAAATACATATAATTTTTACAAAAACGTAACTTTTTCAAGCAAGAAAAAAAACCAATAGGCATTTTACTCAGATCTCTAACCTTTTGTTGTCCTTCTCTAGCTTTTCGCTGTAAAAGTGGTTCTTTTCCATCTGAAAAAAGAGCGTCTCCAAGATCTTCCAGATGCGCTCTGAGTTCAGCAGGAGGAATTTCTGAGATAGGGGCCTGTCTGACACAAATTAAATCTTGACCTCCAACAGCCAAGCCCACAATTATATGTGTACCATACTTGTGAATAAACCTGCCTAACAAGTGAGATCAGCAACCTGACGCAAGCAAACTAAACAAACACAAAAGAATAATACCGCACAGCCTAGGCAGTAAAAAAATTGTTATTTTAACTGTGATAGTGCATGCATATAACACAAACATAGTTGGAAAGGATTAGGACTAAGAAAGATCTATCACAAGATTCACAATAACCAAGGCTGACTTAACGCTCAAAACTAGGGTGTGAGGGTGTGTACTGCCTTGAATCAGAAAGATGAGTGGCCTTTTATGTAGAACTAATAGAATCTGTTATAACTTATAAGCTCACTTCACACACTCAGAACAATCAAGTGGAGGGCCAAAAGCAAGCAAATATACATAGGTAAATGGTAATTTCTATTCCAATACAATTCTTATTAAAAGTAAAGAAAAAGGTTGAATACTTGGATTATAAGTTTTCTGTGTTGAATGTAACATGTTCACAGAGAAGCTATCTCCACCTCCATGGGTGAGACGTTGGGTTTGCCACGATAACCTACGCTGAATAACAGAATCTTACAGCACTATCCATTTTGCAAATTTCGATGTGTTACACACATATAAGAAACACCTTGTAATTTAGTATAGATCCTGCCATTGAAAGGTCCAAATATGGTCTACATGCAACTTTCCCCCTGAAATATAATCCACATTGCTAATTCACTGGCTAATTAGAGTAACTGCAAAGGAGAAGCTACCTTGCTAATGATGCAGGATCCCAATGTGATGGAACAGATTTCTTTACTTTGTCATGGAGAACAATGGCAGATGCCATTAAGTGCATGTGGTACAAAGCAACAAAGTAACCATCAAATGCAAGATGTTTGCTATCTGAAGCATCATTTAACCAGGCTCCACTAAAATTAAAAATAGCGTTGAAATAGCCAGATGGAACTTTTCCTTGTACAGATGATCTTTGATTGAGTAACTCTGACATCTGCAAAGATATAACGCTAATTGTTAACCCATTGCTTCAGATAAAACATACCATCAGAATCTACAAAAAAAATCACTAACAACTTGGCAGGCCATATAAATAAAAGAGTACAATATATTGAGTTGGTCAATGCAGATGCAACAATTACACAATATAAATTTTCTTTGACAGAATAAGCGAATTGCATTGAAGACTTGCACTCAAGTCTTAAGAAACAAAAGAATATGCCACCTCGAAGAGGCATTTCTTTTTCACCAGCACCATACTATCTCAACTAGGAGTAGTCGTACAAGATCACTCCAAAACCTATTTTTAATCTAGTGACCAAGCTCCATACAGCCAACAACAAAGACCTAATTCCAAAATACATGAACTATAATCATCTATACTTTCTACCATCGACATTTACTTTTAACAACTGTCTTAACAGATGCATTTAGAATACTTCCATATTTAGTCCAAGGTAAAATGTAACACGTTCCCACATAAACTTATTAAAACAAGAAAACCATACCCCCACTTGAAATCTTTCAGAGATGAACTTCATCTCATTCGGAGGTAATTCGTCCATTTGGTGATTGATTAGTATGGAAACTAAAACAAGGTGTCAACGCTCAACAGCTCTCCAATGCTCAAATGGGGATGCATCAGTGCGATGTTAAGATTGAACCTTAAGTATCTCATTAGTTCTGGAAAAAGAAGTGAACTTTATGGATGATATTTGACTTCGCACACAAAATAACATGATTTCCAATTTTGCTTCTCTTTTAGTCTTTATATGAAATCCAGCCAATTGAAAAGCTAGAGATATCAATAGCTAATTAACCAAATACCACTATAAGTAGTCAATTAAGCCCCACAGAATACGGTAGAAAATCCTAGTGTCGTTTTAGCAATCAAATGCAAAAATAATTAAACTCCAACGTTATCCTGTAGTACCAAAGATTGGTCCATTATAGAGTGAAAACTTTTGAACTTTTACTCCACTTAACACAAATTCAATCGAGGTAATTTAGTCATCTTTGAACAATCTGCTTACCTTAAGAAGTCTAAACTTACTGAATTACCATAAATGTCACTCTTTTTATGAACAACGAAGGCAGTATCTATCTATCTATCTATCGATCTTCCAAGTTCCAACTAATAGTACGAAGTACATAAATAGCTAGCTTAATACTCCCTCCGTTCCAAAACAAGTACGCCTATAATCTTAGCATACAATCCTTTGCTAATGTTACGTGTCTTGTAAGAAAGTGAGGGATTGCTCAAGTGGTTAGAGCTTCCCTCCCGATCCTAGGAGGTCCTGGGATCGATTCTCACCCCCGCCCTTGTGACTCTCTAAGCACCAAAAAAAAAAAAAAAAAAATTACGTGTCTTGTAAGGATTTTAATGCGAAACTTTGACTAATTTCATTGCCCTTAAGAGCACTCTCAATGGTGAGAGTTTTTTTAGCTCATGAACATTTTTTGGGAGGAAAAAAAATGCTCACAACTCACAATGGTGAGTAAAATGAAAAATAGGTAAAAATGCTCATGAGCATTTATTAAAAAGCTCAAAAGTTGAGCATTTTTTGCCATGAACAGTGTTGCAAGTGGGCCCCACACGCGTCAGAAAAATAAAAAAAAAAAGCTGACTCTAACATCAAAACGACGCGTTTTGATGAAGCTGCCTCAAAGGCGCGCCTCAAAACGCGTCGTTTTGAGTATCATAAAAAAAAAAAAAAAAAAAAAAAGGGAAGCTGACGCGTGCAGTTCGCTGGCAATGAGGACGCGACACGTGGCAGCTGGCAGCAAGACAACCAATCAGAAAATACTAGCCGTTTTACAACGGTTATTTATGTATTTCCCATTTTCAGAAAAATATATTTTTTTAAAAAAAAAAAAAAATTACCAACGGTCATAAAATTAAATTCTCTATAAATAGACATGCATTTTGATATATTTTGATACAATTTCAAAAACACCTTAAAATCCTCCAAATTTTAATTTTCTTAAAAGTATTTTAATTTTGTAGAAGAATATTGCTATTGCAATTCATCCATATTGAGGTAAAAAAAAAATTATTTAATTTTTAAAATCAATTAAATATAAGTAGTATATTATATGTGATTTTTTTTTAAAAAAAAAAATATTTTAGGCCATGTAATTATATTTGCAATATGTAATTATTAAGAAAGTTGTTTATATTTTGTCCATAAATTTCTGAATTTGTTGTTGCAATTAATTAATGGTAAATTTTTGTTGCTATATATAAATGTATTAACTTAATAAAATTAGTATATATGTGATTTTATTGAAAAAAAAAATTATAGGCCACGAAATTATATTGCATTATGTACATGTTCTTAAAGTGTTGCAAGTATTGGTTAATTATTTTCTTTAACATGTACCTGTAGTTATGTGTTAAAATTAGTATATATGTTATTTTGTATGGCATGTAATGTTATTGCATTATGCAATTGAAGAAAGTTGTTGATATTTTTTTGGATTTGTTATCATTTTAATTTGTTTTTTGAGTAAATGTTTGTAACGATATTGATCTTTTGTTTTTTGGTGCAGAATATTTTAATGGATCCAAACAACCCAAATTTCCGTCAACAACTTTCGGGTTTTAGTGATGATTTCCTAACTAATCCCGAGTTTCAGTTGTTCTTGCAAAGAATGGGCAATATGTCGACGCAACCACCTCCACTGCATCAGACACCCACTGAGGTTCCCCAACAAAACCCTGCTAATGAAGATCGTACACCTGAAACTGATCTTGGTAGTAACACACTATTCGATGAGAGCGAAGAGGAAAGCGTACCGGAGACGCCGCAGTATCCTCCTCCACCAGTGCGCTTGTTGGAACCCAACCAGGTTCCTGCACGAGCTACCCGTATTTGGTCTGTGGCGGAAGATGAAGCTCTGATTGGGTTGTACTTGCAGATTAGCGAGGATGCTATTAAAAGTACAAGCCAAAAAGCAACTACCCTATGGCGCAATGTACACGCAGCATACCAAACTTTGCATACGCAGAAGCCGCATATAATTCCGCCAAGGCCTATTAAGAGTCTCACGTCGCACTGGAGAAGGTTGGCAGCGGACACACTGCAATGGATATCTTGCTATGATGAGGCAGGTAGACTTCCGGAGGGAGGGAGTGGTTACAATGAAGCTGATCGTATGAAAAGTGCGGCGAAGCTTTTTCATGTCGCCCAAGGTCGCAATTTCACTTTTCCTCACGCAATTGAAATGCTTAACAAGGATCCAAAGTGGAGACCGAAGGTGAGATGGTCAATGTCCTTGAAGGAAAGAAAAGCCGCTTGTGATGCCGAGGAAGAAGGTAGTGCTGGAAGTGGGAAGAGGTCCAGAGATGATGTAGAGGATGAAACCCCTACGGATGGTTTTTCATCTGGCGGTTTACAACGACTTGAGGGTGTCAAGAAGGCAAAGGCGAAGCGTAAGGGGAAAGCAGTAGCAACAGAAAGTAGTTCGTCTGAGCTTAGCGAACGAATGAAGGAATTCGCTACAATTCGCGAGAGAGAGGCCATTCTGAAGGAAGAGAGGATCAAAATTGAAAAAGACAAGGAACAGAGGAAAAGGGAGGAACTTGACATTCATAAGATGAAAACCTGGTTTGATATGGTGCAAGCTCTGAAGAATTCGCCTACGCCACTCACTCCCGAAGAAGAGTCGTACAAGAATTTTTTACTGGGTAAATTACAAGGCCTTTAAGCATGTTTGGTTTTAGTCTTTTATTTATTAAGCGCAATTTAGTCTTTTATTTTTAAGTTGTATTAGTTGTGTGGTTAATCTCAATGTAAGATGTACACTTGTATTCTGATTTTCCAATATTGAATGACAAGTTGTTTAACAAGTTGATTTAAGTTTCCATACCGACATAATTACAATAAATCTTCGTCATTGTGTAGTCACATTTTTCTGATTTCACTTTATCAGAATGCTTTACCTTTGTGTCATTGATACCGACATAATTACAATAAATCTTTGTCATTGTGTAGTCACATTTTTCTGATTTCACTTTATCAGAATGCTTTACCTTTGTGTCATTGATACCGACATTATTGCACTCAAGACTTGTCACTGTCAACTAGCATAGTATACCTATTCCGTGGTTGAAAATTTAATTCTTGTACTTGGTGTGGTCAATCAGATTTGTAACCACATATTCATTTGATATTTTTGCTATATATAGTAGACATGGCACATATCCACAACCACACCCCTTCATCAAATAACAATAGTAATACGAGATGTATTCTAGACCATCATCAAGCTCAAGTTCAAGCTCATCTTCTTCAAATACTGAAGAATATGACCAACTTGTTGATGAACTCTTCACATACCAACCCCCATCTGTCCTCATGCCCCAAACACAATCCCAACACTCTTCAAAAAAACCTAGAGGGGGTACGAATAGAAGAGATAGGGAAATTGGACATGCCAGGTTGTTTAATGATTACTTTTCCGATAATCCCGTGTACAACACCACCCAATTTAGAAGAAGATTTCGTATGCAACGACCTTTGTTTGTACGTATAATGAACAAGGTCGTTGAAGGTGATGTGTACTTCCAGCAGCGTAGGGATGCAGCTGGAAGGTTAGGTTTATCACCTCTGCAAAAATGTACAGCAGCGATAAGAATGTTAGGCTACGGCATGGCTGCGGACGCCGTGGATGAATACGTTCGGATCAGTGAGTCAACTGCTCGAGTTGCTCTTCAACGTTTTTGTACCGGGGTCATTAATCAGTTCGGAACCGAGTACATGCGAAACCCTACAACTGCTGAATTGGCCAGAATAATGCATCAAAATGAACTGCGTGGATTTCCAGGCATGATAGGCAGCATTGATTGCATGCATTGGGAATGGAAGAACTGTCCAACGGCATGGAAAGCGCAGTACGCCGGTAGGAACAAGAAAGCAACGCTAATACTGGAAGCCGTTGCATATCAGGATTTATGGATATGGCATTCCTTCTTTGGGATTCCTGGATCTTGTAATGACCTAAATGTCTTATACCGTTCCCCAGTGTTCGATGAGGTTTTGCATGGTCGAGCTCCTCCGGTAAATTTTACCGTTAACGGCCATGAATACAACATGGCATATTACTTAGCCGACGGTATTTATCCGAAGTGGGCAACTTTTGTTCAGGGTATCACAACCCCTCAACTTCAAAAAGATAAATTGTTCGCTGACCACCAGGCTGCTGCTCGAAAAGACGTTGAAAGAGCATTCGGTGTTTTGCAAGCTCGATTTGCAATAATACGAAAACCGTCACTGGCGTACGATGAGGACATACTGCGAGACATAATGAAAGCATGTATCATTATGCACAACATGATTGTTGAAGATGAGCGCCACAACTACACTCGAGCCGAAGTTCTAAGAGCCTTCTACGAAGAAGATCAACAAGAACTACAACGCCACCGTTTGAATTCAACGTAGGCCGACCTACCAACTTTGACTTCAACGCATTTCTACAGCGAAAAGCTTCCCTCCGTGACAGAGAAATTCATCTATCTCTGAAACGTGATTTAGTCGAACATATTTGGCAACGATACGGGCCCCGTAATTAGGGAGAAATTAGACGATGTAGTTGTTGTGTTTTTTTTATTTCCTAAGTTTAATTGCGCATGACGTTGCAAATTAATTGTTCTCTAATATTGTACCGCTTTTAAAATAAATAAAAAATTATGAGCTTTTTTTTACAATTATTTATAATAACATAAATAATTTTACGATAAATTTTAACGATAAAAAAGAAAAAAATAAAAAAAATAAGTTACACATAATTAAACTAGTTTTTATTTATTTGGAGTAATGTTAAAATATAAATGAAATAAATAAATAAAGAAGTGTTGTGTAGGAGAGAGAAAGTTATGGTGGGGTATTGAAAAAGTAAGAGAGAGATAGTGGTGGGTGAGCATTTTTTTTGCTCACCATTGGGAGAGGAAATATGAAAAAAATTTGCCCATGAGCAAAATTGATTTGTTGAGAGAGAAAGTGGGTAGAGAGAGAGTGGGTGAGCATTTTTTTTTGCTCACCATTGAGAGTGGTCTAAGTATCACCTTTCAACCTCAGCATTAATGAAAATAGAGATATTTTAGTCAATTTTAATTAGCCTCCTTAATTCACGCGTATAACTCTAAACAACACCTATTCAAGGACAAAGATAGTGGTTAACTCTCTAAATTCAATTAATTAATATCTCCACAACTAGCTTTTTGCAATTATAATTCTGTTAAAATTTAAATAAATACCATATACGAAAAATTAAAGATATTAATTTTCTTCAATAAAATGGCTCTTTAATCTATACTCCATATCATAACCTCATCCGAACTCAGATCAAATCCCGTCTACATCACTGCCCTCCTTTCGTAACACTCTAAATGGAAAGACTAATCAAGCACCAATTTCAAATTATCAACAATTACAATAGTAAAGTCAATAAAAACCAGAAATAGTAAAAATTTTAAAAAATGAAAATAAAAAATCAACCTGATTAAATTGAAGAACATCAGACTTAAACCGCAATTGTTCGCCTTTATCGCAACGAATATCAACAGAAACGCCAGGAATCGAAACGTTTCCACCAGGAATAACAACGTTTCTTTTATGAGCTTCATCTAAAACAACAAGCCTCTCTTTTTTCGCAAATTTCAACCTGAAATCGGAAGTTAGATCAAACCCTAACCCTAATGATTCCACTGCTCGTAATTCTATCGGCTTATTTTCTCTCTCCTCCCCCCAATCCTCCATTTTGCTTTTTTTCTTCGATCGAAAAAATTTCAAATTCAACTGGAAATATATGTATCAAAATCAGCAGAAATCGCTTAATTCAATGATTTCAATTGCGACTAAAACTAATTGGAATTTTGAAAAGTCAAGAAATTGTGTGATTGAATTCGCCAAAATGGACTAGCAGCCTTTTTTCTTGATAATTTTGAATGAAGAAATAATAAAGGAATGATTTTTTTTTTAGAAGGAAGGAAGAAAGGAAGAATGTGAGAGTGTAAAGGAAAACCAACAAAATTGGAAAGTCTAAAATACAAGTATTTAAATAAAAAAAAAAAATCAAGTTGGTGGGGCCCACTTTTGGATTGTTGACTCTAACTTTGCATACTCAGTCAACTTTTTTTAGGATAGTCTTTTCTTTTGTACTTCTTGTAAAGAGTTTGTCTATGAACAATAATTTTACCTTTTTTTACACTGTTACATGCCGACTGGCAGATGTTGTGCACGCATTTTGTATGATGGTGTATTGATAAAGAGTATGTGATATGTGTGTTGAAGCTTTGTAAGTGTGGATTTTGTTTTGTATATGTTGTGTATGTTTAATATAGGTTGATTATGGTAATACTTGTATGTTATACGGAGTATATGCTATTGAGAGAATATGGTATTTTTAAGCGTATGAAATATAATTATTATAATATTTGGTTGCATGGTTGATTGAATTTCCATAATAGGACATATTTGGTAGTACAATTAATTAAATTTTTTGGTCATTCAAAGACGTTGGAATTCTCTTTTGTTATTTTGCAACAAGTTTAGAAATGACAAGGGGTCAGGGTTTACTATTGTCAACATGAATACACTATGCAACTGTTGTTGTTCTTTTTTTTTTTTTTCTCCATAGTATCCTAACACCATCTCGAATATATTATTACTTCTATATCTTTCCTTAAAGTAACAACTTCCACATTTATAATACTCGATATATATACTTTTTACAACAAAAGCTAAAATCATACTCAACTTTTTAAAAAGCCAAGACTCGAATAGCACAAATGACATACTAATAAGACCGAAAATTGGTAAAAATAATATATAATGATGTTGAAAAATGATGGTTAATTAAATAATATTGAGGCAAGTAATAAGAGAAACTCAAGAAAGTGATGTGTATTTGGTGTTGAAATTGAATACCAACTGCTTACCTAACCCAAGTAGCTGGTTTACTTGGAAGTCTTTCGGTTTCCCATTGACTATTAGCTTTAAATGGGCCACCAATTCAAGTGTACTCAAATAACTCAACCCAACATTATATTGTTCTTGTACTTTTCAATTATCATTGCCTTTAAATTAGGGGAAATTTCTTATGACTTTCCCTACATGATGTTATGGTGCATCTCATGTACTTTTCTATTTTCATTTAATCAATTGTGTGCATTGCCTACATTGAAGGCAAATTTTTTATCTTTACATTGTGTGTGTGTGGGGCGAGTAACAATGTGAATGGTGATTATCAATCTTATTAGGGTTGTGTATATTATTAATTTATTATTTTTACCTTTTTATCATAGTGTGAATTCTAATAGATCAATCACATTGAATTTCGTATTTTCGATCTAAGACTGTCAAAGGAAAAAACAAGAAATGGGGGGGGGGGATGAAAATCTCTTTCCGAAAGAGTCCAAGGGCATTTGAATGATAGGCTTTATTGTTTTACTATGACTTAATTATTTTTCAATACATGACTTTGATCATTAATATATGTGATTATGTATTAATGTATTGTTTATAAATGAAACATATAAAATTTGATGTTTGAATTTTATAATTAAATATAGTCCTAATAACAATTCACTAAATAACAATTGTTTTACATAACAACAATCGTTTTAATGTGAATGGCCATACTTAAGACATGTAAAACACTGTAAAAATCAAATTATTACAATCAATTTAGAAAGAGGAATATTTCTAACAACTTGATGCACACAATAATTATAGTATGTATTAGTGGAATAAAAGGATCAAATCATCGTCAATTCAATTAGAATGATCATTACTATTATAAGATTGAGTGAGACTGAAGAGGTGGATTAAGATTTGGGTCATTGGGCAAATTAATGCAATTTCCTAGTCAACAAGGCAAGACCGTCAAACAAAGACTTTTACTAATTGGAATCTTAGAAATATCTCCATTTTTCACATGAGTTCTACTTCCGAGTGTTAATTAACATTTTAAAAAAAAAAAAAAAAAAAACTCCATAAGTTCACTAGGGTAGATGTTAGAAGTGTATATTTTTTAAACAACACAAATAAGTGTTTAACATTGAGAAAAAAAAAAGAGAGTTAATCATTGTATGTAAGGCTAGAGACTACTTCTCCTATTGTCATATGATTTTGGGATAAAACCTCCTAAAACTTATAAAGTGGATGTGCGCTTTCTCTATTGGTGACGAATATAGCCCATACTCGTATTTAACAGAAGATCTTAACCAATGACCCTATGAAAGAGGCATGACCCCTGCTATTTTACTTATTAATCAAATCCAAAAAATCAATTGTTTTATTTATTACAATGAAATAAACAAAATTGTATCACAGAGTAGTGGTTAAATAGTTATACTTTTAACAAAAAAAATGAAGGTTTTAAGACTTTGCCTTAAGTATTTTTTTTAATTTATCAATACTCTGTCATTGATACTCCAAATTTTTTGTAATTATCTTTCCTTATATGGTACTCCGTATTAGTTTTACAATGTATAATAAAATCATGCGCAAATTAATGTAACTAATGAATATATTACTCCCAAAAAGAACGACCCATTTGGCCAAAACTTTGTCCCAAAAAGAATAACTCATTTGCATTAAAACACCCACCAATTTGCTACAATAATTGTGCAAAATTAGCTTCCCCATATAAAAATTTGATTTTCCATGTTATTTTATTACTTTCTCTCTCTATTTTTTTTACAAAGCCCATTTAAATTTATCTTTCCAATATATTTTTACTTCTTTTTACTTAACTTCCTTAATACCCGCGTAATCAACCTAAATGGGTCGTTCTTTTTTGGACGGAGGGAGTATATATTTCATCAATACTTTTTTTTTTTTGAGGGAATTTCTCTTTTAGCTTATTACTCCGTAGTATTTAGGACTATGTATAACTTTTTTCCTAAAAAAAGAAGACAAAAATCATGATGAAAAAGTTTTAGGAGATTTGGGCTTGGTAATAAAAAAAATGTTTGGTAATAGAAAAAAATGTTTTCTCAAAGAAAACTACGCTGAAACGTGTGCGAAATAGCTTGGGCCTATCCCCTCAAAAAAAAATAGCTTGGGCCTACTTGGCCATTGAGATTAGGAGAGTAGTACATTTGTTAACGTTTGTTAAGTGTTTCAATGTTGGAAAAATTGTCTTGAAGAGTCTTATATGTTTACTATTTTGTCTAAAAAGACCTTATATGCTGAAAGTTGTCTAAAAGGACCTTATAAGTATGTTTTGTTGTTTGAAAGGACCTTAACATCGGAATTCGGCATTTGACTTTGATTCTCCGTCATTGACCCCCCACGTGCATGTCACATCACATGGTATTAAAAAAATACCCTCTCCCGTTTTTTCCTCTTAACATTGGAATCTGCCGTTTGACTTTACTAGTGTTTTAAAGGCTAGGGTTGGAGGGGAAAGGGGAAAAAAGGGGAGAAGGCAATTTTTTTAATGTCATGTGACATGCACGTGGGGGGTCAATATCGGAGAATCAAAGTTAAACGTCGGATTCCGATGTCAAGGTCCTTATAAACAACAAAACATATTTATAATGTCCTTTTAGACAACTTTCAAATAAAAGGTCCTTCCAAACAAAATAGTGAATATATTAGTCCCTTTCATACAAATTTAAATTTCATTGTTCTCTAATACTTCTTCTGTTTTTTTTAGTCGACACGTTTGTTAATGCACAAATTTAATTATTAATATCTTTAATTATTGATAAATAAAAATCATAAAAAATTAATATTTTAAAAATATACGGAGTACATTATAAGATTTCGTTTGACTATATTTTTCTTCATTAATATCACAAAAGAGAAGAAGGGTGAATAGTGCGAAAGTCAAAACGTGAGGCATAATGTTTTAATAGGTGACCAATATCGAAATAGTGTAGCGAACACGTACTCAACCTTTGACAGCCACCTTTGTCCTCTCCGCTACCGTCGTAAACAAGCTGCGCCGTCGCTCTTTCTACCGTGAATTGTGAGGTTAGCTTTGATAATTGTATCATTCAATTCATCCTGTGTATTGTGATTATATTCCTAAATCAATTCAAATTTTGGTTTATTTTATTTTATGGGTTTTAATTCAATATCTTTAATTGGATGCTTTACTTGATTGCTGAAAATCTTCCCATCTCTGTTCTATTAATTTGGCTTCTCCAAACAATTTCATTGCATTTAGTTATGAATGTGTATTTTCTTAAAATTTAGTTATTTTGTGTTACTCTATGGTAGAATAAATTCTCAATCTTGATTCTTGAATATACAATTTCTAATGTAGGGTTGTAATCATTTACAAGACTACTCACTAATGATCATTAGACCCAAAAGTGCATTATTCAGCTAAAAGATGTTATCAAACTAAAACTCTATTACCAAAAATCAACATTTCGAATCAATGAATTGTTGAGTGCATAAGAAAGGAAAAATAATGTAAATGTCATTCGGATCGGAGGTTATGTTTGTCTAGTTGTCAACAACTATGCCAAAGGTTTTTTTATAGGCCTTTACATTTGGTGATCTTGATGCTCATATGACAATGGTTCATCTAAAAGTTCGTGATTTGGGTTGATGATGAACAGGCCTCTGATTAACACAAAGCTTAAAGTAATGATCGCTTATATTTGCATATGTTCTATAATTGCTGATTTGAGAAGAACCTTATGAAATCTAGGAAGTCGTGTAGTTGTGTGGATTGAGGGTGGTTATACAAGTTATCTTTATAAGGGAGAATGCTTGTGCATTGAATACAAATACAATAGCGTTGTCATATCCCTTGTTTCTGATGCTTGTAGTTATATAACTTATAAACTTGAATACTAGTACATGATTGTTAAAATAGCTAGCAATTTCCTTCTTTAACCCAAGAATTGTTATGTGGATGGGCTGTTAAAATTTGGTGTACTCAAGGAAAATCAGAATAGGGCTTCAGTGGTTCTAAATTTGGAAGATGAGAATGACATAGTTGAAAATGATTTTGTTTTTGTTACAGTAGGAAATGAGAATGAAGTTAAGAAAGCTGCTGGGGAGTCGTGTCTATTACCTGATTTTGAGGTTTCTGATATTGTTGAACTCAGGAATGAATTAGAAGCTTCAGAACTCAAGACTGAAAATGTGGAAGATAAACAAGTTAGTTCTGCTGATGAGAAGATACCCATGGTTTCACCGGAGAATCAGGATAAGGTTCCAACAATTCAACAATTGGAAAATGAGAATGAAGGTTGTTTTTTCTTAAAACAATATTACTTGTTTATGGTAAAGTATGTGAATGCAAATTGATGTTTATGATTGGTTAGAATCTTTTTTAATGTCATTGTTGCTTTATTTGTGAAGAATCTTTTGAAGGTTAGGAAGTTATATAGTTGTGTAAATTGAGGGAGGTAATTCAAGTTAGCTTTATAAAGGAGAATGCTTGTGAACTGAAGTCTAAATATAAACACAACAGCTCATATCCATGTTGCTGGTACTTGCAGTTCAAATGATCATGAATACCTGATTTTTGAAATGGCTAATAGATGTTTTCGCTTTGACAAATTATCATAAAGTTCACCTTTTTTTTCTTTTATAACTGGCGATTTCCTTCTTTCACTGAAAACTTACTCTGGCTCAATATATTGTTGTTAATATTCGGTGTTTTTAAATGCAGGTAATTTATCTCCATCTTTTATGCTGCCTAAGGGAAATCATGATAAGGTTCTTGCAATTGAGAATGCATTCCCCAAATATTTGGATTTTGCAAGAATTATTACGATAGGTGATTTAATGCTGGTTCCCGCGATCAAGTTAAAGTTTGTTTTTGGCTGCCCAGGGGGGTATACAATCTTTTTCCTAGTGGATGGATTATGAAAGATATGGTTGCCACAGGTTTTCGTGAATCTAAGTTTTTTTCAAAAAATGTACCTTTGTCAGATGAGGACATTGATGTTAGTTATTTAGTTCCTCGCAGAGTCATTGATGACTTTGAAATTATTGCTGAAGGAAATTTTAATTTTCGAGGTTCTAAATTAAACTCGGAAGAGATATATTTAGAATTTAAAAAAAAAAAATTACTTGAGAAATTAGGTGCTTATCCAATGAAATATTTTGGGACCCTTTTTGAAGGTAGAGTCGCAATGCAAGACGATTTGAGTGAAATGATGTCAGGTACTTTTTTTAATTAAATACTTTGGATTGCTTTACTTTAATTAATTTCATTTTCCTATTACACAAAGAACTTAATACCCGTGTTTACTTGCATGCAGTTTTGTCTCAAGAGAAGCCACCCACTATTGTTCTTAAGGGTGTGCCTTGTGAGTGGTTTGCTGGCCATCACTCAATGGAGAATCTTCGAGCTCTCTTTCATACTTTTGGGAGACTCAGGTATTTGAGCAATTTTGACTTAATATTCTTTTATTTTATACATTATTTGCTGCCAATGTACCCCTTCCTATGTTGAATTTCTTGTGTTAACATGAATCACACTTGACTTATTCACTAAATTCTTGAAATTTATGATTATATATATTTTTTTTTGGTGTTTTACACTTTTTTTTTCCCCTGAATTAATTATTGAAGGAATCTTGATATTGATGACAATAATGTCTCCATCCAATTTGAGGACCCTGAGGAGTGTTCCAAAGCATTAAAAAAATTGTGTTCTTGTTCTTTGAAAAAGGTATATTCTTAACCTTACTAATTGCTATATAATTGCTTAGCTCAAAATACAGGGTAATTCTTTTTTTTTTTTTACACAAACCTGAAGCACAAATTTTATTAAGGCATCAAGTTTGCAATATTGTTACAAATGACCCCTTGTAATTCAAGAGGGTACTCTTCAAGCCAAACTTGAAACTCATTAAAATTGCAACTTAACTTAGCTAAACAATGTGATACTTCATTACCCGATCTCCTAATGAAAGAGAAAGACACCCTTTCACAATCTCTCGAAAGCCTCTAAATATCCTTTACCAACTTGCCAAGCTCGTTTGGAAGAGTAATGCCCTTCTTCATATGATGAAATAGCTTGATGTTGTCCGTTTCTAGCACAAAATATCTGAATCCTGCTTCAATTGCAACCTTGAAGCTCTGCCTCATTGCAAATGCTTCGCCCACATCAACCTCAAAGTTACCTTGAGCACACTTGCAGCAAGCCAGTACTACATCTCACACACTGTCACGCAAGATATCCCCACTCCCAAGCTTCTGCTGATCGAAGAAAGCAGCATCAGTATTGAGCTTATAAACTCCATTTCCAGGGGACTTCCAAACTGACCCCATCTGAATCACAGGCTGCTTCACCACGGCCTTCTCTAATTCATCAGCATACTTACCAACAAGGCTAGCAGCTTTGTGAATGACTTCCAACTCCAGCTTCCTTTTACCTTCAAAAACCCATCCATTTTGTCTCAGCCAAACTCCCCAAGCCAAACACCAAAACATATCCCACCGGCCACCACCTAGCCTCGTTAATCTTTTCCTTCATAGCAGAACACCATTCTCTGAACCCACCATCCCGTCCAAGCTTAACATCCAACCATAGCGCTGAATATCTCCAAATCACTCCTACAGTCGGGCACAATAGCAGCATATGCAAAACTGATTCATCCTCTTCCCCACACATTTGCAGCAAAATTACTTCAAGTAGGGAGGCTGTCCTTAACACAACACCACTGAAAAATAATTCACTTTTGGCGGAATGTGAGCATGCCAAATAGTCTTCCACTAGAACTCACTCCTTCCTATTGAAGTAGAAGCTCATCCCCTCTCCTCCTCCTCAATCATCAAGTTATACGCACTTTTTACATTGTAATTTTCATCCTTCAAATAATGCCACGTCCAGGCATCCCCTTCATCAAAAATTGGAATAGGAATGCTGCTAATATTGACTACTTCCCTCTGGTTGAACAGCTCACTAAGCATGGCCAGATTCCATCTCTTATCATCCCATAGCTCATTGACAAAATTTGGGATGTTTTCTCCTACGCCCCTCTGTGACATAATACGAAAATCAGGTAGCTTTTGTACCCATGGGTTGTTCAGATGTGAATGCTGCTCTCGGACCCAACACTCTTCCTTGTCCTTTTTCAATCACATCCTTCACACTCAAAATTGACCTCCACATAAAGCTCGAATTAGAAGCAACTTTTGCTTCGAGAAAAGAAGAGTGAGGGCAATTCTAAAGATAGATATGAAATTTATACCTGCAAAAGATAACCATGCAAACTCTTTTCCTTGGAATCAGTTTTTTTTAGTTCATACTTCATACACTTTAACATTTGCCATCCACTCCCTCTCTATGGTATTTAATGAATTACTGTGGGGTACCAGGCTACCAGATATGTTGTGTTGAAACCATTCTGTTGGTATATGCTTGAGTTTCGTCAATTGTTTTAAAGGAATCTCCCCCTGCCCTGTGAACTAGTTGAATCTTGGAGCCTGCATGAGTTATGAAATTGAGACTTTTGAATCATTTAAATACTTTTGTTTGTGATTTTCATCGGTTTGGAATAACATTCTTGATTTTATTGTGTAGAGTAATGATTCAAGGATACTTTTGTTTGTGATTTTTATCGGTTTGGAATAACATTCTTGATTTTATTGTGTAGAGTAATGATTCAAGGATGGTTGATTATAATCTGACATTGAAGGACTTGCCTGATCCTAGCATCTCCCAAGAAATGTTGTCCACCAACAACTATCCTTCTTTGAAGAAGGATGATTCTATGCCAGTTAGCAAGGAAACTTTCAAAGGGCAAGACATGCATGCTTTGATGGTTCGAATGACAGAAATCGAGAAGGAGTTGAAGTATTTGAAAGCTAAGATAGAGACATCTTCTGCTTGTTAATCTGACTAAGCTGGTTAATCTCACTAAGTTGAAGTATTCTCTGTGTTGTGATCAATATCTACCCTACCTTTTATGCTACCCTTGTAACTTGGTTTGTTGTGCATGCTCCTAGATTTATGATTACTCCCTCCGTCCCTAAATTACAATCCTACTTCTCGCACATAATAAAGAGAAGTAGGAATGTAATTTGGGGACGGAGGGAGTACTGTTTTTGTTTTTCTAATCCGTTTATTCTTGGAATTGTGAGTAGTAGAGTATGTTTCTTGTGAATTGTGATGCAACAAATGTCTCATGTTGAGGAATGCGATCATTGTAGTCATCTTTAGTTTCTTTTGGGGGCAGCAACGATGGACTTTAAAGGATTTAGCGTGAAAAGAGAAGTGTTGCAACTGAAAGATAAAATAAAATAGAGGAAGTAAAATGTAGTAGGGTGGGCCAAAAAAAAAAAAAAATTGTTGTAGGGTGGGAATTTTTTTATTTTTTTTTAAGTAAGATGAAGGTTTGTAAATTTGAGTTAAAGGATCAAGACAACAAATTTTAGCAATCTGATAAGTTAACAAACCAGCAACTAGTACATTTTACATAACACTTTTATTGACTACTGCGCTGCTACTACATTCTTTTTTTTTTTTTTTTTTTTTTTTTTGAAATAACTACATTATATTGTTAAAATTGCTAAACGTTGTTAGATACGTAATATAAATTAAGGGTAATGCTATACATAGGCCTATGTATAAGCATTAGATATACTCTTGAAAATTAGGAATTTATGACCAAAACACGAGTAAATTGGTATAATTAGTGTGTTTTTGTCATGATTTTTAAAATTTAAACAATTTTTTAGAGTATATTAAATGCTTATCCCCTATAGCTATGTATAACATTTTCCATAAATTAAAACTAGTTTTTGGGCCCGGGCGATATATGAATTAATAAAAGATTAGTTTTTTTATTAACAAAATAAAATCTAAAAATATATTTGACAAATTTTGGTCAAAATAAAGGATTACGAAAGCTATGTGAATATAAAATGACGAAAAAATTAGGGCCCTGTTCACATATACTGAATTGAGCTGAAATGAACTGAACTGATTGAAGCTGAGATGAACTGAACTGAGCTGAAATGAATATTTAATGAGAGAAGGAAATTAGAAGCTGAACTGAACTGATTGGAGATGAACTGAACTGAACTGAATTGATTGGAGATGAACTGAACTGAATTAAAATTAAGTAAATGTGCTCCAGCCCTTATTAAAATTATGTTAAGAATGTTTTTTTATAGCTAAATATTTTTGTGTTAAAGATATGTCATTTTTATTTTGTTTAAGTAATTATACCTTATAAGTTTACGGAAATTTGTTTTTTTAATAGGTTTCTTTCAAGAAAAAAAAAAATCTTAGAATACACTAAGAAATGACATGTGTCAACGTTAGTGTATCTTTTAGTATATAGTTATTGATTGATATTAAAGTATCAAAAATAAAATTTATACACTTAATAAACCAATTTGACAAAAAAAAACAAAAAAAAGAGGTTAAATAAATATTTGTACTACTAATATCATATAAGTAGATATTTATCAATGAACTAAATTTATATGTAAAATAATAATTATTTATTTATTTATAATTTTTTTTAAAAATGGTTAACATGTCCTATAAGTAGATATTATATGAATTTTTTTAGAAATGGTTTTTGGAGGGAAAAAAACTACAGAAAATAATACGTGTTATTCTAGCTTAGTGTTTACTAGATATAAGCCCGTGCGGTGCACGGTTCTAATAAATATTTTTAATTAATTTAAGATTTTTTTATATAAAGATCATTCATCGGATATTTGAATAAAATTCCTAATATCATAAGATAATTTTTTTAAAAAAAATTTAACATTAAAGTTATCTTTTGTAGGTTTATTTATTTTACATGGCGCAAAAAGGGGGAATCTTCTAAATTTTTCTTTGTATATAAGGAAAAATATAGTGATATGAGATTTAATTTTATTCGTTTCGATGAGTACATTTTTAATATCTAATTTTTATAATATTTGCTAGGGAGAGATTAAAGATATTTACGATAAAAGATTTACATCCATATATGTAAAAAAGATAATTATTAGTTTTTTTAAATAATTAAATTTTAATTTTTCACAATTCGTTATTTTTATCTATGTGGCAAAATTCTTAAATCTTATTCGTCACTTTTTCTTAGGTGGCGAGTGAATTTTTTAATTCTAAAATAAATTATTAATCTAAAATTTCATCGGTCAAAATAATACTTTATTTTTATGTGGCGCATCGAATGCTCTCGAAAAATGCCTATTTATTTTTATATATATATATTAGATTTTAGTATTTTGTTATATATTGATATTTTTCGTATTCTCTCTTCTTCTCACTTATACTCGCTTTTATACGTAAGATTTTTTTTTTTACTCTTTAATCAGCCACATACACTTCCATCATATTTTACTACTTTAAATTATTCCTTCTTAAGCTACGCACATAAAAAAAAAATGAAGCAAGTAATAAATTACAGAGGGAGTAATTTATACCCAAAGCTGTTTATAATCTTTATATCCTTCTATGGAGCTGTTTATTGCTCCCAATAGTTGCTTATATCTAATCCGAGTATGGAGCTGTGTTATATATAGCCTTTAGGAGGAATTGGAAGTTATGAAAGTTGATTATATGTATGTACTCTCTTTGTCATATTAGAGATCAGAAACATCAACTTAAGATGGACAATACTTGGAATTTTCTCTTTATCATAAAACTTTGAACGAATGCACAATACTACTCCTTGAAACTGGAAGAAATCAAGTCTAAAAAACTCACAAAATAAATTACGAGTACAATAGAATGTTGCTGTTAGGTGCATATATAAATATATACTTGTAACAAATAAAATATGAAAAAATTGATCTGAAGGTCCCATAGAAATAAAAAGTGGTCACTACCTCTAAATACGCACTGATCGAGGGCACATGCATGGTCTGTTAGTTTAGTCTTGACTCTTGAGTGTTTACATGTGCTTCTTAGGGCTTGTTTTTGTAGACTAAAATAATGAGCTAAATTGAACTGAATTGAGCTTAACTTAACTGAGCTGAAATAAAATGAATATTTTATAAGAGAAGGAAATTAGGAGCTGAACTGAACTGAAAATAAACGTATGAGAACAGACCCTTACTGCCATAAGATTGTATTGCTACTCCCTTTTTTTTTTATTAAAGTGTTCTATTTTAATTAAACATGTTTGTAGATTGATATATATAAAATTTTGATCAATAACATCCTTTTAAGTAAAGATTGATGTATGTAAAATTTGATCAATAATACCCTTATAAGTAAAAAAATTATAATAATAGAATATGAGACGGCCTAGTCTCACTCTTTCAAAAGAAAAATAGTTATTAAATATTAATGTATTTAATAATTACCCACAAAACTTATATGCATATACTGATCGATCGATAAGGAGGGTGTTAATGGTGCTCAAATATTTTATAATTTTCATTCACTTTCTTTCTTAACACATACTCTATGTGGTAGTGGAACTGTGGACTATGTCTCTATTATTATTTTTTTAAAAAAAAGGAAATAAAGAAAGAAAACACTGTATGGCCAACTTTCTAGTTTTAGCATGTATGAACTCTAATACAAGAGGAGGGTCCTCTCATTAAATAATAATAATAAAAAAAAAATTAAAAAAAAAATTCAATTATATGTCCTTGGCACATACCTCTCCCTTCTCCTACAAACAAAGTTATAAATCATAATTGATCCACAATCTTAGAACTTCATTTTTATCACTAACAATTAAATAAACTCCCTATATATCCTTATTATTATTGCTAATATTCCTCCCTTCATCATTAAAAAAATCCAAAAATATAATAAAATGCCATCCATTTATTCAATTCCATTAAAAAAACTCCAAAATCCATCTTCCTTAATTTCACTCCTACGTAACACAAACCCTAATTATGAAACTTCATCCAAAAAATCAACCTCTAAAAAACCCTCCTCCTCTAAAGGCGGTCTTTTAAAGATGTTCAAGTTGTTCCCCCTCCTTACATCCGGGTGTAAGGTGGTGGCACTACTCGCGAAGTCCCACCACCTTCGCCGTCCCATGATATCCGATCATGCAACCATCATCACCCTCTTTGGCACGAGGCGAGGTCGTATAACCCTAGCCATCCAAGAAAACCCTCATAGCATACCTTTCTTTATGATTGAGCTACCTATCCTTAGTTCAACTTTTTACAAAGAAATGTCATGTGACATTTTAAGGGTTGCCCTAGAAAGTGAGACTAAAACACACAAAAAAAAGGTTATGGAAGAATTTGTTTGGGCTATTTATTGTAATGGTAGGAAAGTAGGGTACTCCATTAGAAGGACTCAATTGTCCGACGATGAAGTCCATGTTATGCAAATGCTTCACGGTGTGTCTATGGGTGCCGGAGTTTTACCTCCTTCACCTAATGATCAGCAACAACGTCGTAGTCGTGATCATCGTAACGATGGTGGTGGTGGTGATGGTGATGAGAAGATTGAGAAAGATGATGGTGATCAATTTACTTATTTGAGAGCAAGATTTGATAGAGTTGTAGGGTCTAAGGATTCTGAGGCATTGTATATGATTAATCCTGATTATTCTGAAGGGCCTGAGTTGAGTATTTTCTTTGTAAGAGGTTCATTTAAGTAGATTTTTTGTGTTAATTTTTGTACTTAATTAATTATATCAATTCAAATCATATAAATGTAATATCTTTGTCAAGATAAGTTCGTTGATAAAAAGAAAGGTGCAAATCTACATGTACAATAATATTGCTATAAAAAAATGCAAGGATATTTTTTTGTATTTATTTATTTGTTTGTTTTATGTCCACCAAAAAAACATATTGTAAATTAGGACGCAAATTAAACATGTGAAATTGGATGAAGGTCTAATCGCTTATTATGGAGTATTTAAGTCCCCAATAACAAATCTAGTAAACAATTTGTCCTAACTTAGGATCGATGTAGTTGGCAAAACCTTAAGTTCCAACTTCCAAGCCATGTTTTGTTTATTGTACTAGTCATAATTATTGAGTACAAATGCACGAAGTATGTATTTCTTGTCTAAAAAAGGGTAGATAATTATACTACGTATTTAATAGCCGACACATCAAACTCGTATATTATTCGTATATACATCTACTATCGAAGACTTTGTGTCAATTTTTGTCAATTATATACAGAGAATCGTGTGACCAAATGATCAAATGCTGTAGAATTTGTTAGGACCAAATTTAAGATTGACAATTATGAGCTAATGACATGATATAATTAAATGAGTCATGAAATGCAAATTAAGATAGCAATAACCAAGCAATTGGATTATGTATGTATGTTTGTGCTGAAAATAATTGATGGAAAAAATTCGATACTAATTATGTCTTAACTAAAGGGTGTAGTGTGTATATGTACTCAATAATTGGTTTAGGTGTGGTTTGAGTCAGCTCATCACAAGAAAAAAGTTAAGTGAGCCAGAAAATTTGGAAAGAGGCCAAATCAATATACCTTTCTCTATCAATGAGGGCTGGCTTTTAGAAGGTATGACATGTTTATTACTGTTGATTAGGGCAAGATTGATGATTTACCTAATCAAAAGACAAAATGATGGATTTTGTTAGGTTTTTTTTTTTTTTTTAAATAAATTATTTAAAAGAAATTATGTAATTTATTTTTTATTTTTAAATGTAGATTATGTATTCCGGCTAGAATGTTTATTTTGAAAACAACGACCCATTTTTATTTTTAAATGTAGATTATGTATTCCTTTTTCTTTATTCAATGGGTCGTTGTTTTCAAAGAAAAATAAAAAGGATTAGATTCACGTAATGAAGATGTAAGATATGTGTTTGGAATGATTAAAACTAAAAAATAAACATATAAAAAACTTTGATTTGTAAACCTAAACCTTAAATCATAAAGTAGTTAAGGTTATCATAATAAACTCAAGGCGGAGATAGCATATACCAAGCCTTCAACCTGCGCCAAATAAAAGAAAAGTACTTATTCTTAAACAAAATCAAACAAATGCATGCATGGTATTAAGAGTCAAGTTTAACACTCATATAATCGCAATTTCATTCTTAGTTCCAAACTCATACCATCTTATCTTATAGATCAGTACAAGCGAATTAATTTCAAACTGCTTTTCAAGAATAGTGAAGATCAAACATGGGGCCTTACTTAGAATAAGTGGTAATGTCAAGATAAGATTATATGAACAAGCATAAATATATAATAAAGGTATACATATGAAGTGGGAAAGGAGGAAATAATGAAATTGAAAGGTCGTTAAAAAAAGATGGGATTAAAAGTGAACTGTTAATGTTGGGGAATTGCATGTGCTTCTCTGATCATCACATTACATATCAACATCTATCTCTTTGCTTTTTTTTTTTTTTTACACTTTACAATCCCATCATCTCTAAACCAAAACAAGAAAATGTATGTTACTTCTTTGCATTCAGACTTGAGAGTAGGGGCGTCAATTCGGTTAAACAGTTCAGGTTTGGGTTGGGTTTATCAGTTTTGGGTTATAATAGGTCGGTTTATAACGGATTGAAATAATAAACGGGTCGGTTTGGGTCGGTTTTGAAAATTATCAGGTTAGATCGGTTTGGTTTTTTTAATTGCAGTTTCTATTCGGATCGGGTCCTTATCGGGTCGGGTTCTAGTCGTTTTGGGTCATAATCAATTTGGGTTGAACCGAGTCGGTTTGAAAACGAGTTTAGCCCGTTTAATGTGGGTTTCAGTTAAAAACAGTTCGGGTCTTAATCAGGACGGGTCGTAATTGGTTCGGGTCATAATCAGTTTGGGTTTAACTGGGTCGGTTTGAAAATGGATTTCGGTTCAAAACAGATCGGGTGAAATCGGGTCCAAACATTATTGTTTCAGGTTATAATCGGTTTAGATTGAACTTGGTTGGTTTGAAAACGAGTTAACCCAATTTGAAGCGGGTTTCTAATCAAATCATATCGGGTTAAAATTGAGTCGGATGATTATCGAGTCGAATTAGTCAGATAACGGGTAGGAACGAGTCATGTTATAATCAAGTCAAGTCATAAATAAGTTGAGTTTATCGAGTAGTGGGTTGAAAAAGATTAGATCATAAACATATTGGATAACAGGTTGTAAATGACTCAGTCATAACGGGTTACGGGTTTAAACGGTTTGTTCACAACGGGTTACGGGTCGTAAACGGTTGGGTCACAACGAGTTACGGATTATAACTGGTTCGGTCACAACATGTTACGGGTTGGAACGATTTAGGTTTATTGGATTTTTATCGGGTTTTAACGGTTTTCGGTTTAAAACGGGTTGGGTTACTATTGGGTTTAAATGTAATCGGTTTGGGTTGCTTTCAGTTTCGGGTTGTAACAGTTTGGCTTGATAACGGGTCGGGTTAGTAACGGTTTGCACAAATTCGGTCAGTTCAATATTGGGTTTGAAAAAATTAGGTCAGGTCAGTATTCGGTTTCCAAAAAACGGGTTTTAAACAGTTCAGTTCCTTTTCGGATCTGAGTAGAACATAATAATTTAGTTTCTCGTAGAAAAAAAAATGAAAATAGATTTGATGTTTGGAGTTGAAGGGTTTTCATTTGGAAAATTGGAAACTAATAATCCCACATTTGCCTTTTTTACTCAAAATAATCTCACATTTGCCTTTTTTACTCAAAATAATCCCACATTTTCGAAATCCCAAAATAATCCCATTCGAAATCCCAAAACAATCCTACCTTATACCCTCATCTTCTTAAAACAAGCCTTTTACCAATTCGTAAAATTGGTAACTTGTTTTAAAAATGCCTTATACTCTCACTCCAAAAAACGCCTCTCCTGCGCCGGTTCATTTTGATTTGGTTTATTGTTGAGAGATTGGGAGGTGGATTAGGGAATGGGAGGGTCCACGACTAGGATGGTTGATGAGCGACGACCCGGTGAGATTAAGCTGGGCGGTGGAGGTGCTGATGGGGGAAGGGCTGGTGTTTAGGCTTATCTTTTTTAATCAAAAAAAAAAAAATTATTTTTTTAAACTTTTTCCTTTATTTTTCTAGACCAATAGAAATGCGACATATGTAATTAAATTTTTTTTGTAAAAAAAATTAACCTATTTATTAGGTTACTAGTTATTAGGGACTACTAGTGGCAAACTGACCCCAAAGTTACGTTATTAAAAAATCAACCTTAGTTGGGATTATTAGAATTAAATCGCTTATACTTAGGATTATTAAATGTTTTTTTTTAATATTAGGCCAATCATGGGCTGACATGTAGCATTTAAAAAATAATAATGTACCCTTTGTTTTTGGGACTAATGGAGGCCAAGTCAGGACATAGTTAGGATTATTAAAAAATAAATCTTAGTTGGGATTATTTGAAATAAATCGGCAATAATTGAGATTATTAATGTGTATTTTTCCTATTTTTAAAGGAAAATTTGCCAAGAATAATATCACCTTTCAGCCATCTTCCAAAAATGAAACCACCTTTCGTTTATTTCAAAATAATACCACCTTTCACATGGTTCTTCTATAAATGGAACGTGACCTGTTGGTAACTTGTTAATTAGGTTACCAGTGACATGTGTCACAATTTCATTGGCTAATTTATTTTTTTAATAATTTTGATTTTAAAATATGTAAAAAAAAAAAAAACCTTGATTTTTTTTTAAAAAAATGGTTTCCCTACAGAGCCACATCCTCCTTTCATCGGAAACCACCATCCCTTACTTTCGGGCCCTCTTATCTCCCATTTTCCAGCTCCTTCTCCCCTTTCCTTCCCCATTTCCGGATCCCTCATCTTGATAACAACCTCCCGAAACCCTTATCTACTGAAAACTACTAAACCACCTCCCCGAAAGGCCGAAACTAACCTTAACCTATCGAAACTTATGGTTGTGTGAAGAGGAAGGGGGAGGGGGACTGAAAGCGGAAAGCGAAAAGGGAGGATGGGATAAAATCGGAAAAGTAAAAGGAAGGGAGGCTTGAAATTAGAGAAGGGAATGGGAGGGTGGCTGAAATCTTAAAAGGGGAAAGGGAATCGGAAAAGGGGAAAGGAGGGGTCGGAAACGAAAAGGGAAAAGGTAAAGGTGGCCAAAATCGAAAAAAGAAATAAGAGAGGGGGCTGAGAACGGAAAGGGGTAGGGGATGGGGTGGTTTTCTGTGGGCAGTGGTATGTTGGTGGTGGTTCGGTGGCCGACAGGGGTTGGGTAGGGAGAATTTTTTTTTTTTTCAGTTTTCTTTTTTTTTAATATGTATATTTTATAATTTTAATTTAAAATCATTATTGTTAAAGACAAATGTTTTTAAAAAACCTTGGTCAATCAAAATATGACACGTGTCAATTGCTACTTGTAAAACAGGTCACCGGTTTTTTGTTCCATTTATAGCAGATAGGCATTAAAGGTGGTATTATTTTGAAATAAACAAAAGGTGGTTTCATTTTTGGAAGATCTGGTATTATTCTTGACAAATTTTCCATTTTAAAATGTAGTTTCAAAAATTTTTAAACTTATATAATTCAAAAGGGATATTATTTATGTTGATTGATATTAATAATGTTTCAATATTGTATAATACTTTTACTTTTTAATTCATATTTAGTCTGTAAGTCTACATACATCATCCGTTCATTTACAATGCAAAATGGTGGTAATTACACTTCTTAATTCACAATTTAAGTCTTTTGTTTAAGAAATTTAATAATTATATAATTTAAACCACTGATTTTTATTTTGTAAGAAAATTAACTTTTCAGAGTGGGAAGGGAAAATGAAGAAAAGGGAAATTATATATATATATATATATATATATATATATATATATATATATATATATATATATATAAAGGACAATTATATGTATTAACAATGTGCAATATAACAGATAGTTAATTTTACGTAATTTGTTAATTTTAATAATTTAAATATAATTTGTTTCACGTTATTTGAACCCAATTATAAAAATAAAAAATTTAGTTTTGTCAAGTGTCAGTTTTATCATTATTTTTTGCAATGAAATAATTTCAACAATTGTTTTAATAAGAGAAGAAAATGGTAGAAAAAAGTGAGCATTTTATATTGTAAATATAGTAAAAGAGAGTTTCTAAATTTTAAGATGGTAGAAAAGCCATATTCCTGATTATTGATTTTTGTATGTATATTAATTTTTCTCTCTTTCTTAAACAGGATGAGTTTTGTATGTATATTAATTTTTTTTCTCTCTTTCTTTAACTGGATGATGTCGGCATTACGTACAATGACCCGATTCTTTGAGTTCGTGCAGATTCAAGTTAAGGGTCATTTGTTTATGAAGGCATAACAATCATCCAACAACATCAAAACAAAGCCCATAAGAGGTGTTATGTGGGAGAAGTATATATCAAATGACGTTGATTTGATTTTACCTTCTTAGGACGACTTCACTTATTTTGGATGCTTATTTATATATAAAAATGGGGAAGAAGGTTAGGGTTGAGTAGCTTAGGTAAGTGGCTGCATTGGCCGAGTTCACTTACAACACCTCTTACCATGAATCAACCGGGTTAACGACCCCATTCAAGGTGGTGTATGGTAGAGATCCCCCAAAGCTGCTGAAGGTAGGGCGAGGCCAAACTTATACTAATAAAATTACTGCAACTCTTCAATATCTGTAACAAATTGCTCAAAGTCGTCTTTGTCTACATTGATGTGTCGATTTAACATCTAATGCAACTTATACTAATCCATTGCTGCAAAATACGATCTCATGGACCCAACAATGGTGCACGCTGGCTAATCAAAGCCAATACAATTACATTATTAAAGGCAATGAGCCAATAATCCATCCATCTTGTCAAAAATAGTCCTACGGATTAATGGTTTTCATTAAATATTAATTCAAGTTGAGCACTTGAATATTACATGGAAATAATCAAATTAACAGATTAATGTACATGGGGTAGGTGGATGGTAATGGATGTATTGAAGGAAACTATTTCCGTGGCTTTTCCATTCCATGATCCTATCAATACATACAATATACTAGCCTTATCTCAAGGCACTAATCTAGCTACAATATAGGAAACAGCTATATACGAAGCACAATAATAGGAACTAGAATATACAAAGTCAATGATATATTATTCTAATATATCTTAACACACCCCCTTAGTCAAAGCGGGAGGAGGACGGACGCTTAGACTATCTCGAAAATCTTCAAATAATACCCGTGGTAGTCCTTTCGTGAAGATGTCCGCAATTTGGTGCCTAGATGGAACAAGGTGGACTCGGACCTCACCTCTAGCCACTTTCTCACGAACGAAAAGAATGTCCATCTCAATATGTTTGGTACGCTGATGATGTACCGGATTACCCGAAAGGTAAATAGCACTCACATTATCACAGTATACCAAGGTTGCCTTCTTAATCAGACAATGTAACTCCAAAAGTAATTAAGTTTCTAAGCCAACACGACTCGGAAACTACATTAGCAATACCCCTGTACTCTGCCTCAGCACTAGACTTAGATAGAGTAGCATGTCGTTTCGAGGACCAAGAAATCAAATTATCACCCAAATACACACAATGTCCGGATGTGGAGCGTCTCGTATCCGGACACCCGGCCCAATCTGCATCTGTATATGAGACAAGAGAAGAAATAGAAGATGGATACAGATGCAAACCATGATCAATAGTGCCCTGTACATAACGAATAACCCGTTTGAGAGCAGGCATATGCTTCTCCTTCGGATCATGCATATGTAAGCAAACCAGTTGGACCGCATATGATATATCCGGTCTAGTAAATGTGAGGTATTGCAAGGCCCCTGCAAGATTACGATACAATGTAGGGTCGGCACAAGGAGAACCTGTAGAACTGTCCTTCGGTTTCACCTCAACAGGTGTAGCCGAAGGTTTACACGAAGCCATCCCTGCTCGGTCAATAATTTCCTCTGCATATTTGCGTTGTGACAAAAATAATCCACCCTTATGTCTTGTCACTGCTATGGCAAGAAAATAATTAAGATGACCCAAGTCCTTCATAGCAAATTCCGAGCTAAGAAGAGACATAATAGAACGTCGCAGAGTATCAGAAGAAGCAGTAAGAATAATGTCATCAACATATAATAGCAAATAAGCCACATTCTTCCCCTGCCGATAAATAAATAGAGAATTGTCACTCTTACTATTAGTGAAACTAATAGAAGCAACAAAATCTGCAAACCTCTTATACCATGCCAGGGGTGCCTGCTTAAGACCATATAAAGACTTTCGTAACAAACATACATAATCAGGGTGAGTATGATCACGGAAACCAAGAGGTTGATGCATATATACTGTCTCATTAAGCTCACCATGTAAAAAGGCGTTCTTGACATCAAGCTGATGTATAGGCCAAGACTTGGATAAAGCAAGGCTAAGAACAGTCCGAATAGTAGCCGGTTTGACAACCGGACTAAAAGTCTCCCCACAATCAATGCCAACCTGTTGTGTTTTGCCATCACCTACAACACGGGCTTTATGCCTCTCAAAAGAATCGTCAGACTTCACCTTATGAGTAAAAATCCACATAGAACGAATAACATTAACATCAGGCGGACGGGGCACCAACTCCCACGTCTTATTTTTAATAAGAGCATTATATCCATCATCCATGGCCAGTTTCCAATTCGAGTCAGTAAGAACAGAAATGGGGTTACGGGGAAAAGGGATTTCGTAACATTAGTCGTCATAGCACTGAAATTTTTATATTTCGGGTTGGGCTTGACTATACCATTTTGACCACGAGTTACACTAGTAGAAGAGGAGGGTTGTGGATATGAGTTAGGTGGGAGAGGAGCCGTGGAGGTATTTGGGTCAACTGGTTGGGTAGGACTCAACTGGGCCGTGGCTGATTGAACAGGCCCACGGTCCGGCGGGGCCCTATTCTGCCCACCAGTGACTTGCGTGCTAGGAGAGAATGGGGAAGGACTTGGGAGCCGAACTGGGCTTAGAGGAAAGGAAAGAGAGGGGAGCCGAACTGGGCTTAGAGGAAAGGAAAGAGAGGGGAGCCGAACTGGGCTTGGAGGAGAGGAAGGAGAGGGAGGCCCAGTTCGTGTAAATGGAGTAGGAGAGGGGGCCGTAGAGGGCAACCCAGAAGATTGCAAATGATGAGCAACATATGGGGTGAGTCCATCACCCAAAAAGTCATAATCATGGGAAGAGGGAGTATACAAATTTGCAAAAGGAAAAATATTCTCATCAAACATAACATGCCGGCAAATAATTATTTTATTAGAAGATAAATCAAAGCATTTGTAACCCCTATGATTCGGCGGAAATCCCAAAAAAAACACGGTGTTGATCTAGGTTGAAGTTTGTTAATGGTGGTAGACGGAATCAAGGGATAACACAAACACCCAAAAACACGTAAGTGAGAGTAAGAAGGGTCCTTTTGGTATAGAACTTGGATTATATTCTAGAAATTTACTTGGTAGCATATTATGGAGATATGTTGCCATTTGCACAGCATGATGCCAAAATGACGGGGGTAAAGAAGCATGAGCAAGGAGAGTACGAATGATATTATTCAATGATCTAATTTTTCTCTCGGCCTTACCATTTTGTGAAGAGGTATGGGGACATGAAAGACGGAAAGACATGCCATTAGACTCACATAAAGCCCAGAAAGAACCATTATCATATTCCCGCCCATTATCACATTGAAAGGTTTTAATAGGTCGTTCGAATTGGGTACGAATAAATGCTTGGAAAACTAAAATTTTGTCAAACACATCCGACTTTTTAGCTAAGGGAAAGGTCCACAAAAATTTCGAATAATCATCCAATACAAGCATATAATAACGATGACCCAAAGAACTTAAAACAGAAGATGTCCATAAATCACTATGAATAATATCAAAAGGCATAAAAGTACTAGAATTCGATGAAATAAACGACATTTTAATGTGTTTACCAAGTACACAAGAATGACAAATACTAGCACTAGAATCACGAGTACATTCAATGCTTTTATTACTACGAAGAGCCTTTAAAATAGAAGGACCCGGGTGTCCCAATCGATCATGCCAAAGTGAGGAAGCTAAAGCTGTGAAGGTTGATGGAGTTGAATTTGCGAAAGTGGTAGTGAGGGGATAAAGATCTCCTTGGCTATCACATCTCATTATTGACATCCCCGTCCGATAATCCTTCACATAAAAACCATAAGGGTTAAACTCAACGGTCACACAGTTATCATTGGTAAATTTCCTAACACAAAACAAATTTTTAATTATTTTGGGAGCATGAATGACATTAGTAAGGGACAAAGGTGGGTTTGGGGAAGGCAATGTAGTATGACCACAACCATGAATTGGAATTGTATGACCACTACCAACAACAATACCATTATGATGATTGCTCAAATTAAAATAAGACGAGATATTACCATTGGAGGATGTCATGTGGGAGGTTGCATCGGTGTCCATGTACCACGAGGGATCGGGTTGGCTCAACGTCTTGGTGTGCATCGCCGATTCAAGATCCGTCTAGAAATATGGCATGGACTGCTGTTGCGGAGAAGCCATGTAGGCTTGTTGTGGGCGTGGGCCCAAAACCCCCTGCAGTTGTCTTATTGGGCCCTGCTGACGAGCCCAGCCTTGGGTGGGAAATGGGCAAGGAGGTGCAGCTTAAGGAGCCCAACCCCAAGGTTGGTACGGTTGATGCGCCTGCTGCCATGGTGGAGGGGCAGCCCAGGCCTGCTGCTGTTGTTGCGGACCACCGCGGCTGGGCTGCTGTCCACTGGAGCTCTGGCCGCCACCACTACCGCCGGTACTGGTACCTCGACCACCGCCACCGGATTGTTTGCGACCACCCGATTTTTTCTGATTTTTGTTCTTGCCCCGAGACATACCCGAATCCCCCCCGGAATTGGCAGCATCACGAGGAGCACTCACCATCATAGCAGAAGCCGACGTCGTTGCAGCTTTCTTCACCAAGCCTGCCTCCTCCAATGTGAGCATGGAACGGGCTTGGTAAAATTGAGGAAGAGGATTGCTTTGCCTTATCAAAGTTGCAACCCCATTGTACGGTTCGGTTAAACCGGAGACCAATTGAAGGACAAGGCTGTTGTTATCCACCGGTGCCACAACATTTTTCAATTGGCCGGAGAGACTCTTGAGTCGTTGACAATACACCGAGACGTTAGGGAAATCCTCCATATCAGTGTTAGAGAATTCATGTTCAAGAGTCACGGCACGGGAATTTTGATTGTCTTGGAATATGTTTTTGAGTGTATCCCAAGCCTCCATTGCCGTCGAATCAGGTTCCATAATTGTGTGCATAAGGTCCCTCAAAATTGTGGAATAAATCCACCCAAGAACGGTTGCATCCAATGTGTAGGGAATAATTTCAAGCCTTTAAAAATCCCACTAGCTCGAACCCCACTGTGATCATACACTAAAGTACGGTGGCGTCCAAAAGGGAAGAAGATAGAGCAAAAGAGTCGCCAACAAGTTTTTAAGGAACTTGTAAACCGTTCACGAGGTGAAGGTTACACCCCTTAACGATCCAAGAGATCGCCAACTCCATAAGGTCATGAACCAAATAAGGGTTCAGGGATGATGGTACAAATCCAACCTAAAAGAGATTGAACATGCCCTAATAATAGGCCTCTACTTTATTCTGATCGTATTCATGTGCGCTTTCTAATTAACATACAATCAATAGATTAACCCTAAACCTGTTTAATCTATGTTGGTTGAATTTAATGCACAAATAAACTATTATTGGTGATCACTTGAATTATAATCAAATTAGCCCTAACAAGATTATTAATATCTTATTAAGCGTGATTGCAAATACCAATTCCCTTTAACCTGCAATAAAAGGTGATCAAGCAATAACGATATAAAATAATATGCCTATTAAGCAACATAATAAATATCCAACAATCAATCATAATCGTAAATGTTAGAAAGAACATAGGAAGCATCATACTTTTAATCATGCTTGATATTAAAAATACCCTAGACATGATACCAGGAATAACATAATAACAATATAAACATGATGTCTACATCATAAAATCAATAAAGTACTTACTTAGATGCCTCGTAGCTCTTTCTAATTACAAAATACACACGTTAGTAACTTCAAGGAAAATAATAATCAAAACAATTAAATTAAATAATTGAAATAGAGATTTGAGACCAAACCCTCAGAAATTAAAACCTTTACGTCTAGGGCGAAGACAACTTCGAATATGGCTAGGTGTATCTAGATCTTGTGAATGCGGAATTTTGTATGAAAAAGCAAAATAGAAAAGAATACTAAAGAATCAATGTTATTGATGATTGATGAACGAAAGATGATGAATGAAGAGAATTGATGAGATTTGATGAAGAATTGATGAGAATAGTTGAAGATAGTTGGTGTATTCGTGTTGACAATCCGTCCATGAAAACGGAGTTTTGATACGATATTTATAGAGAAAATCAGCCAAAAAAAGATAATTTATCAAAACAAAGTCTGAAGACTACAGAACCACCTTGGCGCCAGCCCTGGCTTATTGGCGCCAGGACCAGTGGCTAGCGCCAGGCGTCAATGGCTGGCGTCTGGCGCCAATCCTGGTTCCAGGCGCCAAGGCCTGGGGTTGGACGCCAAACCGGCTTTTAACGCGTTTTCGAAATTCTGATAAAATTCCCGTACTGGAAGATAAAATAATATAATTTCAGTCGAAAATGCTATTTGATCTAATTAAAACTCTAAAGAATCCTAATTGAATTAAGAATGATAAGAACCTTCTAGAATGTTCTAGAAGACCAAAACCATTCCTAATTATATTAGGAATGATAAATCATATTAGGCCCTCCCCTAGATCATTGCGCCGTACTTAAAACTCAAACCGGGCCCAGTTTAGTAAATTGGCCATAAATTCCTCAATATTCATCGGAATTGGGCTTATAATATATCGTTAGAAAGGTCTTTGCAAGCCCTACCTAACTATACCACTATTGGACCCATATCATGGACCAACCAAACTGGATTGACTGTTTAAAATAAAGTTTTCAAAAACAGAGAGAAGAGAAAAGAAAAGAAAAAAAACTCTCCGCAACACTATACCTTTCCACACCTTCGTTTCATTCGATTATGATTCAGCGTGAAAGTCACTCATCACTGAGTTTTGTTTTGGGGAGACACAAATGGGTGTCTACACAATGTCGAAACTCCTTTTCCTCATCGGTCGAAGGGGCAGCCACCTTCTTTTTCGGAGCAATAATATGGTCTATAACCTTGTGAGATCGAGCATTAATTTTGAAAAGTTCTGCCCAAGCAGAGTATTCGACATTCTCCATTTCAAGCGTAATAGGAATGTTGCTTTTGATATTTGACACTGTAAAGGCCGGATGAAAAGTGTGTTTGGCTTCGGCCATGGTTGCAGTGCAAAAAGGATAAGAGAAGAAGAAGAGAAGGGAGAAGAGAAAGAATGGCGGAACAGGACAGTAGGATGCAGCGGAAGAAACCCTATACTGTTGATACCATGAAGGAAACTAATTCCGTGGCTTTTCCATTCCATGATCCTATCAATATATACAATATACTAGCCTTATCTCAAGGCACTAATCTAGCTACAATATAGGAAACAGCTATATACGAAGCACAATAATAGGAACTAGAATATACAAAGTCAATGATATATTATTCTAATATATCTTAACATGTATTATTGATTGTTTGTGGGAGATAGAACCAATTAAGAATTTATACATGTGGGATTAGTGAAATATTAAATTAATAGTGCTCGACCATTTCCAAACTAGAATTGGAAGTGTATGTTGTACTTGTAATTAATAAGGGATGAAAGAGGTAGGTGTTGTAAGTATTTATAAACAAAGGAGTAATATGAAGTATATATCATGTATATGTGATCATTGGGTGGTTCGGGCCGGGCCTAAGCCTAAAAATCCAAACCATCAAATCGGGTCAGGCTAAGGTTCAGGCCGAATATGCTTGTCCAAATCCATAAATTTTGACCGAGCCTAACATGCACGGCTTATCGAGCCAGACCAAAAAAAAATGTGTAGAATGCTTCGGGCTGAATTATTTTAAGTCCATGGCTCGTGAATTCGAGCTAGCCGTCAGGCCGGGCCCATCTTGAACAGATTTAATATAGAGTGGTACTTTTAATTACTTACTGGGGATTTGACATACGCGATGTGGCTAGTAGCGTGAAAAGAATTTTCATAATTGTCCTTAATATCGATCCTATGCCTATTTGCATGGTATTTTATTACAATTATTTGGATATAGGCGATAAATATGTTTTTTTTTTTTTTTTTTTTTTTTTGTGTAATTGTGCAATTTTGAAACTTTTATAGAGTTAATTTACATTTATTGAGGATCAACAAATTAAAAAAAAAATGTTTTAGAAATATAATTGTTTGATATATTTAAAGAAGTTATTAGGAAGAATCAACTAAACAAGGCATTGCACAGAAATGGAGAGTAAAAGACATATGGAGTAGTTTTGAATATAATTGAAATGAACACAACTTTTTATTTAAGAATAATCACTCAAATTAGCCTAAATTGAGCATTTAATTTTTTTGTAAGCATAATAGGAAAACATAAAAGAGCTTCTCAAGCTTTTAAATGGGGGCAAATATGTAAAGAAATATTTTTAGGGGTACATATATCCGCACGCACACTATTTATAAGAGTTATCTCAAACTTTTTTCTATCGGTAGGGAAGTAATAAGAAAAAAAAAAGTAAAGAGTTCTTGAAATTTTTAAATGAAGACAAATATGTAATCAAATATTTTTTTAGGGTATATATATTCCCATACTATTCATCAAAGCACTCTCAAACATTTCAAAAGGAAGTTATTCTTAAATAATAAATAAAGATCATATGACTAAACCCACATAATTTTTTAATCCAAAATCTATAATTATAATTAAGAGAATTTGATCATGTGACCTTAAATTTTCAGGACTGCACAAACATAGATATTAAATACATTGCTGCCAATCTGCAATGTTCATTTTCCTTTCGCCCTTTCCTTCTCTATTTATTTTGCCTATATCAGATACTCCCAATTCCCAAATGGAAAAAAGGTACCCACCAAATCAAGATATACTAATCTGTTGCAATTTAATAAGGAAAAAGCTAATGAGCGCCCCCGGGCGTTAGATAAGAGAATTAAAATGCAAATATTAGAGTAAAATTAACATTTAATTACACCGAACGACGCGTGATTTTGTCATGAATTCCTAATTTATCGTTATCTAACGCCCCGGGGCGTTCGTTAACAAGATCGATTTAATAATCAGATTATCATTCTTTTTACAGTGACTAGGTTCTCATAAAAACTGTTTTTCATACATTTGACAGGAGAAAATGAAGTCAGCAGAAGATTAGCAAAACTTGGTCTAAAATTCAACTATCAAGTCGTTGAGGAAGCAACAAATTTCTTTTACCCATTGAATAAACTCGGCCAAGGTGGAGCAGGAATACTTGTATTCAAGGAGGATGCTCCAGTTTCCCATTGTGAGAAACAAAATTCTCACGTGACATTTTCGTAAATAAATTAACAACTTTATTTAACTTTATTCAACTGTGAAGCCCACAATAATGAAAAAGTAGTTGATTTATTCACGAAAATGCCCCCATAAAAAACAACTTTCGTTTCTCCCATTGAGAAATAGGGAATTTTCCGTATGCAAGGGGACACTCCCAAATGGTCAAGCAATCGCTGTTAAACGAATGTACGTTTTTCAACACAACACAGTGGGCAAAGGAATTCATCAACGAAGTAAACTTAATCAGAGACATTCAACACAAGAATCTTGTTAAGCTGCTAGGATGTAGCATTGAAGGGTCTGAAAGTCCCCTGGTCTACGAGTTCATGCCTAAGAAGAGCCTTGATCACCATCTCTTTGGTATTGCTTATTTTTTTCCCATCCATATTCCAAATACAGGAACTTGCATGAGATTTTTGGTTCATATATAAATTGTTTATTCTGTAAAAAGGGGGTCAGAATCTGAATTGGAAGCAAAGATTGCAGATTTTGGTTTGGTAAGGTCTATTGCTTCAGGTAGGAGTCATCTGAACACCGGAATTGCTGGAACACTGTAAGTCATCAAAAACCAATCTATTGTGTAATTTTGTTGATTGAAAGTTACTTCCTGCTATAACTCCAAAGGAGCCATTTAATTCACTTGCTGATATATCCGGCTTGGTTTCCTTCTCCTTTTACTGAACTGAAATTGTTTTAACTGATTATAACTGATTTATACCAATAAAAACTTGTTCTTATTGATTCACTAGTGCTTTTTGTTATATGCAATTACTGAGTAAAACTGATTTTTTTACTGAAGTTTTGTTCTAAGTTGGAGAGAATGAGGCCTAAATTCCGCAATTATAAATCTTAAGACATGACTAGCTAGGGATTTTGTAGTGTTGCTGGTGCAGCGGATACATGGCTCCAGAGTATTTGGTTCAAGGACAACTTACTGAGAAAGCAGATGTTTACAGTTTTGGGGTACTTGTTCTCGAGATAATAAGTAGTAGGAAGAACGTTTTCATACAGGATTCACTATCCCTTCTACAATGTATATGCTTCAAATCACCATAAATTGCGTATGATAGTAATGAAACTATTATAATCATCTCTGTTCTTCATCTTGAAAATTGCTGAGACTTCTTGTTGTTTTACAGGTTTGGAATCTCTACAGATTAGACAGACAATATGAATGTGTTGACTCTTACTTGGGTACCGAGTTTCAGGAGGAGGTATTAAAAGTGCTTCAGATAGGTCTTCTCTGCACTCAAGCTTCAGTCCCTTAAAGACCATCCATGGCTCAGGTGGTTGACATGCTAACTAGTGGAAATTGCGAGATACCAACACCGAATCAACCTTTATTCCTCAATACCAATTTGTTTGGAAGTACCGGCCATTTTAGTGGAAAACGTCACATTAGAACTAGCTTAGACTCACTTCCCCTCATTCAAAACCAAGATGAGAAAAGATAAATGCAAGTTTCATATTTGTATACCAAAAGCGTCTGCTGTATTATTCTTAAAGGTGTTACTATTACGAGTATAAGGGACAGTAGTGTTACAGTTTAGGAAAATACAATTCTCTTAAGAACCTTATAAAAATCAAATCCAAGATGTTGTTTATAGAAGGTTTTTAAGAGAATGAAGGTTATTATAGTATACCAAGCTGCAGTTGCATACACTCTAATAAGTTTCATCTTGAATCTTATCCCTTTTAAACTGTTAACCATTCAATTTTCGTCTATTCCTTTGGTAGTTGCATTATCCCTAACCCTTTAAAAAGTGGGAACTTCTCCAAATGAAAGGAATAGTGATATGAGTCACAAGTCAATGAAATTTCACTATTCTTAAGTTGCAAAATGGGAGAGTTTGACCAACTTGCATTTGGGTGCAATTTCATTTAATTTATTGAGTCACCAAATTATACTTTCTCCCTAATTTCCTCCCTTTCCCTTCTTTCATTTGAGTATTCAGCTTTTGATTAAAAAAAAAAAAAACATTCTCTATTTCTCCTCCATTGAAGTTGTACTCTGAGCTTTCTCTACTCCATTGACACAAATACACACATCAAAAGCCAATAAACAAAGAAAGGAAAATCGAAAATCGTTTTGTGTCAAAAATTAGGAAATTTGGATTTTAATACTTTTGCCACGGAACCATTTTGGTTAATATTTGCCAAAATTGGCTCACTTTGGATTTTAATCAAGTAAGAGTTCAACAATGGTGGATTTTCTTGCTTGTATTATTATCATGGGACCGATTATGGCGTGAAGAATTTTAATCCGAAACATTAATTTTATCCGATTTAAGGTTTGGCAATCTTCACAATTCTTAATTTTTATATTATGTAAACCTTAAATTTGAGTTCATGCTTAATATTCATTCATTTTTTTGCCGCTATAATTTAGTAGATAAGAATCGAAATGACACATCTTTTGTTGTTTGTTTTGATTGATTAAGTAATAATGATTTTATAGTATGAAAATGTGTTGTAATTTCGCGGATATTTGATTTTGCGACAAAGGAGTTGTAATCATGCTTGATTTCTTGTGAATTATGTATTTATGTTGTTTGTTTGCTGGATTAGAACACTGAATTGCACTCCCATTACAAAAGGACTTAAATTTAAGATTATTATTATTAGGGTTTATGCAGTTTATGAAGTTAATTGCTAAATTTAGATTGCTATCTTCTCCGAATTATACGGTCAGTACTCGGTTCATCATGTTGGAGTAGTAGTTTAATGTTTTATGTTTTAGTGATGTGGTAAATTGCTTTTCCAATAGAGACTAAGAGAGTTGGATAAGTAGCAAGATGATACTGTCGCTTAATGAATCCTCATTGTAAAGATATGGATGTCATTGTTGATGGCAACTTAATGCTTTTCACCGTAGTATAACTGTATAAGGGCCTTTGTTTGAGTTCCTTAGAGATGAGCGATGATATTCTTGGTAAATTGCAAAACTTCTCACTTAAATCAATCCCTTGACCGTTGATCACCCATTAAAAACAGATGGATATGGATCCACAATCCACCAGCTTTGCTAGAAATAATCAAACTAATTTCACTCAAAAGTTAAACTGTAGAGTTTGAGGTTTTGGCAATCAAAATTGACAGCATCAGTTCTGTAATCCAAACACAGGATGTAGAGAGGAAGAAAATTTTAATTTAAGCACTCTTTCCTCAGACAAATTTAACCTAAGTGTAGAAAGCTGGTTAATGCTGAGAAGTTTATCTATTGATTTAGTCATTAAGACATATACCTGGACACATATTATATTCACACTCTCCCTTTTGTTTTGAGTAGGATTTATAGTTATTGATAAGACTTTAAGGGAATAATGCTGACTACATACTCCAAACTTAATTGACACGTTCCTGTGTAATCAACTGCCAAGGGATGATTATTGTATGATCTATATTTAATTGTACTTTTCATTTATCCCAAGTATCCTTGTTGAGTTTGACATTGATATGAGCACTTGTCATACCATGCCCGTCTAAGGTCTAACATGAGTATCCAAGTAGTTCAAGTAACGTTAAACACAATATCAGTAGACTAAATGCATACAGGAATGAAACGGATCTTAGACGCAATCCAAGGATGAAATGGACATGTGCAGTTGGGCTAGGATTTCATAGATGTGTTGTTGAGCATAATTAGCTACAAATAAAACAAGATGAAGATGATTAAGAAATAGTTTGACAAGTAACCAAAGTAATATATACGTTAAGCAGTCTAATATAATAATTGGATTGATGTGGGCAGGTGGCACTTTGATAAAAGTCAAAAGATAATATCAAAATTGCAATGTATCTGAGCTAAGCTTTTGAGATTCTAAATTGAGAAGATATTAACAAGCTTTCAGCCGAGTTATTTAGACAAACTCATCTTGATTGGTGACTGAATTGAATGATGTGAAGTATGTTATAGTGAATTTGTGATTTGTTGAGAGCATGGGATGTTGATGTTCGATTTTGTGAGCTTGAAATTCGAATTGTTGTTGCTACTTTCGATTGATATGCAAAACTGTGGCACTTGTAAAATGAAATCTGGAAACTGGAAACGATACGAAATAAGTTTGTATGACAACTTGAACCCTGAAATCAAAATCTGATACATTAGAGGTTCCTAAAATAAGAAAAAAAAAAAAGTTACATTGAAGTCTTGGAAAACCCCGTATGTTTCTCTTAAATATATCTTTCCTTAACTTTGGTTTTCTCTGTTGGGAGAAAAGCATCTACAGGCTAACTAATTTAGGAATTCTTATAATGCGACATCTACACGTTAAGAACTCATTAACAAACTTCTTGATATGGTGTGTGAGCTTCATTTTGCATTTTGTGGTTGGAAGAAAAAAAACCAGTTTAATTATGAGGTATGCATATTTCAATTACATTACCCCTCTGTTTTGATGATTTATAGACAACTTTTATTATTAAGATGAAGCATGTTTTATTATCTACAATTATTCTAAAAGTTTATATTGAGATAAATATTATCAATCTCATATAACTGATTTTCTTTGTGTATAAATCACATACATTATTCTAAGAGAAGCATATAGATAGTGTGAAAGTACAATGTTGCTTATTTTGCTAGCTTTTTGTAATATTACGATCATTGGTTTGGGCATTTATAGAATTAAGTTTTGAGCTTTTGAATTGTTGATTTGCTGAATTTTTAATGTCATAGGTTTAGTTTTAGTTAATGGCATTTGGCAAAATTGGATTTAAATAAGTATGGAAGCCATCGATTTATATTTACCCAGTATAAATTTGTCAACTTTACTAGCTAAAAATGCATTTCGAAGCCTAAATTTGAGACCTTTTGATCCATTATTGCTTAGGAAGTCTAAAATAGTAAAATGTGTTGGAATGGTATGCAAGGCTTACAAAATATTGCACATATGAGAACAATAAGTTGGGTTGATTGTGTGTTGTGGATTATGAATTGGTTCTATGGATGACGAATCAACTTCTGGCAAATGAGGGGTCTATGGATGACGGATCAAATCTGGTGAACAATAAATTGCTGGATTTTTCTTTTTGATTGTTGTTTTTATAGGAAGTTAATTTATTTAATCAATGTTATTTTGTGCTGAGTTTGAGTTATTTTGATGATGTTATTAGAATTAATAGTATGTATATTGCTCATTTATTTTGGAATTGATGTTTGTGTCATTGATGTGATTTGTTGTTTGGGTTATACAGCAAGTGAGAACGGACAAATGCTGGAGGAGGAGAATAAGAATGCTTTGGTGGATTCCAAAACCGAGGTAGCTGTTCAGAGTATTGAAGCGTCTGTTGATGATCAGGTGGTGAGGAAGGCAATAAAGAGGTGGTTCCTCAAGAAGTCACGAGGTTACTGAAACTGAACCTGTGTGGTTACTGAGGATGAGGAGAAAATTGATTCCAAATATGGTGATTCGGAAGAGAAGGATGCTGAGATACCTTCATCTTATAATGCTCCATTGGAAGGTGTGGAAACGACTGCCTATGAAGGTGCAGAACAAGGTGATGTTGCGACTGAGCAGCAATATCCTGATTCTGGAGCATGACTCGGAGGATTGAGATTCCGAATTATAAGGTGACTTTGAGTAGCTTTTCTTTGTAGCATTTATTACTTACTCCGTATTATTTGACTGGAATGAGTGATCATGTTTTAGTATTACTGGAATGAGGTTGGTCATTAATTCATTATTTCTTAATTTTACCTAAAAGAGTATTCAACTTTGATAGGATTAATTGAGAGTAGTTATTTGTTCACAAAACAAAAAAAAAAGAAAAAAAAGAGTAGTTAACTTGCTGATGAATTTCATTGCAATGTTTCAGGTTGGAGTTCTCATAGGACAACATGGAGATATGATAAAGTATCTACAGTTGTATTCAGGGGCCAGGATTCAAATCACAAGATATGCAGAAGCTGATCCACGATCTGCAACTAGGCCGGTTGAACTTGAGGGGACACTTCAAAGTTTAAACTAGGCTGAGAGTCTGATAAAGGATGAGGTACGGTCGTTGCAAAGATTATTATGTTTTCCTTTGTTTTTTTTAGAGGTTTTATTGATCAATTAAGCTTTTTAATGAAAAGCATGGTAAAATTTCCTGTAATCTAGCAGTTTGTGTGAGTTCAAAGTTGGATCTGTAGAAAATTGCATTTAGTCATGATAATACATCACTTACACTGGCATTATTATATTCAAAGAAAGCCCAATCTTTAGACTGGATAAGGATGCTGTACTGGCTGAGCTGTAATATGATAAGTGATGACCACTGACTGCTGTCCAGTATAGCGGAGACATTTTCGCAAGACTTTGAATTTTGTCCATCTAAAGCCAGAGGAATAGTTGATCCTCACTCCTCACCTGTTGGAAATTGACAATAAATGAAAGTTTCAGACTAATTGTAGTGTGTGCATATGTCTAATTGCTATGGGTCCCCTCCATGCGCTCCCTCTCATATTTGTAGGTTTTTTTTTTTTTTTTTATAACTCCTTTTATATATATATATATATATATATATATATAGGGGAAGACTCTCGTGAGAAATTTTCTTATGTGAGAACACTCTTTATGTTCTAAATTTTTACTCGTATGTTCTAAATTTTAAATCTGATGTTCTAAACTTTTCCTTAGGTATTCTAAATTAAATCAAATGTTCTAATTTAGTACTCACATGTTCTAAACCATAAATTAGTTACGTTCGATGTCATAAATTTTAAATAACTTGTTCCAAAATTTTAACTTGTATGTTCTAAATTTTAAAACGTGTGTTTTAAGATTTTTAATTATATGTTCCAGATTTTAAATTGTATGTTCTATTTTTTTACTCGTATGTTGTAAATTATTTACTCACACTTTCTATATTCTATATCAGTTTGTTCTAAATTTTTATTCACATGTTCATAATCTTAAATCATATGTCTAAATTTTACTCATGTGTTTAAAATTTCATAAAGCAAATTTTATAAATTTTCAATCACTTGTTCTAATTCTTAAATCAGATGTTCTAAACATATTACTCACACAAATGTTCTAAATTATTACTCATATGTTCAAAATTTTAATTTGAGTCACATGTTCTAAATTTCAACTCGCATGTTCTAAATTTTAATTCACATGTTCTAAATTTTTACTCACATGTTCTAAATTTTAAATCAGTTCTCATATAAGTATGAATTCTCACATATGGACCTATTCTCACCAGATCCCTCCCCTATATATATATATATATATATATATATATATTGCAAGTTGACGCTGGAGGCTCACCATCCCTTGTGGTTAGGGGTTTTACTACTGCTATTACTTCTCGATCATTAGAAAATAAGATACCTGTTCCCGCTGAAGAAGTAATTTAAGCTTTACACTCCCCCCCCCCCCCCCCGAGTAATTCTTAATTGTATAACTACTTTAAAATGAATAATCTATGTAAAAGAAATTCAATTTTGAGTAGTCGAAACTCAAAAGCTAAGATTGGGAGATGGTAGCCTGTGAAATCTATGTAAATATCAAAATTACGTAAATCATAATGGCAAACATATTCATTGTGCACTGCAGGGATATAAATATTATTTCTTGCTACTTTGTCCTTTTCTTCTTTGCCCCATGTTCCTTTCTCTCTCCTTTATGTTTTCATCTCAATCCCTAACTTTCCAAAATTGCTGATTTCAGTCTAAAATCCATTGAAGAATCTGAATTTTGGGAGAAAATGGTTACCAAGTATGACTTGGCAGAAACGAAGTGATTAGAGAGTCTCAATTACCAAGAAGTGGTTATTCTTACAGGTCAGGGTTCTCTACTTCTAACTCTTGCTTAATTGTTTGCAGTTTTACATTTGCTTTGAAATAACAGATACTAGCGTCTATTAAGTTTCATTCATTCTATTTCCTGTTCCATTTGATTATTTGAAGGTTTTTTAAAAAAAATATACTACTACTGGGGTGTAATTAGTTTAAATTAGCGCTTTGTAAAAACATAAGAAGTGCATATCATATTTTTTTGGACTTTCTCCATTGTTCTGAATGGTGTAGAGTGTAGGTCTTGTATGGCTATATGATTCTTTCGCTCTTTCTTTGTCTCTATCTCTATATGGGGCTAATTGCACCTTGTTTTGTTTGTCCTTTTGTTTGGGGGGGGGGGGGGGAACTTATTTTAAGTTGTTCTGTATTTTCGGGATGTTAAGCGCTCGAGTAACCTGAAAATCTTGATTTTCTAGAAAATAGGTAGATTGGTTGTTTGCTGATTGCTTTTTATTATTCATCCTTTGAAAATTTTATTCATTTTTGCTCAACGGTTGAAAGTTAACAGATTTGGAGAAAGGGATATGCATTTAACAGACAAGCTGAATTTGGTGTAGAATGAAATTGGAATATAAATTAAGGTCAGATTTGTGTCTCTGGAGCTATATGTCAATATAATTATCAGGAAAGTACAGAACCAGATGTGATTGATATAATTATAGTTGGTTAGCTTTTGATTCAAGGAGTTCGGTTTTCAATAAATATACAAGTTTAAGGATCTCTTGGGAATGTCAGCTTTTTATTCAAGAAGTTTTGTTTTAGTAAACATTATGACGTGTTTGGTGATTTTATCAGAACTTTTGATGATTTTTATGGAGGAATTAGGGTTGATGTTTCAGCTGTGACTTTTAGTTACATAGATTTTGCTCCATCCAACCCCACTTCACATTGGAATGGAGGAATTCTTTTAGAGAGAGAGAGAGAGAGAGGGAGAGGGAGAGGGAGAGGGAGAGGGAGAGAGAGAGGGGGAGAGGGAGAGGGAGAGAGAGAGAGAGAGAGAGAGGGGGGGAGGGAGGGAAGGAGGGAGAGAGGGAGAGAGAGAGAGGGAGAGAGAGAGGGAGAGAGAGGGAGAGGGAGAGAGGGAGGGAGGGAGGGAGGGAGAGAGAGAGAGAGAGAGAGACTAGCTCTTTGATTTGATCCTCTTGCAGCACCCTGTTAATTGCTTGTTGCGAGTCAAAGCAAATTTGGATGGTGGACTAGCCATTTGATTCAATAATAGAAAGCCCAATACGAATTGCCTTTAGCTCTCCCTAAATTTGGATGATGGAGACCAAGACTTTTGTTGGTAACAAAAGATCCAGCTACCATTTGAGTCACACATAATCCCTAAGGAGACATCACATATCAGTTTCCACCGGTCCTGCCTTGGTTGTGACCAAGATAGAGATGAGCTAAGGTTGGTATTTGGGAGGGGTAGGTTGTCATCCCTTGAAGTGTGGAATTCCCAAGCTTTAGCTTCAAGGATGAACTTATCTTGCGGTTTTTAAGATTGGTAGAAAATTTCTTCATTTCTATTAATCTAGAGTTTCCATATAATTAAAGAGAGGGAAATCAAGCAATCAGAAGGGGTCACTATTGTTGAAAGTCCGCTCCCCCCCCCCCCCCCCCCTCTTCTTACACACACACCTAAATAAGTAAAAGGAAAAGAAAATTAAGGAAGATCTTTAGTGATTTGTAAAGGTTTTAATTCCAAATAAAGATTTGAGAGTCGCTGGTGTTTTACTATCCTAACACAGGTTCTTAAATTCACACTTTGTATAGTGTTATTTTTGGTCAATCTTACCATCTTTATCCGCAATAAGCCATATTTATTTGATCATTCAAGTTAACCAACTATATTTGCTAATTTGCTTCGGAGTGTGAGGATTTAGGTATATATTAAAATGTAAATGGGTTAACTTAGAAAATTGAATTCAGTGATTATTGTGTTGCTGCTATTATAGTTTACATTTTTTTTCTTTTCTGAAACAGTTATTGTCAAGTATGTAGCAATTATTTGATGGCCAGTATTTCTTATTGCCTAAAAAGTTTTTCCAGAAAGTTTTGATAACTTGGGGTCCACACGCTTGACATTGCATCATAATATGGTAATGTCTCTAGATTTCTACATAACTTTGTGCATCTGTAAATGATCCTACTGCTACAAACTTTATTGAATTTCAGTCCTACACTTCAGCAACTTTTCATTGTTAAATTTAACACTGAAACTTTCAGCATATTGTAGTGTTTTCTTTAATTTTTGTTGTTGATCTTTTGTTTGGTTTTCTACATATAACAGCGGAAGCAAAGAGAATTAAGAAGTGGAGATGTCGTGTTTTTGCACTACAAGAAGCACTTGATAAGTTGCTAGAGCTCTGGTTGAAACAGCCATCCTAGGATGGAAAATGCAGTACCTAACTTTTAAGATATAAGATTGTGCTTTAGTTTGTCTCTTCCTTTACTCAGACACAAACCTATCTTCTGATTTTTCTTTCAAAGAGAAATAACATCCAATTTCAGTAGAGTGATCTCGAAGCAGGGGCTAACAAAGAGCATGTTAATTGCTAATGGCTTGTATAGTACACAATAATCTCTTTAGGAAGATAAGTCAATTACTTTTGACAAATTTATATCATATAATCAACATGGATGTCTTGGCTTTTTTCATATAGATAAACTAGGTAACACAACTAAATGGAGGGACACTATGCTATCGTTTATATAGTGCTTCTATTTTCAAGGTTAACTTGTCTTCGCAATATAGTTCTATACTACTTCCCGAATATGTATTTCTACTATCTGATTATGCCTACTTTATTAAGAAATAAATACAATTATTTCCATTTACGTACCCTCATGACATTACATATCTTTAAAAAAAAAAATTGAAATCATGACAAATTACTTTTTTTTTTAAAAATATCATGACAAATTACTTTACACATGACAATACAAAGAATACATACACTTGCTATAATGTATTTATCTTAAACTCATTATAAGAATAATAAATATTTAAGTCAATAATTTGATAAAAATTCACACGCTGAACATGGAAATTATAACGGTAACAATTTTTATTTCCTTTCCCATAATACCCCTCGCAATTTTTATTTCCTTTATAAAATAAAAACTATACAATATAGTTCAATAACTTACCTATTACGATGAAGCGAGTATTCGTTTCAGAAAATCAAACGATTAAAATATATGATAATACAACCAAAGCAAGAAAAAACGCAGAACTAGACTAGTGACGGAAAAAGTATAAACAGCTAACAAGTTAGAAACCCGTTGCCCAAAAAAATAAGAAAAAGAAAAGCAAATTAGATATATAACAGGAAGGGGTTGATGAGGAATGAAAAAATATCGGCACTTTTATATTTCATATGGTGTTAGATATCTAACTGCTAGATCTCTAGCTCGACTACATACAACAAATTAAATATTCTTATACAGTAGCTCATAAACAAAGTATAAATCATTAGTTGTGAGTTCAGTGTACACACTAGAACAGTCCTGTATTTACAACCGCCTCTTCATTGAAGATCCTTTGAAGAAACACTTCAACATGTCTATCTAAAACTATATAATAATAAAAGGTCGTAAAGAATAGGGCATAAACAAGCAAAGAGATATGTCAACCATACATAATGTAAATAATACAGGAAATAGTCCTAAATCAGCAGATATGTAAATTGCTAAATGCATACAGAGGGGGTGAGTTATTTGCTAAGCTGCTCATTACTTTGGTTAATCCTGGCAGCTGCCACCACAGAAGCCGCAACTCCACCAGGTTATGTGCTTATGTTATAGGGTTGTGACTGAGTTTAGCACCAATCACACCAAATGGAAGTGAAGAGAAAAACATAATAGAGAAAATATAATAGAGAAAAACAATGCAAATGGAAGTGAAGAGGAAACCCATCATCTGCTTAAAAATCTGATAAATTCTAAAAAAAAACTAAAACCAACATCCAAAAATCTAAGGTTTGAATGGATTAGCCACGTACTGCTCACCTATACATACATATCATCATCAAAGGCGTCAACATAAAAAGAAGATTTGATGTCACTAACGACCTCATCACACAGGCGGCCATCATCACATGGAAAACCATCAGGTCCGTATGAATCAAGAATGGCTTCTGCTCTTGATGAAATAATCTTGCCATCTTTACCAAATGCAAACGCAATAGGCCAACAATTGTTCAACTTGTGCAATAAAAAATCTACGTGTTCGGGGTCAAAAGGGCATGTTAGCCAAGGGATTGGAAGTTGTTTATAATCATCCTTGTCCTTCGGGTGTTTAGATAAGTTAACAAATACCACTTCTAGATCAGGATATGTAGCTCTCTTAGTACGGTTATACCACTCATAGATCATCGGAGGATCGATCTCAAAACAAAGGAGAACAGTCTTACCTCGCAGTTCTGCCACTGGCACTTTCTCAACATTCTCAACATTATTACTATTGATATTCCTACGAAGTATATAATCCTGTGGCCCGTAAACCAGGAAAGACTCTAAGGTGAATGCACTTAGCTCTTCCAATAATCTCAGAACAACAGCCTTCCGAGTGAAGGGGTATCCAAACATACCATACAACTCAATAACACGTTTTCCATGGAGTTCAGGAAAATTCTGACGAGGATCGAGGATGATTAGCTGATACATTCAGCTGGTGTAACACATAATTGATTGCCTCCTGGAACAACTGTGGATTCACACTCGAATCCTTGCGGATGGGTATGTAGACCAAGACAATCTCAAACTCCAGATTTCGAGCTTTACATTCTTGATGAATCAGACTGAGTGTCCGAATGAAGCCTCCATCATAGCAAAGGTACAAGCCCACAAGCTTCTCTTTCAGTTTCGAAATGGACACCTTCTCTACGTCTCCAACCCCAACCCCAACACCTAACCCTTTAGGACTAATCTTGTAAACAAAATCAGAGGGCTTGCAATCCAAAAGTGCATCAAGCTGGAAACGAGTTTCGTGCCAAGGAACCCACAAATTATTAAGACCCAAAAATCCCCGATAATTTTGAAATATTGATTGGTGCAACACAACCTTTTGAGTCGTATCAACAAGCAGAGCCATTGCGTCAGAAACAAGTCCAAGGGACTTGCATACATAGTCACGACGCAACGTGTCAGAGAACGGGATTGCAAGGCAGGAGGAAGCTGGGAAGCCTGATAAGAAGTGGTTAAATGCATCCTCATCATCAATCCAATTATTTCTCATTTTTAACACCATAACTATCTCATAATTATTTTTCCCAAAAATCCTAGAACAAGAAGTCGGTATCCCTTGGATCTGGCTTGCCTCACTTGAAAGCCAGAAAACCGGCACAAAAACACAACAAACTGCGATGTTCTTTCCCTTAAGACTATCAACTGGAACCACTTCGCCATTAGTCCGGACCAGGTCACAACCCGAAATCAACGACATAACATCAAAACCCTTGCCTTCCTCAATACTTTTTTTGTTTGTGGAATCAGGATGATATTCCGGAATCTGACTCCTTAGAAAATCTTTGACAGAATAATGATTTTCATAACACCACAAATAACCTCCCATCTCAAAACGATCACGTTTTGTTAATGCAAAAGGAGATTTAATTTTTAAACGATCTGCATTTAAGTGTAGATAGGCGTTGTAAAGATCCTCTTCAGTAAGTTGTTTATGAATAGCCTTGATTTCTTCCCTATATTCAAATGGAATCTTAAGAGGAGACAGTATACATCTTTTGGACCTCTCATCTTGTTCGTGTTTAAATGTTAATGCCGTACATCTACACCAAGACGACGGAATACCAGGAAACCAGAATTTCTTCCCAATTTTAAAACTTGGCCTAAACGTTATAATTCCAATTCACAACAAATACGATAATAAGTATAAAATATTCACTATAAACAAAATTCGTGGAGATTGTGGTGGACTTGTAGAGGAGCGGATTGATGTATCCGATGATATTTAGGATGGGGTTTTATAGTGGTTTTGAAGCAGTAGCACTAGCAGGGGAAAGGTAGAGATATGTGAGAAAGATATTGGGTTTTATATCAGTAAAAAAAATTAGGGTTTTTCTAAGCTATACCCCTCAGGTTTCTTGAATTCTCAGCTGTACCCTGCTTTTTGAAAATTCCCAGCTGTACCCTCCACCTCACATTTTGTAACGTACAGTAACCAATACGTATTCTAGACTTAACAGATGTAGGGGATGGTTAACGGCGTTTATTAAAAAAAAAAAACTTATAAAAAAAATATGTAAAAAAAAACCCAATTAAAAACCCTTTCAAATTCTCGTATCTTGATCAAACTCTCACCTCACTCTGTTCTTAGGTCATCTGAGACGATCATCCGAAAACCAAAAACCCTTGATTTTTCCACTTATTTTCATAATCAAAGGTGGCGCTTTTCATCGGGTTTCTACAATTGTGTTTCAAGGTTGAAGTAGCTGGTCGAATTTAGAGTAAGAGAAGAGTGGGTAGGTGCAGTTCATGTTCATCAAGCAAAAACCAAAACTTTCGAGTCATAAGGTCAGTGTAATCTTAAATTATGTTCTTTTAATTGAATATGTGTTGATTATTTGGCCGAAATTCAGTTTACACAATTGGGGTTAGGGTTTGATTAAATTTTGGTAGAAATTCTAGGGTTTTGATTGATTTATTTTGTTGTATATTTGTGCTTATGTTTTGGGCTTAAATTCTTGTGAAATGCATGTGTTCTGGTTGTGTAAGATGATTGTGTCGTATTTAATTTGCAATTGGTTTGTATAATTGCAGAATGGGTGAAAGGTTGTTGAAATTGAATTTTCTGGGTAAAACTGTTGATATTAAGGTTGATGATGTTGATCGGTGCTTGCTTATAGATGTTATTAATGAAATGGTTGATAAATTTAACTCTAGAGGGTATGAACTTCCCAAATATCCTGTGCTAAGTTATTGTACTGCACAAAAAAGCCATGCATTAACTGATGATAAAACACTAATGAAAATGTTTGAGGTAGTTGAAGGAGCTACTATATATATATGGATTGGGTGTTCAAACAAAGCCAATTTCATATGGACATTAGCTGAGAAGGTTAGGTTGGGTAAAACCAGTGAGAATGTTGTTGAACCTGGAGCATCAAAACCCCCATTAGCTAAGCTACCTCCTAAAAGGGCCAAGCCCAATGCTTTCAAAATGGCCCAAATTTCAGATTCTCATAACACACCAGAGTCCCCACCACATGTTGATTTGTCCCTTAACAGTCCAGTGAGGAAAAGCCCAAGAATGAGTTCTCCTAAGTCAGCTGAACCACCCTTACTCAAATCTCCTGCCCAATCCCAATTAAGTTCAACTTTTACAAGCCCAAGAAGAAGCCCAAGGTTCATCCAACCTTTAAACAACCATCCAATTTCAGTTTTGACCCAAACAAATTCTACTTTGACCCAAACTGACCCTATTCAGTCCCAAACTCCCACCTTACAGTCTCAAAGTAACCCAGTTTCAAAAAACACACTTCTAAAGCCTGTCCCATTCCCACATGGTAAAAAGGTCCCTAAGTCAACACTAAAATGGAAGGGTTTGTGGGTGCCCCCTGTTCATACACAAGGTACCAGCAATGTTTCTGAGATGAATGTGTCAATAAGGTCAACTAGAAAGAGGTGTAGGACAAGGGTTGAAACTGAAAATTGTGAAATGGGTAATGAAGGTATTGGTGGTTTACATATCAGTGACTCTGATTCTGATGGTGAATATGAACCTGAAGGTGCTGATGAAGGACAGTCTGAAAGTGATGACAGTATGGACTATGAGGAGGGTGACATTAATGACCTTCTGAATCAGAATTATGTGGATGGTGGGTGGGAACTATTTAGGACAAATGAATGGGTTTGTGATGATGAGTCATACATGAATAGGTTGTATATGAATGGAGAAGTATTTGAGGAAACAGAGTTTGGTAATATTAAGTTGAAGCCTTGGCAGTTGTTTGTAGACAAGGATCAGTTTAGGGATGTGTTGAGAGATTTCTGTATACAGGAGGGATTTTCCTTAGTTGTAAGAAGGGCAGACAACTTCAGATACACTGCAGAGTGTGCAGATGAAAGGTGTAAATGGAGGATTCATGCTGCAAGGTTAGCTAATAATCACACATGGGCTATAAAAAAGATCAGGAAAGGTCATTCATGTGATTTGAATCTTGTTAATAACCCCATGTGCAATTGTGAATGGGCTGCAAGTAAACTACTTGAGGATATTAGAGCTAACCCTGATATTAAGGGAAAGACTTTAAATTCCTTGTTGTGGGAGAGGTATGGGCTTACTATGGCCACCTCTACTCTTTATAGAATGAAAGGGTTAGCAATGAAGGTAATACAGGGGGGGCATGATGAATCATACAATGAGTTGCCCAAGTACTGTGAGCTGTTGAAGGGAGCTAACCCAGGTTCTGTTGCTTTTTGCTGTTGGAAAACTATCCATGAGCCTGAGAGGGCTTTGCAATTCTCATCCATTTTTATCAGCTTTGCTGCACAATTTAGGGGATTGATAAGTGGTTGCAGGGGGTTAGTAGGTGTAGATGGGTGTCATTTAAAAGGAAACTATGGTGGCATATTGTTGTCTGCTGTTTCCCTAGATGGGAACAATGAGATCTTTCCTGTGGCTATAGCTGTTGTGGACTCTGAAAACAAGACCAGTTGGACCTGGTTCTTCCACCACTTGAAACAAATTTTGACAGCAGAAGGGAGAACTGACTGGACTATCATGAGTGATAGACAGAAGGTGACATACACTCACTTTACAACCACACTTAGCTTGTGTTTATGTTGTAGTTTATTTAATTAACTTCATGCCTTGGTTTTGCAGGGAGTGGACCCATCTTTGGATGCTGTGTGGCCTAAGGTGCCAAGGAGATATTGTGCAAGACACCTCTGCAAAAACTTCAAGAAAGACTACCCTGGCTTATTAATGCATAAGCTTTTTTGGACAGTCACCAATGCTTACTCTGAGTACACTTTTAGGAAGGCTTTGATTCAATTACAGAAGCATGCTGGGTTAGGGGCAGTGAAGTGGTTTCAAGAAGTTGGACCACTTGACAGGTGGACCAGATGGAAGTTTGACCCCAGTTTGAAAAGTGATGAGAACACAAATAATTTTGTGGAAAGTTTTAATAGTACAATTGGAGTGGATAGAACTTATCCTATTTTAACATTACTGGAAGGTAATAACTGTTGTACTTGACTTTTTATTTTAGGAGACTTTCAAATGCATATTCTTATGTAACTTGTTATTTTTGTTACTTGTTCTTTTGTTATGTTTTTAGGAGTGAGAAGAATAGCCATGGTCAAACATGCTACCAGGCAGCAGCTTGCAGACCAGTGGGAAGATGGCATATGTCCAAGCATTAGGCAAAGACTGAGGGTTCTGACTAAGGATAGTAGGGTCTGCCAAGCTTACCCTTCTGGCAGAGGCAATTATGAGATACATGATGGAAGAGCTAAGCTACCAGTTTCCATTGCTGCAAGAAAATGTGTATGTGGGAGATGGCAATTGAGTGGCATCCCATGTAAGCATGGAATCAAAGCCATATTACATGAAGGAAAAGACCCAGTTAACTATGTGAGTGACTGGTTCACTTTAGCCAGGTATAGACAAGCTTATAGTGGCAACATCTCACCTATTCCTGATCCAGACCAATGGACACACATTGAAGGTGTACCTATTCTAATCCCTCCAACAATGAAGAGAAGCATAGGAAGACCTTCAAGAAATAGGAGGAGAGAGGAAGGGGAGCAAAGAAAAGGAAAAAGGAGTGCAACTGTCCAATGCAGCAACTGCAAAGCATTTGGACACAACACTCAAACTTGAAAGGGTGGTCCTACTGCCAGGGAGGTTGCAGAACAGCAAGGAAAGACAATGCCAAAAAAGACTGACTACAAGGGAAAGAAAGCTCAGAAAGCACAAGCACAGGCCAACAATGATCTTGATTTTGCACTAATTGAAAGGATGATTCAGGCTGGATGTGATGCAGGAAATGGAGGTACAACAAACAACAATCATTATCAGCAATGTGGTTCATCTTCCCAACCAGTAGGTGCATCTGTCAGTCAACCATCAGTTGCATCTGTCACTCAACCATCAGTCAACAACCAAAGGGTCACATCTCCAAAACAAGCCAAGATATTGAAGAGGCTTGAATCACTTCAGTAATTACTGCAGTTCAGTCTTATATTTGAAGAGGCAAGAATGATGTATTTTGGGCAAAGATGGATGTAATGAACTGTTAGGATAAGGCAGGCTGTATTTTTTTTTTTGGGAAAACATGTAATTTTTTGGCTATCAAATTGTAAACCTGTAACCAGGCTATTTTTTGGGGTCGTAATTGTTTTTTAGTCACAAACATGAACTGATTACTTTTGCTATATCATTATATATGACCTGATTTCAGTTCCTTAATAGTATGTCATTTGTGTAGTTTTATTTGCAAAGTATCAACTTAAATTGCAAAGTATCAACTTAAATTAATGCAGAAATTTATATATAGACTGAGAATTCAAGTTTATTAATATGCCAAAAGGATCAGTCAACAAGATACCATACATATCAACTAATAACAACCCCAATTAAAGAGCAAACCTTTACATTTTCATTACAATAACAGCCAACACAAACATAATCACCCCAATTTTAATCAACCCCAATTTGAAGGCACCCTCAGTAACTTTTTTCCTTAAATCCGCTATTTCATGCTTCAACTCCATTATCGCAACAATGTCAGATCTACCACCCACACCTTGTGGGGCACGCTGTCCTCTCCAAATCATGGTTTCAGGCCCCCCCATTTGAAAAATCTGCAAAAATCGCACCTCCAATACGCCTTCCTAGGGTTCCTTGTTGAAGTAGAAACGTGCAACTTGCAATCCAAAGGAGGCCTACAATTGCATTTGGGGCTGATAAAATCCCATTCACTGGTTGATATAAATGAACACCTAGAGTTCGCCATTAATTACAAGAAAAATGGTGAAGAGGGAAGGAGTACAGAAGAAATGAATTAAGGAAGATCCTTATATAAACCCTAACAATTTTGGGCGGGAAAAAAAGCCTCTATACTAAAGTCATTAACTGTTCACAACACTCCTAACGACGAGTTAACGTATTGGTTATTGTACGTTACAAAATGTAAGGTGGAGGGTACAGCTGGGAATTTTCAAAAAGCATGGGTACAGTTGAGAATTCAAAGAACCTGAGGGGTATAGCTTAGAAAAACCCAAAAAAATAAATAAAAGTTACTCTACTAGTTATTTTAGAATTAAATAAAAGTTATCTAAATGTAAAAGAAAGAAAGTTACTCTGGTTTAAATAAAAGTGACCTTAATTAAGGATAAATTGACCCTACTCAAGGGCAAAAGTGACCTAATTAAGGACCAAATAGACCCTAATCAAAACAAAAGTGACCCTAATTAAAGACCAAATAGACCCTATTTTAGAGCAAAAGTGACCCTACTCAAGGGCAAAAGTGACCCTAGTTATGGACCAAAGTGACCCTAATCAAGAGCAAAAGTGATCCTAATCAAAACAAAAGTTACCCTAATTAAGGATAAAGTGGCCCTATTTCAAAGCAAAAGTGACCTTAATCAAGGACCAAAGTGACCTTACTCAAGGGCAAAAGTGACCCTAACGAAGGAAAAAAGTTATCCTAACTCGGTACAAAAGTGACTCTAATTAAAGTGAGCTCCCTCGAATAAAAATGTTTATATATGGTTGTTTGGGTATACATGGTCTTTGAATGCTTGTGCAAGTGTTTGATTTCGAGGCTATTAGCTCAAATGGTAGAGCAATGTGCAATAGTTGTACTACTTGTACATGATGTGAGTTCAAGTCCTACATAGCCATAAGCTAGATAACAATAACCTTATTGATTAAGGATAAAGTGACTCTTATCAAAGCAAAAGTGACCTTACTAGAGCGAAAAAAAGTGACCTTACTAGAGAAAAAAGGTGACCTTAACTGAGTAATGTCTTTAATCAAGGGCAAAGTGAATCTAATTAAAGTGAAGAAAAATTAAAATGACTTTAATATAGAGCAAAAGTGACTCAAATTATAGATTAAGTGACCCTAACCAAGTAAAAAAAAAAGTGACCCTTTCTCGAGTGAAAAAGTGACCTTACTTGAAAGAAAAAGTGACCCAAAATGAGTACAAAAGTGACTTTAATTAAGCTCAAAAGTTACCCTAACCAATAGGGCTATGCTCATAATTAGAAGTATTAACAATAAACAATGGTGACACACGAAATAAACATATAAACTAGTGTTAAGGATAGAGTTACCTACTCAAGGACAAAAGTAACTCTAATCAAGGGCAAAAGTGAATCTAATAAAGGATAAAGTGACTCCAAGGACAAAAGTATCCCTAATCAAGGGCAAAAATAACCCTAAAGAAGGACAAAAGTGACCCTAACTAAGTACAAGAGTGACTCTAATTAAAATGATAGCGTTATGCCCATTAGAAATTACGACGACCAATAGTACACAAACAAAGGTGATACACGACATAACCAACAATAAACAAGTGTAATGTAGTGTAGGCTATGTGGGGCTTGAACCCACACCATGTACGCTATTGTACATTGCTCTAACTGTTGAGCTAATAGCCTTGAAAAAAACAATGAATAAGTTTCTTTTCCCATAAGTTGCATTTGTTTACAATTTTACAAAAAGATTACAAAAGATTTTCCTTAAGAAAAAAGATAAGAAAAATTTACATAATTTATGACATATGTAGAGTTACATACTACTTTACCATTAATAAAATAAAGATTTTTTATAAAAGATTTTTTTTTTAATCATGTATGAAAAGCTTGCCAAGAAAGATATGAAAAAATATTTTAAGTGAATTGATTATTGAGAAAAAAAAATATGCAACATACATAAGAGAAAATGAATTATAGTGTACATAAAAGAAATCTATTTACGGGCTAAATACATGTTGTTAAGATTTTCATTTGGTTAAGAAGAAGAAAACGATATAAATTTGTTGGAGAAATATATTTAAATATACATACATGCATATACACTTTAAAATATCTATTTTGTTAATAATAGACTTTCATAATGAATTCATTTTACAAATTAATAATAACTTAGCCAGATTTAATTTTTTATAATTAAATATAATGTTAATTAAAAAATAGTTGTTGAAAGTTATTGTACATGTCACGTGACCTAACCTAGTAACACCTCTAAATTTAACCCCGCTTATTGTGTCATTTGTATGAGACGGGTCACACCACTATATTAAGTCCAACTCCAAAATCCAAATCTTCCTTTTATAAAGACAGCCAAATTGACATTCTTGTGGCTATAATTCAGAATTTGAGAACCACTCGAGTTGATGAAGTGCTACAACTTGGATTTGGATTGAGTGAGGGCCGCCACCAACCAAATAAAACAAAGTATTCACATTTTCCTCCTTTCGTTGTTCTCCCCTTCATCTCTCTTCTCACTCCTTAACATTTTAAGGTGAGAGAAGAGAGAATAACAGAGGAAGTATAACAATGGAGTCTGCAATTATTACTAGCAATCACATTTCTCTGGCATTATATATCTCCAGAAACCCCAGTTTATCGACTAAAAATGCTGCTGGTAACTCATTTCTTATCATTTTCTTTTTGGGTATTTTTGTTTTTTTGTTTGTTCTTGCTTATAATTTGCTGCATTGGAAGGAAGTTGTATATATGAATTGGGTTGTATTTGTATGGTGTATAAATATATGAATTTGTGATTCATTAAAGTTATGAACTTTGATGGTAGAATTTTGATTGTTGCTGTTTTGGAGTTAATTATAGTGATTACTTTTGATTTTAGAGTTGTTAATAATTATTATTGTGTGGTTGTAGAAATGATTGAAAACAAAATTTTCTGGTAATTGATAGATATGTAGAATTATGTTTCAACAAGAAATGTCATTTAGCTTCTTTGAGAGACCCTAAGTAAATGGGTCAACAATCTCAACATCTATGAAGAGAATGCAAGTAAAATGCCTAAAAAAAGTTTCCCTTTTAAGAAATCTAATAAAATCTAAAGTATGCCACTGAATTCGTCGTATAGGCCCGTGTCATATGATGGATGGTCAGGCATCCTTCTTGAATGGGAACAATTTGTTTAACTTTGTAAGGATAGCACATGAAAGGAACAATTTCTTGAATAGTTAGGTTCTTTGTTCATTCCATTGCTTGCAACCCTCATCACCACACTAAGCATAGTTTATGCTGTTATTAGACTTTTAATGATTATCCACCAGTTATATCTCTATCTAGAAATACATTGCCCCGTTAAGGTGTTGACTGTTTGTACAGTGCTTTAATGGCTTGGTCTTGAGTAATGGGTAATATGGAGGCTATTAGACAATTAGGTGCTATGTTACTTGGACTCGGATGAAGTGTCAAATTAGACACGAGTGTCCAAGTATCGGACTCGCCCATTTTCTTGAAAAAGTTTTGTTTTTAGTTAAAAATGAAGTGTCCAAGTGTCGGTGTCAGTGTGTCGACACGGGCACATGAGGTAAATGAAAGAGTCCAAGTAACATAGATTAGGTGTTAAATGCAAAGACCATTGAAATTATCACATTAGAAGACACCTGCTGCTGACAAGTTATATACTTCATCATCTTCATGTATGTTTTGGACTAAGAGAGTATATGATTTGGAACATGTTTTCATGTACTTATATTTCTCTCTTACTTTGAGAACAAAAGTTAAACCATTTTAATTTTGGGTATCATTAATTGAGTTTTATGTGTTTATGTTATGGTTAGTACAACCAGTTTTATAATCTTAGGCAAGGGTTATTGTGGATATGATTTCATCAAGTGAATTTCAGAATGCTGAGGGCAATTCTAGTTTAATATTCAGGAGGCACACCCATTGATATCTGTTATAAACGAATGTTGTTAATATCAAGTCACTTTTGTGAAAAGTAATAATAAAATATTGGCACTGTGTTCTGGACTCCGTTTTTTAATTTTTGATAATAAATGCTACAACGGTACCAAACTAACTTGGAAGTTAACGCCGTCTTCTAAAATTCTGAAATTGTGGTAGGAGGAGAGAGAAACCATTAAACGAAGGCTTGTAGAGAGAGATCGGGAAACCATAAACGAATTGAGACCATACCTCTGCTTCCCTCCATAGGTTCATCCTAGAAACACAAATAATTCACTAATTGATTGATGCATTCCATAACTCACATCATAATCAAGATAAAGAATGCCTATCAATATGATTGAAGCCACAATTTTAAAGATGCGCCCACATAACAATTCAAAAGCAACAACAATTAATGAACATTTGATAGGATTATTACATTAATAAAGTGCGATTCTGGGAAAGAGGTGACCCCGAATGTTAACCTTGCTCCAATTCTGGGAAAGGGTGGAGTCCAATATGAACCTTGCTCCGACGCTGGGCCCCTAGCACAGGAAACTCCAAGCTGCCTTGATGCATCTTGAGCTTTTTTATACATTGGTTGTGTCACATGCCTGTGGAGTAAAATTTTATTGATCCACGCTGCTAGCTTTATTGGCAGGTATATCTTGCATAAAATGGCAGAAACCATGCCTAAGAAAGTTAAGCCATGTGAGACTTAACCAACAATGGAAAGGTACGAGAAGAAAGCCAACCTTGGTGCAGGCTGTTGCTATCCCTGTTGCACCACCGTCAGAACTTCCCCCTACCAATAACACGGATCACCTCAAACAGCTAGCAGAGAGCTATGGTTTCCAGCAAATTGGTGAACCACTTCCTGATGATGTGACAATGAGGGACATAATTACCTCCCTTCCTAAGAAGGTAAAGCTTTTTTTTGCTTCTGAAGTTGAAATTAAAGTTTTAACATGTAGACTCATTCCAGGGAATCCAATTTCTGCTTAGGTGTTTGAGATAAATGACATGAAAGCATGGGGAACAGTTCTAATAAGTGTGACTTCGTATGCTTTGGGTATATTTATGATTGCTAAAGCCCCTTGGTACTTGCTTCCTCTTGCCTGGGCATGGACAGGCACTGCTATCACAGGGGTATGTTCCTTTTATTCAAGTTCAGTATAAATTATCTTTCCATCTATAAACTCCTACATTACTTTGCCAATTGTTTGCTTTTATGACTTTGAATCCCTTTTTTCTCTTTTGATTTCAGTTCTTTGTGATTGGACATGATTGTGCTCACAAATCCTTTTCAAAAAATAAGCTACTTGAAGATATTGTTGGGACTCTTGCATTTATGCCGCTTATATATCCTTATGAACCATGGCGCTTCAAGCATGATCAGCATCATGCCAAAACTAATATGTAAGCAGTCAACAGTAATCACTTAGCTTTGTATAGAGTTCCTCTAGAGTGTAGACCCCCCCCCCCCAACAATATAGTTTGCTGCACTTGTTCCTTTCCTAATAACTTGCATTATTTTCCGCTTCCTCTTACGATTTCCGTTGCTGATTCAATATTTATTAAATTATTGCATGTATGCTTTAAGAAAGCCTTACAATCTGATAATGTAGGCCAGCTTAATGCTTCAGCATAGAGCTTAGACAAGCATGATGCCACTTGAGACATTAGCTTCTCATGTTTCACAAAGGGATTGACAGCCCATTCGGCTCTTTTAACCAGGTTGCGTGAAGATACAGCCTGGCTTCCTATCATGAAAGAAGATATAGAGGAATCCCCTGCCTTGCGTAAAGCTCTAATTTTAGGTTATGGCCCCCTTCGAACTTGGATGTCAGTAGCTCACTGGTATGATGTTAAAAATTTAATCAACATCTGCAATCCAAAGATTATGTTCAAATTACGATAGTTAATTCAATATGTACGTCACTTCATGTGAGCAGGTTAAGGTTTCACTTTGATTTGAAGAAGTTCAGAAAGAGTGAAGTAAAGCGTGCCACAATAAGCATAGCTGCTGTTTCCGCATTTATGGTTATAGCTTGGCCCCTGATTATATATAAGACTGGAATAGTGGGATGGATCAAGTTCTGGCTAATGCCTTGGTTGGGCTACCATTTTTGGGTAACAGAGCTCTTTCTTTCTTTTTTATTTTTTTTTCTTACAACACAAAATTTTCGAGTGATGAGTATCATGTCTTTTGCATCTTTAAACTGTCTGGTAGTTGTTGGATCTTCTTGAAGTTCTTTTCCTTCACTTCTATGTGTGCTCATTGTTATTTCCTTCTTTGTTTATAGATGAGTACTTTCACAATAGTCCATCATACAGCGCCTCACATACCATTTAAGGATTCAAAGGAGTGGAATGCAGCACAGGCCCAGCTTAATGGAACTGTGCATTGTGACTATCCCCGTTGGTATTGTATTCTGTAACCCATCTTAGCATTGAAAACTATAGCTTGATCTTTCATAGTTTTAATCGCTAACATCTTCCATTTTTACATCCAGGATAGAGGTCTTGTGCCATGATATCAATGTGCATATTCCTCATCATATCTCTCCTAAAATTCCAAGCTACAATTTGCGAGCAGCTCATCAATCCCTAAATGAGAACTGGGGAAAGGTATGTTTTTTGTGTTGGATTTGTGTGATGGGAAGTCCTTGGTGATGATTAATTATTTTTTCTGCAGCTTGTGCAATGCAAATTTCCTTTGTTTTGTATTTTTTCATAGCCAGTTAGTAGTTACGAAGTATTTTTTTTTTAGAATTAATAGTTCAAACTTAGTTAATCATTACTTAGAGATTTAATAGCTTTGATGGTACTTCCGAAAGACAGTTGATTAATTTTCCATAAGAATATATGTCTCCATTTTGCTAATCATTCTCATTACTCATAAGCCACAATAATCCCATGCATTGTCTGAGTTTTATCAGGCTTGTTTATGCTTGGTTCCCCTTTCATCTAATACTGATGAATCAGGCTCTTCGATTTTCTTCGAGGGTCTTTACTCTTTGCTGCCTCTCTGGTTTTCTAGGAGTAAGATTGCCTACAATATACTTCGTATCGTTTTAAAGGCTAGCATAATTGTTTTTGGTTATCTTGGTTGTTATGGCTGTGGTAGTTAATGACATTTTCCGTGCTTATGGCAGTACCTAAATAAGGCTGTATGGAATTGGCGTTTGATGAAAACGATCATGACTACATGTCATATCTACAATAAAGAAGAAAACTATGTCTCCTTTGAGAAAGCTGTTCCTGAAGAATCACAGCCGATTTCATTTCTTAAAAGAGTGATGCCTGATTATGCATAATTCATTGGCACAAAATTGATTCTTGGTATGCTGGATAAAAGTATGCAGGAAAGTTGTTACTTTCAACTTGCCTATTGTGAACTGGTTGGGTGGCCAAAGCCCTCCATCATACCGTACTAGCAAGTGTAAACTAGCACGATAAATTTATCACGTCCATGGAAGGAACCTGGTTTCGCTCTGCAGACTGTAGCATTAGCTATACAGATTAGATATTTGTATGAATACTGAAAGTTTCTTAATGATTTTTCTCCTTTCAGAATATATTTATATATACATGGCAAAATTGGCCTCAACAACATGAACTTTTAACAAGGTGCAAGTAGCAGCATGAACTTTGACTAGTAGCTATAACAAATTAACAACACAAACATTTTTATTAGGTGCACAAAATATCATAAATAAAGCTTGATACCAAAAATTTTGACAAAGACATGGTATCTAATATTTTATTACTATAAAAAATCTTTTAGTATTGCGTGCCTCAATTTTTTTTATGGGGAAAAATTATTAAATGAGGTTTTGGAGGTCAATTTAATCAAATTTAAGATCAACTTTAGCATAAAAATTACAAAAAAAATCGATTTGCGTGTTTTCAGTATTTATCTTCTTCTGGGTCGCTATCACACGCTCAGCATTTAGAATAATAGAGGCAAGATCACTAGCTTTGTCAATGAAATAAAGAGCTGCCTACAATCAAAATCCTTCCTCTTAATTTAAACACAAGAAATCTACAACTTTCTCACAAATTTTGAGTACTTTAAGGTCAAGGCCCCTGAATGAAGATACACTTTAGGTTTGGAACTATTTCCAATGTACTTAATAAATGATTTTATACTTCCTTCACTTTTCTTACTTTTAGTGTTACCTAACGAACATTTAATTTTGAACACTTTAGGTTTACTGTTTGCAATAATAACAGATGCTGTGGATGTCAACATCTGTTATTATTATTAATATAGGTTGTATGATAAGTAATTTAGATTATATGTTTAAGCTTAATCTTGTCTATCTTATGTATTATATGCAGGACTTTAAGGTTTATACCACTATCCATCCTTATGATGATAGTGATCCTAGTTTTAGTGTTAGTATCAGCACAACACTGCTGTTTCTCTCCTCTGCTTCTAGTCCTTTGTTTTGGGTTGTTGTCCTTAGTGACTGTGCAGAGGTAGGCTTTTGTTGTAAACAACTCTTTGAGGCTATAAGCCTGTAATATATTTGCTTCGTGTTGTGTTAAAAAATAATTTTGGAGCAAAAGGAGTACTATGTAACTATGTGCTTATGTGCACACATAAACACAATTACAAAGCACTTGTGGGCACGTAAATGTCCATATGATGATACAAATGTACCACACAAGCAAATTCATAACCTTGTGATTTTGGAGTTGTTATCTTCACTTGAAATGAGGAGGTCTAATTTAATAAAGTCTAATCTGATTTGAATTAAATTTTAATTATTAGTATCTATCTCATGCTTAATTAATTTAACTGAACTTTAACCTCGTTTTTGTACTATCAAGGAAAAAAATTATCAAATTGAGTCTTATTAGATTTGTGTTCTTTTTTTTTTTTTTTTTTTTTTTTTTTTTTTTTTTTTTTTTTTACGGAGATTTGTGTTGTCTCATTAAGTATTTCTCAATAAAATAATTATGATATATCTATACTAATATATATTAAAAGGCGTTTCTAACAACGTCGTCGTGTCACGTAAGCTCCCCTCACTACGTTGATTTTCATTGCATGTCATGCACTCATAATAATTTAAAAAAAAGTTCTCCGCAAGATTTGTTGCATGAGACATTTGTTGCATCACAATTCACAAGAAACATACTCTACTACTCACAGTTCCAAGAATAAACGGATTAGAAAAACAAAAACAGTAATCACAAATCTAGGAGCATGCACAACAAAAATACTTCAACTTAGTGAGATTAACTAGCTTCGTCAGATTAACAAGCAGAAGATGACTCTATCTTAGCTTTCAAATACTTCAACTCCTTCTCAATTTCTGTCATTCGAACCATCAAAGCATGCATGTCTTGCCCTTTGAAAGTTTCCTTGCTAACTGGCATAGAATCATCCTTCTCCAAAGAAGGATAGTTGTCGGTGGTCAACATTAATTGGGCGATGCTAGAATCAGGCAAGTCCTTCAATGTCAGATTATAATCAACCATCCTTGAATCATTTATCTACACAATAAAATCAAGAATGTTATTCCAAACCGATGAAAATCACAAACAAAAGTATTTAAATGATTCAAAAGTCTCAATTTCATAACTCATGCAGGCTCCAAGATTCAACTATTTCACAGGGCAGAGGGGAGATTCCTTTAAAACAATTGACGAAACTCAAGCATATACCAACAGAATGGTTTCAACACAACATATCTGGTAGCCTGGTACCCCACAGTAATTCATTAAATACCATAGAGAGGGAGTGGATGGCAAATGATAAAGTGTATGAAGCATGAACTAAAAAAAACTGACTCCAAGGCAAAGAATTTGCATGGTTAGCTTTTGCAGGTATAAATTTCATATCTATTTTTAGAATTGCCCTCACTCTTCTTTTCTTGAAGCAAAAGTTGCCTCTAATTCGAGCTTTACGTGGAGGTCAATTTTGAGTGTGAAGGATGTGATTGAAAAAGGGGCAAGGAAGAGTGTTGGGTCGGAGAGCAGCATTCATATCCGGAACAATTTATGGGTACAAAAGCTACCTGATTTTCGTATTATGTCAGAGAGGGGAGTAGGAGAAAACATCCCAAATTTTGTCAATGAGCTATGGGATGATAAGAGATGGAATCTGGTCATGCTTAGTAAGCTGTTCAACCAGAGGGAAGTAGTCAATATTAGCAGCATTCCTATTCCACTTTTGATAAAGGGGATGCCTGGACATGCCATTATTCGAAGGATGAAAATTACAATGTAAAAAGTGCGTACAACTTGATGATTGAGGAGGAGAGGGGAAGAGCTTCTACTTCAGTAGGAAGGAGTGAGTTCAAGTGGAAGACTATTTGGCATGCTCATATTCTGCCAAAAGTGAATTTTTTTGTGTTGCATTGTGTTAAGGACAGCCTCCCTACTTGAAGTAATTTTGCTGCAAATGTGTGGGGAAGAGGATGAATCAGTTTTGCATATGCTGCTATTGTGCCCGACTGTAGGAGTGATTTGGAGATATTCGGAGCTAAGGTTGGATGTTAAGCTTGGATGGGATGGTGGGTTCAGAGAATGGTGTTCTGCTATGAAGGAAAAGATTAGCGAGGCTAGGTGGTGGCCGGTGGGATATGTTTTGGTGTTTGGCTTGGGGAGTTTGGCTGAGACAAAATGGATGGGTTTTTGAAGGTAAAAGGAAGCTGGAGTTGGAAGTCATTCACAAAGCTGCTAGCCTTGTTGGTGAGTATGCTGATGAATTAGAGAAGGCCGTGGTGAAGCAGCCTGTGATTCAGATGGGGTCAGTTTGGAAGTCCCCTGGAAATGGAGTGTATAAGCTCAATACTGATGCTGCTTTCTTCGATCAGCAGAAGCTTGGGAGTGGGGATATCTTGCGTGACAGTGTGTGAGATGTAGTACTGGCTTGCTGCAAGTGTGCTCAAGGTAACTTTGAGGTTGATGTGGGCGAAGCATTTGCAATGAGGCAGAGCTTCAAGGTTGCAATTGAAGCAGGATTCAGATATTTTGTGCTAGAAACGGACAACATCAAGCTATTTCATCATATGAAGAAGGGCATTACTCTTCCAAACGAGTTTGGCAAGTTGGTAAAGGATATTTAGAGGCTTTCGAGAGATTGTCAAAGGGTGTCTTTCTCTTTCATTAGGAGATCGGGTAATGAAGTATCACATTGTTTAGCTAAGTTAAGTTTCACTTTTAATGAGTTTCGAGTTTGGCTTGAAGAGTACCCTCTTGAAGTACTAGGGGTCATTTGTAACAATATTGCAAACTTGATGCCTTAATAAAATTTGTGCTTCCGGTTTGTGTAAAAAAAAAATTACCCTATATTTTGAGCTAAGCAATTATATAGCAATTAGTAAGGTTAAGAACATACCTTTTTCAAAGAACAAGAACACAATTTTTTTAATGCTTTGGAACACTCCTCGGGGTCCTCAAATTGGATGGAGACATTATTGTCATCAATATCAAGATTCCTTCAATAATAAATTAAGGGGAAAAAAAAATGTGTAAAACACCAAAAAAAAAAAAAAAAAAAAAAAGATAATCATTAATTTCAAGAATTTAGTGAATAAGCCAAGTGTGATTCATGTTAACACAAGAAATTCAACATAGGAAGGGGTACATTGGCAGCAAATAATGTATAAAATAAGAGAATATAAAGTCAAAATTGCTCAAATACCTGAGTCTCCCAAAAGTATGAAACAGAGCTCGAAGATTCTCCATTGAGTGATGGTCAGCAAACCACTCATAAGGCACACCCTTAAGAACAATAGTGGGTGGCTTCTCTTGAGACAAAACTGCAAGCAAGTAAGCACTGGTATTAAGTTCTTTGTGTAATAGGAAAATGAAATTAATTAAAGCAAAGCAAAGCAATCCAAAGTATTTAATTAAAAAAAGTACCTGACATCATTTCACTCAAATCGTCTTGCATTGCGACTGAAACTTTAAAAAGGGTCCCAAAATATTTCATTGGATAAACACCTAATTTCTCAACTAATTTTTTTTTTAAATTCTAAATATATCTCTTCCGAGTTTAATTTAGAACCTCGAAAATTAAAACTTCCTTCAGCAATAATTTCAAAGTCATCAATGAATTTGCGAGGAACTGAATAAGTAACATCAATGTCCTCATCTGACAAAGGTACATTTTTTGAAAAAAACTTAGATTCGCGAAAACCTGTGGCAACCATATCTTTCATAATCCATCCACTAGGAAAAAGATTGTTTACCCCCCCTGGGCAGCCAAAAGCAAACTTTAACTTGATCGTGGGAACCAGCATTAAATCACCTATCGTGATAATTCTTGCAAAATCCAAATATTTGGGGAATGCATTCTCAATTGCAAGAGCCTTATCATGATTTCCCTTAGGCAGCATAAAAGATGGAGATATATTACCTGCACTTAAAAACACCAAATATTAACAACAATATATTGAGCCAGAGTAAGTTTTGAGTGAAAGAAGGAAATCGCCAGTTATAAAAGAAAAAAAAGGTGAACTTTATGATCATTTGTCAAAGCGAAAACATCTATCAGCCATTTCAAAAATCAGGTATTCATGATCATTTGAACTGCAAGTACCAGCAACATGGATATGAGCTGTTGTGTTTATATTCAGACTTCAGTTCACAAGCATTCTCCTTTATAAAGCTAACTTGAATACCTCCCTCAATCTACACAACTATGACTTCCTAAACTTCATACGATTCTTCACAAATAAAGCAACGATGACATTAAAAAAGAAACTAACCAATCATAAACATCAATTTGCATTCACATACTTTACCATAAACAAGTAATATTATATCAAGAAAACCCCATAAACAAACCAGCAATAATACAACATATGCAAATAAAAGAGATCCTTACTTTGAGCTTTGTGTTCAATAGAGGCTTGTTCATCACCCAGCTGAATAACCTTCTCATTCTCATTTCCTACTATAACAAAACTTGATTCTATGTCATCTTCACTTCCTAATTTTTGAACAGTTGGAACCTTATCCTGATTTTCCTTGGGCAGCATATTGGGTCCAGATGAATTACCTGTAGACGGAAACTATTCAATAAAACTTGAAGCATGTATATATACACACACAAATTGAAGCAGAAAGAAAGCCACCGGCCAATCATTTCACCCACAAAGGGGAAACCTGAGAGTGGCTGCTATATGTGATCATAGCAGCAGTTGTGAAAGAAGAAAATTATGTGAACTTATGATCATTTGTCAAAGCGAAAACCATTATCAGCCATTTTAACAATCATGTACTAGTATTCAAGTTTATAAGTTATATAACTACAAGCATCAGAAACAAGGGATATGACAAAGCTATTGTATTTATATTCAATGCACAAGCATTCTCTCTTATAAAGCTAACTTGTATAGCCACCCTCAATCCACACAACTATATGACTTCCTAGATTCATAAGGTTCTTCTCAAATCAGCAATTATAGAACATATGCAAATATAAGCGATCATTAGTTTAAGCTTTGTGTTAATCAGAGGCCTGTTCATCAACCCAAATCACGAACTTTTAGATGAACCATTGTCATATGACTAATATGAGCATCAATATCACCAAAAGTAAAGGCCTGTAAAAAAACCTTTGGCATATTTGTTGACAACTAGACAAACATAATCTCCTCCGCTAACCTCTTCAACAAGTAATAAATTTTCTAACATCAAAACAAGAAGTATGTAACTTGATTACACGTAACCTCCAAGGACATTTACATTATTTTTCCTTTCTTATGCACCAACAACATATTTTTCTGGCTGCACTTCTTTGACTCGAAATGTTTGATTTTTGGTAATAGAGCTTAGTTTAATAGCATCTCATTAGCTTATAAAGTTATAAATCGCGCAATTTCCTTAATAAGAATCTCATTAGCTTCTCTTACATAATCGTTAACCTAGGGGTGCTAATCGGGCGAGTCGAGCCCGAACTATGGTCAGCTCGGCTCGTGATCGTTTGAATTTGTTCACGAACTTATTTATATACATGATTTTTTTATATGAAAAAAATTATAGAGCTTGTTCACGAACTTTTCGAGTCCAACTTGACATAACTCAGCTTGGCTCGTTAAGGTCTCGAGCCGAGACCAAACCTGAGTCGAGCCACCACGAATCAAGCTTTGACCGAATCGAGCTCGAATAGTTCATGAATAGCTCAGTCTCATTATCACCCCTAGATTAACCCTATTACCCTAATCACCATAACATAACATTACATCATCACCTAGCAAATATACCTCGGGGTTTAACGAGTTATAATCACCAAAACAAATTTGGAGAAATCACATCCAATAAATAATCGACAATATAATGACTACTAATGATCATTAGTGAGTATTCTTGTAAATAAATGATTACAACCCTACATTAGAAATTGTATATTCAAGAATCAAGATTGAGAATTTATTCTACCATAGAGTAACACAAAACTAAATTTTAAGAAAATACACATTCATAACTAAATGCAATAACATAGATGGGAAGATTTTCAGCAATCAAGTAAAGCATTCAATTAAAGATATTGATCGAATTAAAACCCATAAAAAAACCAAATTTTGATTTAATTTAGGAACATAATCACAGTATACAGGATGAATGATACAATTATCAAAGCTAACCTCACAATTAACGCTAGAAAGAGCGACGGCGTAGATGTTTACGACGGTAGAGTAGAGTACGTGTTCGCTGCACTATTTTTTTTTTCCCCTTTGTTATAGAGAAATACGGAGTTTTTTAAAAGTATTACGGAGTAAACGAAGAAGAACTCGATAACAGTTTAGGGCCTTTTCTCATTGAGTGAACTGAACTGAATATTTTATAAAAGAAGGAAATTAGGAGCTGAACTAGGGATGGCAATATTAAGTGGATATCCGCTAACCCGCTCCACCCGCTTAAAATAAATGGACAAAAACCCGAATTAAATGGATGAGAAGCAGGTGACGGATGAAGCGGGTGATAGATCGGATCGGATGTGGATAATATTTTTTTCACCCGCTAACCATCCACCCACCGTTTAACATATATTAAATTTTTAATCAAAGAATTTTACTAATAAAATATAAAATGTGCAAGAAAGTTACTTGTCTTTTTTTGTTGCAAATTAATTTTTCAAACAATATGTTGTTATTGTTTTTTTATTAATAAAATAAAAAAATTATTATATAAATAACCGAAAATAAAAATTTTTGTGTATTTTTTTTCATTTTAGTACTCATCCCTTTGTCATCCGCTCCACCCGTTTCATCCGCGGATGATGGACGGATGGATATGGATGATGTGTGAAGCGGATGACGGATGGATGTGGATGGAGCAATTAGGATAATGGATGGATGCGGGTGAAGCTCCACCCGATCCAAATCCGATCCATTGCCATCTCTAAGCTGAACTGAGCTGAACTGAACTGAATTTTAACGTATGAGAACAGGCCCTTACTGAATTTACACAGGATTCGCTCCTCGATTGGTAAAGGTTGATTTAGTTCACGTTATTTTTGCTTATCTAATATGATCATTATTTGAGAGCTTACGGTTTCATTGTTCTATTTTTCTTCCGATGAGAGTTCTTTTCACCCTTTTCTCACGATTCTATTTTGTTATCAGTCACCTAAGAAGCTAAGGAATAAGTTCTGATCAGAAAAATAAAAAGTTTAGGTTAAATGTATTAGAAAAAAAAAGGAACTTTAAAATGTGTCAATTAACATTGAAACACTGAACAAACGTTAACAAATGTACTACTCTCTTAATCTCAATGGCCAAGTAGGCCCAAGCTATTTCACACACGTTTTCAGCTTTCTTTGGGAAAACATTTTTTTTTTTCTAAGCCCAAACCCTTCGTTATTTGATTGGGCTTGGTAATTGTCAACTAGGAAATTCTCTTAAAAACACTTCTTTTTTTCCCCATTTTTTTTAAAGAAAAAAGTTATACATAGCCTTAAATAATACGAAATAATAAGCTAAATGAGAAAAAGTATTAATGAAATATATTTAATTTGCGTATGATTTTGTTATACATTTTAAAACTAATATCATATAAGGAAAGATGGTTACAAAAATTTTGGAGTATCAATGACAGAGTATTGATAAATAAAAAAGTACTAGAGGCAAAGTCTTAAAATCTTCATTTTTATTTGTTAAAATATAATTATTTAACCGCTACTCCGTGATACAATTTTATATATATATATTCATTGTAATACATAAAACAATTGTTTTTTTGGATTTGACGAATAAATAAAATAGCAGGGGTCATGACTCTATCATAGGGGCATTGGTTAAGATCTTTTGTTAAGTATGAGTTTGGGCTACATACGTCACCAGTAGAGAGAGCGCACGTCCACTTTATAAGTTTTAGAAGGTTTCATCCCAAAATCATATGACAATAGGAGGAGTAGCCTCTAGCCTTACAATGATCAACTCTCTCTTTTTTTCTCAATGTTAGACACTTACATGTGTTCGAAAATTTTACACTTCTAACATCTTCCCCAATTGGACTTATGAAGTATACATATATATATATACACTATTCGGTTCGGTTTTTTGGGAGGGTGGTTCGGTTTCGGGTGTCAAAAATAAAAAAAAATAAAAAATCGATTTTCGGTTCAGTTTCGGTTCGGGAAATTGTAAAACCGAACCAAACCGAATTATAAGCCCAATCCTACAAAACCCCTGGCCCAAAACTAAATACCCTAGGTATATAATGAAAAATAAGAAAACCCTAATCACTCTCAGCCTCCCTCTCTCTCTTTCCACCCTTTCTCTCTCCTTTCCTCTTCTCCTCTTTCCCGGATTTCGCCCAATTGCCCATTCTCTCTCCTCTTCTTCGCTTTCATTGTCTCATTCTCCTCTTTTCTTTTCGTTTTTCTTGTCTCTCCTCGCCACCATTAACGAAAACATCGAGCTTTTGATTAATAAATTCCGAATTCGCTTCACCATTAACGAACACCATCAACTATATTAAAGGTTTTGATTTCGAACACCATCAACTAAAGGTTTTTCATGTCAAATTCGACTATGAAACTCTATATCTAGAGTTTTCATGGTCGAATTTGACCATTAAAAACCCAAATTCGACGTTTTTTCGGTGGAATGTGAGGTTTGACCTCTTTTTCTTTCTTTTAATTTGGTTTGTGTTTTTTTTTCCTACTAATTTTTTTTCCAATTTTTTCTGATATTTCGATGATTTTTATTCCAATTTTTAGTTCAATGAAATTAGGGTTTTATCTTAAATTTTTCGAAATTATAGCAATTCGATATTATAGTAATTATGTCTAGGAATGTTTGCGGATCTGGGTTGTGTTTTAGTTTGGATTTTTTTGCAAAATTTGATGTTTATGATGTTTGATATGAAAATTTGGTGCGGTTCGGTTTTTTTTAAGAAAACCGAAATTTAGGTGGTTTGGTTCGGTTTCAAAGCTAAAGTGGTGCGGTGTGGTTTGCAAAATCAAGAAACCGAATTATGGTGGTTCGATTTCGGTTTGGGCTAAAAACCAAACCGAAAATCGAACTTTCACCCCTATGTATATGTATACACACATAATATAAATATATATATAAATATATATATATAACACTTAGAAAGTTGGAAGTTAGACTATCTTCAATGGTGAGACTCAATATTGAATATTGAAATAAAAAATGAGTTGTTTTTTATCTTTAATGGTAAGATCATACCCACTTCTCAATTTAGCAACTCATGTTGAATATAATTTTCCAATGGTGAAACTCTCTAAAATATACAAATGTCACTTTTAATTTATGGCCTATCAATTATTGTAAGATTAAAAAATAATAATAAAAAAAAGTAAAACTTAAATAAATTACAAAATATATAATTTATTAACAAGGGCACTTTTTGTCAAATGAGAATCAAAGTTGAGTATCTAAACTTAGCAACTTTCTTTTGGAGTTGCTAAGTTTAGATACCAACATAGCAAAAAATACTCTCTTTCTTTAAAATATTTACTTGAGTCTCACCATTAGAGAAGGTCTACAACTCATGTGAAAAATGGAGATATTTATAAGATTCTAATCACCAAAAGTCTTTGTTTGACGGTCTTGCCTTGTTGACTAGGAAATTGCATTAATTTGTCCAATGATCCAAAACTGAATCCAACCCTTCACTCTCACTCAATCGTATAATAGTAATGATTTTTCTCATCGAATTGACGATGATTTGATTCTTTTATTCCACCAATACAACTATAACAATTGTGTGATTTAACTTGTTAGAAATATTCCCCTTTCTAAATTGATTGTAATAATTTGATTTTTACAATGCTTTACATGTCTTTAGTATGGCCATTCACAAACATTATGTAAAACAATTGTTGTTATGTAAGCATGTTGTTATGTAAAATAATTGTTTTTATGTGAATTATTATTAGGACTATGGACCTGTTCACATTTACTTAATTTCAATTCAGCTTCAATCAGTTAAGTTCATTTCAGCTCCAATCAGTTCAGTTAAGTTCAGCTCCTAATTTTCCTCTCATAAAATATTCATTTCAGCTTAATTCAGTTCAGTTCAGCTTCAATCAGTTCAGTTCAACTCCAATCAGTTTAGTTTAGTTCAGCTTAGTTCAATAAATGTGAACATGCCCTATATTTAATTATAAAATTCAAACATCAAATTTTATATGTTTCATTTTTAACATAATCACATATATTAATTATCAAAGTCATGTATTGAAAAATAGTAAGTCATAGTGACTCTTTCATAAAGAGATTTTCATCCCCCCCCCCCCCCCACTTTCTTGTGTTTTCGTCTTTGATAGTCTAGGAGCCAAAATGCAAAATTCAATGTGATTGATCAATTTATATTCACACTATGATAAAAAGTAAATTTAATAAATTAATAATGTACACAACCCTAATAATAAGATTGATAATTGTGTTCACATTATTACTTGCCACTCCTCATACACAATGTAAAGTTAAAAATTTGCCTTCAACGCAGGCAATGCACACAATTGATTAAATGAAGATAGATAAGTCCATGAGATGCACCATAACATGTAGGGAAAGTCATAAATTGAGAAATTCTACGTGGCGGCCTCCAACTTTTACAAATTCTATAGTGTCAAAAAAAAAAAAACACATAATCTCTAGTGAACCCAAACTTTCATTAAACTCTATTTAGTGGCCAAATCTCACTTAGAATCGGTTAGGTTTTAAACCCATAGACACACCGTGAGACATTTGCATAACATGGACTTCGTCGTCGGACATTTGAGTCCTTCTAATAGAGTACCCTACTTTCCTACCATTATTATAAATAGCCCATACAAATTCTTCCATAACCTTTTTTTTGTGTGTTTTAATCTATTAAGGAAGATGGATTTTGGAGTTTTTTGAATGGAATTGAATAAATTGATGGCATTTTTATTTTTTTTTTTTGTATTTTTGATGATAAAAGGAGGAATAATAGCAATATAAGGATATAGTAGGGAGTTTATCTTATTTTTAGTTATAGAAATGAATTTAAGATTTGTGGTCATTTAAGATTTATATATTTGTTGATTGTAAAAGAAGGGGGAGGTATCAGGTTTGTACCAAGGATGTATAATTGAAGGTGCATTTATATCATTTTTTGTGTAGTTGGATGTTAATAATGAGAGGACCCTCCCCTTGAATTAAAGCTCATGTTAAAACTAAAAAGTTGGCCATACAATGTTTTCTTTTTCTTTCTTTCCTTAATTTTAATTCCCTTAATAGGGGCATATATAGAGTATGTAGACATGTAGTTGTAGATAGAAAGTGAAGGAAAATTATACTTGTACAATATTATTTGGGCACATAA